CACACACTCTTACCGTTTCACCACACACTTACTGTTTCACCACACACTCTTACCGTTTCACCACACACTGTTTCACCACACTCCCTCTTGTCGTCTCGCTTAGCTTTTGTCCCTTGATACACCTCATCTCCCACACTCTGTAGTCACCCCCTTGTGTTCACTGCATTCCTCCGTATTGTTAACATTTGCTTTCAGTTTCTTTTCAATGTATAGAACTCTCTCTCTCTCTCTCTCTCTCTCTCTCTCTCTCTCTCTCCTTTCCGTTCACACATCCAGCTATCCATCTTCCCATCCATTACTACATACTCCCAACCATCAATCAGTTCATCCATCCAACCATCCGTTCGTTTAGCCATCCATCTATCCATTCATTAGTTTCTAAGTTGTACTATCACCACCACCTCATTGTCACTACTATCATCATCACTACCATTATCATTCCCATCAAAGCACCACCATCATACTTTCACTATTGCACCACTATTACTACCACCACCATTATCACCATCACCACCAACTTCCACGCCATTGACACCATCGCCACCATTCCTACCATTATATTTAATAATGTAACACCACGACCAATCACTGTCACAATCATAATACCACCTCCACTACTACCACCATTACCACTGCCACTACCACCATCATCACCACCACTACTCATCAGTGTACCACTATGACTACCACTAGTACCACCATTATCACCAACACTACTCACCAGGGTCCGGGAGTCAGTGTACCACTATGACTACCACTAGTACCACCATCATCACCACCACTACTCATCAGTGTACCACTATGACTACCACTAGTACCACCATTATCACCAACACTACTCACCAGGGACCGGGAGTCAGTATACCACTATGACTACCACTAGTACCACCATTATCACCAACACTACTCACCAGGGTCCGGGAGTCAGTGTACCACTATGACTACCACTAGTACCACCATCATCACCACCGCTACTCATCAGTGTACCACTATGACTACCACTAGTACCACCATTATCACCAACACTACTCACCAGGGTCCGGGAGTCAGTGTACCACTATGACTACCACTAGTACCACCATTATCACCAACACTACTCACCAGGGTCCGGGAGTCAGTGTACCACTATGACTACCACTAGTACCACCATCATCACCACCGCTACTCATCAGTGTACCACTATGACTACCACTAGTACCACCATTATCACCAACACTACTCACCAGGGTCCGGGAGTCAGTGTACCAGTAGCACGGCCTCCTACCACCATCTAGTCACCGTGTCGTTCACTCTATACCTAAATCCACCCCTGGTTGCCCCGCTCTGCTGCCTGCCTCACCCACCACACACCTTCCCCCTCCCTTTCTCTCACCCTCTCTTCCTCCAAACCTCTTCCCTCTCCCTCCATTCCTCTCTTCCTTTTTCCAGGGGCTGATCCAGAGGGGTCCTGGGGTCTGAACCCCCCTTTTCATCAGAAAATTCCAATACTTTTTTCGGTATTTTTGCGTTTACACACCGCACATTCCTGCCACTAATCTATTATCATATTCTAATTAAACGTCTAATTATAAGATAATTTTTATCTATTACATTACCGGCGGAAATGTATAATAACGGAGATAGCGTATCCAAAATCTTCTCTATTTTGTTCCATTAATCTAGCGCCATTATCGCCTGCCTCTCCTCCAACACTGCTGTCTCCTGCGTCTCCTTCATAAATCATCACGCGAATGCGTTCCCGTACACGTCACGTGGCCAATCAAAAGCTTTTTTGTTTTAGCAACCAATTAAAATGATATTGGGTTTAATTCGTGGCATATTTGGCCCAATCAAATTCAAGTTTTATTTTGGGTCTCATATTTCGAAATTCAAGTTCAGTTCCGACCATGGAAGTCTGCTATGGGTGTCACTTAAATTACATGGAGCTGACTGCGAGTTTTGGGGGAAAAAACGAAGAAACTATAGCATTTTTTCGATCGCACGGTGTTCTTCCAACCTCAGTAAAGTGTACTAAGAGCAAAACTGAATGTAAATATCGCAAAGACCAACATATGTGGCGTTGTGTAAGACTCAGAATCCAACGACGAACAAGAACCAGGCCAATAAGGTAAGAAATAGGTGATTCCATCATATGGTGAGTCATTTAGGTTAGGTTAGGTTAAGCTATGTTAGGTTAGGTTTGGTTTTTGTTTTTCAAGTGCTTTTTTGGTGTATTTTGCCATTATTTTTTTTCGGAAAACTTCCAACGAAATAAATTCGATAAAAAAACCCGGCTAATTTCCGCCAGAAATGAAGGTCATATTCGGTCTAAACACACACAAATACACTTCAAAAATTTATTTTTGACTTTCTAACAGAGTGGGGTGTGACACTGCAAATTTACCTATTTTTCTTTAATGCAGTATTGTACTCGGGCGTTTTTGTATAGTAAAAAGAATTTACAGTACTATTTACTTCAGAGTATCTCCTAATATCAAATGCACATGGCTTCAAAATGGCCTTAAAATGCCCATGATATTGGTAATATTTAAAAAAAATCGGGTGCTTACAGCGCCCCCCCCCCCCTCCAAAGCCCCCCGGCTGGGTGGGCTCGCTTTGGTCGCCCTGTTCCCCCACCCAAAACTTCTTGGACCCCCCTTTTGATATTCATGGATCCGCCCCTGCATTCCCCCTCCATCCAAACCTATTTCCCTCCACCCTTCACTTCCTTGCTCTATTCGTCTCTCATTCCTGCCTCCCTCCATTCCTCTCCCCCCCATTCCTCTTTCCACTCCATTCATCTCTTCTTCCACCCATCCAAATTATGTCTATACATATCTTAATAGTGCTCTATTATTACTCATACAAAAATAACTAACTTAATATAACCTAACTTAACCCAACCTAGCCTAATCTAGCCTAACCTACTCTAACCCAATTTAACCTAACTTAACATAACCAAACCTAACTTAACATAAGCTAACCCCCATGTAGCATTAGGGTGTTTAATCATCAGGTGAAACAAGGTGGAGAGGCCAATTTTCAGGTGACGAGAAGTTTATCATTCATAGTTTGTAGAGGAGCCCGCAGGTCCTGGTGTCTGGTCCCTGTGTTCTCTTCTTCGACAACAGGTACATGCATACTCGTACATTTCCGACCGACGACTCTGCTTGGCTTGATTAAAATAGATCACGAGACAGAATTTACCATCGATAACTTCAACATCATTTTATCCGTATTTTTTACTGATTGAAATAATGCCTGTTGTCGACGTACTGAGAGTAGGGAACCAGTTTCAGCGAGATTCTACATGAGAAACAAATGACTCGCCAGGAATAATGGTGGGCGGGGCTGATAATGTTGAGAGCCTGAATGCACGTTTGCAACTCTACCTACCTCGTTCAAGATAGAAAACGTGACTCTTGTCTCATCAAGTGTTTTGGCACTAATTGAGAATAGAATTAGTTTTTTAATGGTTAAGTACACAAATTCAATATTAATGATACCATAAAGCTCCCTCCCTTGATCGGGTCACCTAAGGATTGGACACCCCAGCTTATATCACCTAAATATTAGACACCCCAGCTTATATCACCTAAATATTAGACACCCCAGCTTATATCACCTAAATATTAGACACCCCAGCTTATATCACCTAAATATTAGACACCCCAGCTTATATCACCTAAATATTAGACACCCCAGCTTATATCACCTAAAGATTAAACACCCCAGCTTATATCAGCTAAAGATTAGACACCCCAGCTTATATCAGCTGAAGATTAGACACCCCAGCTTTTATCAGCTAAAGATTAGACACCCCAGCTTACATCAGCTAAAGGTTAGACACCCCAACTTATATCAGCTAAGGAATAGACACCCCAACTTATATCAGCTAAATATTAGACACCAGACACCCCCAGTTCATATCACCTGAAGATTAGACACTCCAGATTATATTTCCTGAAGATTAGACACCCCAGTTGATATCATCAGAAGAATATGTATCCTTAACTAACTTAGCCTAACCCAATCTTGAGATGATCCGAGGCAAGTGTCAACCTTAAATACTGTGTAACGTGACGTATAGGAGCAATAGTGGTAAAACTAGAACACACTACTCCTTTTATAAGATAGATATAGGGGAGAGAAAGCGTGCAGACGGTTGTAAAGGGAGGCTTTGTAGAAATACGACGCAGCCTCCCTCCCTTCACCTATAGTACCCCAAGCATTGCTACTGTACTGTGTACATTCCATGGGGCACTAGGAAAATATGGCACAATTGTCAAATTAGGAGTGAAATGGCATAAAAAAAAGCCACTAAGTTAGATTGGTTAGGTTAGGAAAACTTAGGTTACAATGTGTTAGGCTACCTGGCCCTCTCGTCTGAGCCTCGTCAGCGGGAATCATCAGACCTTGGCAGGGGGTCGAGGTCCCCCACTATCCGTTAATTAATCATCAAGGATGGCAGCTAAAATTAGTGTATATATCACAGTTCGCTTCGTACAGTCGTTAATAGATAGGAGACTTGTGACAAGTAGTGACCGCTTGAAAAAAGAATGAACTGTGGGCGTTGTATTATCTCCCTCCAGATAATTATAAACAAAGCCAACTACTCGTGTGTTGCCTCTATCCCCGCACGCGACGCTGGCTTCAGCTTCAATGGTTATTACTATCGTATTTTGACATCCATATTAGTGTGAAGACAATTTTATATGATGTTGTAAGACTGTGATGAACAATTGTGATTTTATTGAGTTTACTTTTCTTTCATTACGCTAATCAACTGACAGTTCTAATTTTTGGAGATGAGACGAGGGAGGCGTAGATACTACAGACAATTCCCTGGCTGCGTGCAAAACGGGCCAATGTCAAAAAATGCCAATTTAGACTTTGGCCCATGAAACCTGGGTTATATGTGCCAATGTCTAAATTGTTATTTGACATTGGCCCTTTTTGCACTCAGTCCGAGAATTATGACTGGGAGTGCGAACCAGTAATTCTTGAGAAAAATCGAACTTAGGTATTTTCATCATTGTGCTGCTAGTCCTCGTGAGGTTAATATATAGGTTCCCTGAGGCACTTATACTCACTAACATAACGAGACCGTCCGCAGTAACGACGTATAGAAGTATTGAGCTACGGTACGAGTGAGGAAAATATCTAAACTTGTTCGTACCACAACATCCCAGCAATATGCCCATCGAGTTAGAAGCTGCTGTCGTCAAGACTCCGTCTGGTTTTCTTAAGATCTGTGAAATGGTGAGTCAAGATTCTCATTCTCATTGACCCCATTATAAATGTTCAACCCATAACTGGAAACGAGGCAATTGATATTATACAGTACTGTTTTGGGATCCTGTGTGTGTAAGCGTCCGTCCTATAGGTTGCTGCTGGTTGTCGCCTATAAAAAATAAATAAATCCGACAGCCTAATAATCATCGACCAAAATTAATATATATATATATATATATATATATATATATATATATATATATATATATATATATATATATATATATATATATATATACTCATCTTAGTCGATGATTACTTGGCTGTCGGATTTTTTTTTTCTATGCACGGTGGTCAATGTTCTGCGTCCCGGTACCAGTCCATGGACCGGGGGTTAGGAACCCTTGTTATACCCCCTACTTTGCTGTCACTCGCAATCGAGTATGACGATCAATCAGCTATTATACAATGGCATGAGTTATTAAGGATGTAACCTACGTTGCTGAGTTCTCAGATGACAAAATAGGCCGATACGGGACCGGCATGGTCGTTTACAGATGTTGCACTTATGGGGGGGCTACATCTAGTGCGGGAGGGACAGAGGCAGCGTCTTTCCAGCGTTGGCGCTTGTCTGCCTCGTTATGCAGTCGGGCTAACTGGAAGGCATTGACACCTTCTTGTGTGCTCTTTCAAGCATTACGGTGTGGCAAGGGGTGACATAAGAGGGCTATAAACACTTCAGAGGATATTACTCGGTCAAGTGTTCATAACTGGAGCTGGCGGATGTTCGTCCAACTAGGGCCACGGGCTAAAGTTGAAGAAACCATAAGTTCAGAAAACTGTCAGGGTGAACTTTTTTGGGGTGAATGATGTGAACTTTTGGAACAATCTGCCACAGAGTGTTGAGACGACACCGAGTGGGAGCTCATTCAACTCTAGCGAGGTAGAGATATCTACCACACAGTGCAAAATTTCAACCATTCTCGGTAAAAAAAACCCTGACTTTTCCAATCACACGCTCAGTTGTTCAGGTATCGCCGCCAACTCGTCACTCTATGCAAAACAAAAACAAAGTTGGCGGGTCGTCCAAAAATGTCGTTTAAACTTTTCTTAATATACAATTATGTCTGAAATCCCACGACACTCTGCCATCTCTCACCTTATCAAGAATGGAAGTTTCAGTCTCGTGTCAAAATAATTGGTGAGCGCTTGAGAATCCATGCTGGCCGCCTCACTGCATTTAAACAGGAGTCAAATGAAATGTCTTCAGTCTTCTGTAATTTTCATTTGTATGAATAAAAATATTCTTATGATAATACATTAATTCTGCATTAAAATCACTTAAAAATCCTATAATTTGGTATAATAAAATCAATTCCTTTCAATTATGAATAATATAAAACCATAATTGGACCGAAAGCATTGTCGTTGGTCTATCCCTCCTTGAGACCAAGGAATATCTAATAAGGAACGCCACCTCTTACTGAGTGAGTGCACTACTAGAGAGAACACATTAGGTAAACTAAAAAAGTTATTCATAGAAAATGAATATTGTTTCAGTAGTAACCATTTTTGTCACAGGTAGAACCAATAACTATAATATATATATATATATATATATATATATATATAATTCACTATATGTGAATTATTTTGGGAACTGTGTTTTCTTTCCTTGTGGTTATATATATATATATATATATATATATATATATATATATATATATATATATATATATATATATATATATATATATATATATATATATATATATATATTATCGTTCCATTTCTTATCATATCCTTTTTTGTTTTGTCTTGCCTTATCTTGTATCTTATACTCTTCACCATAGTCTGGTCAGCTAACTAGCTGGTCGGATAGAAATACTGTACTTTTGTGTAGACTTACCTTTCAAGTCAACTGGAATTAAAACAGAAGATAAATAGTGCTGCAACACCTTTGAATATCTGTAAGCAAATTTCAAGAAAATCTTTGAGATAATTGATAAAGTTGATAAAGCAATGTTGAAGGCTTACCTTAAGACTGATTTTTGGGGAACTGTTTATAACTACAGTACTGTGCATCCTCCGAGAAACAGTCACAAGTTTGTGTGTAAATTGTGTTACTGGATTACTGTAGTGAATGTCTGATTATTGTCATTCAGCAGATAGTCTAGCATAGAACTGAATAATTACCACTTAAGTTTATCATTTCGTTGCATACTTTTGGTTTAACGTTGCTTCTGTTCACGACTCTAGCTTAGTGGTGCAGTGGAAGACAAAGAACCAAATTGGTGTCCTCATGTTAACTTAATCCATTCAGGCACTGACCATCATAGCCCTGAGTGTCTCTCAGGGAACCGAGAACTTCAGCTTCGGAGACGAATCTCGCACGTTCTTTTGTGGGGGAGTTCTGCTGTTGTCCATAGTTGTCACTCCACTGTTGTTTTACACCTACATCAGAGGCTCGGCTAAGGACATACAGAAGACACCATTTGTAAGTCTCCAATTTTATGTGAAGTTATTTATTGCTATGACTTTTTCTTTTGCATCTGCAGTTGTATCATTCCTTTGTTTCTGAATCAGTTGTCTTCAAATTTAACCCCTTGGCTGCGGGAGGTTACCCTAAGCTGAATAAAATCATCTGGCGGCAGCCAAAATAAAATGGTAAGTGCAGGAATTGCAGCAAAAGGGTTAATGGTCACGTAAAGTTTTAAGTTTTGGATTTAGGATTTGGTTAGAATTTTGGCTGGACAAAAGTGAACAGCATCATCATGAGAGACTGACTGTGACACAGCAGGAGAGGAAATTATATCTTGCTAAGGCAAAAAAGAGCTACACAAACTAGAGTGGCATCACACAGCTTAAGTTTCCTAATTCCTGGTACTGTACTGTACTGTACTATACTGTAGTAATCTAATCTCAGTGAAACATTCATTCCATTAAGTGATTAAAAATTTTCAGCCATTTTGTGAAATAATTGACTGAACAACTTGACTGTAACATTTATGATTGAACTTGCTTCTTAGTTTTGTCAACAGTTGGGAGCAAATTCTCAAAAAAGGATTAAACAGTATTATCTTATATTTTCCCTTCCTTATCACTTCTCTTTGTCTCTTTGTTTTCTGGTCTATTCAAGTAACATGATCTGTCATTCTTAAACAGGAACTCCAAGTAAATCTGACCCAGGCAATTCTGATGATAGCAGCAGGAAGTGTAGTCATCAACACCTACTGCACTTCACCCGGGCAAAACCTAACTTTTGCAGATTCTGGTAAAACTGCAGGTTCTCTCTGTATCATAAATGGAGTGATATATGGTGCTGACACCTTCTTTGCTTACCAGAATATTAAGTAAAGATTTAGGTAATTATTGCTATCTGTACAGCTCTTCATATACACTACTGTATACTGTACATAAGTACTGTACTGTATATTATTTTTTGTGAAAACCAAGATAGATAACATCTTTGTAAGAGGTAAGATTTTTCCCTCACTAATATGACACATATAGGTCAGTTATCAGTTTTATTTAGTAGCACTGTACCTCATATAATGAAGTACAGTACAATCTACACTCTCTCCAGCCTTTCATAATTAAAAACATATTTTCTGGTCCATGAGATACAACTGTAAGGTTGTTGCTAAAGTGTGTACTGTACTGCACTATGTTATGTAAGTCATTTATGAAAATGAAATGACGACTGTGTTCCAGAATTTGAATATTATTTTCTAATGCATCTCAACTACATACCAATCAAAAGCATTTAAATGCAATATTTGTTAATCTTTTAAACCTAAAAAATGAACTTAGAATCCAGACTGCAGTGTAGTGCAAAAACTGCACTGCACTTGCAAATCTAAAGAATTCATCATGTAGATAATCCTGACATGAAAAACTCGCGGATTTTGCTTTCTCGTGGGGTCCATTTTACCTAACCCCAGCGAGCTTTAAGGGAATACTGTAGCTATAATTTTCTAAAATTCAAAGTACAAAAGTCTATATAAAGGATAATCAACATGTAGATAATTCTAATACAACTATAAATGAACAGCATCACTACTAACCTAACTAAAATGACAATAAATGACATCTTATATAATGAAGGAAACAGGACAGCAGATGGTATATGAAGGAAACAGGACAGCAGATGATATATGAAGGAAACAAGACAGTAGAAGTTAAGTGAAGGAAACTGGCAATTCACACACACAGAGTCAAAACTCTCAATCTTCTCCTTACCAGATACTGTTGTCTAAATAACACTTTTGTTTTTGGTCTTTGTAAAGCAGTTTTAGCAGAGCCTTTTGCATGGTATCACCCAACACCTGGTGACACACTGGTGGCTGCACAGGAAGTTATCTGTAAACTAACTGATGTATTTCCTTGTATCTACTTGGCCCTATCATTATATATACAATTCTACAATAAACACGAACATTACAGAGGTACAAAAATAGTGAAAACACTACTCCATTTTTTAGTCGCTACTGTATAAAAATATATAATTTATTTTCACTGGGAATAAGAAGATACACATCTGTGTTCAAAATTCATATTCAAGTTTTGGGACAAATGAATTTATAGTCAGCTCATCTTCTGAAAAATTACAATTAATACTCAACAGTACAAAAAATTACCAAAATACAGGGTATGTCATCTTCAAAAATCACCTCGAGACAAACTAGAGAAAATCCATTTCAAATAAAGGATACAATATCTGGTACACTGATCCCTGAGCTGCTCTGACGGGTTACACTGGTGTCAACTATATGACCTTAAACTGGTGGTACAGCGGTAACGCACATAACTCTCACCAATATGTCAAGGGTTCGAGCCTCGGCCCGGACACACGTGAGAAGGGTGTTATCCAGTGTGACCCTACCAAATACCACAGGTTTCCTGGTCCCCGGTTTCCTCCTGTACTAACACTGGATAAACCGCCCAAACGGCCAGTAAGCTGATAAGTGGCCAATATGAAAAAATAAATAAAAAATATAAAATAATTACTATTATGTATACTAAATATAACAAAATGTCTGACTGATTTGTAGCACAAAACTCATTACAGTACCTCTACAAAAAGATACTTAAACATTGGAATACCTCTTGAACTTGGTGTATGTGTTTGTGTGTTGTGTGTGTTTGTCTATGGTGATAATTACTTAATAAAGTGATGGAACAATGAGTCAAGGTCTGCTTCCTCAGGTGCTTGGAGAAGATGACGAGGGTACTCATTATTTTCCATCATTCTAAGTGTTATGAGGTGTCCAGTAAATGCTTTGTAGATGGCACATAATCTTGTGTCTTAAACAGCCTGGGAGTGAGAGTTAACATTTGTAATAATAAAACCTAGTTAGCATATTGAAAAATATTAAAACTTTATGCTCAAGAAAATTGTGCATTTCACAAAGACAATACTCTTTGGTCCAGCAACAAAATAATATTAAATTACAATATTTCTGCCCTTTCATTTATAAACATGTGCAGAACACTTTACACATATTACTCTGGTGTTGTTAAGATTCAAATTTATCCCAATTAAGCTAATCTTTACATGACATACAATATATACAGCACACTAAAAGAGTTCAACCTAATGACTAAATCATTGTAATCTGTCAGTCCAAGAGAATTTGTTTTCCTTGAAGGTAATTTCCTTGTAAGTAAGTGGGAGTTTGGACTCCCCTTCACTCTTGTGGGGCACACAGATCAGGTGTCGTACTGTAGCGCTGAGGCCACAGTCTACGAGTCCTTCCTGAGCAAACGCCTGAATTAAAAATATAGAAGTTTGTTAATTATTTACTGCTTTTACTGACCTGTTCCTTCCTATGTTAATAGTAAGTTGCATAAATAGTAAGTCCTTGCTTAACGTAGCCCCGCTTAACGTTGTTTTGGTACTACGTCGCTAAACTTTAGAGACCAAAAATTCGTTTAACGTCCCGGTGATCGGATACTACGTCGTTTTGTGTCATCAGGGACTACTTTTTACAGCGCATCACCCTCTCTTGTGTGGCCGCGCTACGCTGTCTCGGCTCGGCGCGCTACCCTCACTCGCGGAAAGTCACAGCGTCCCCAAGCGACTCCGAGTCAGTCTTTGTTACGACTTCACATCATTTGTGTGTGTTTCAGTGCTTTTGCTCTACAACTGTACTCTAACCATTCAAAATGGCTTCCAAGAGCCCATCAAGCGCTACTGATGCTAGTGTAGTGAAGAGGCAACGTAAGAACATTACGTGTCTGTTTTAATATTCTACGTATTAATGAATTGTATTGTTCAGTTCACATACAGTATATAAAGATCAATTCAATTAAAAACATATTCAGTAATAAACAATAATGAATCTTTTGTACATATTCTTAAAAAGATAAATGACACAGTAACCTTAAATGCGCACGTATATGTTGGCGTTCCCAATCCATCTCTTTTTTTTCTTTGCCATTAGTGGTTAGCTACTTCTATTGCTCCATTTATTAACATTAAATAACATTACTTAAAACATATATATTCATTTTTTTACATTAATCTTACTACAGCTACAACCAGTCTTATTTTCTTCATTTTCTCGTGAAGAACTATCGTCCCGGACTCCCGGCTGTAAACACAAACGAAAACAATGGCATCCCATCTCCTCTTGTGTGACCATATTATTATTCATTTATATCGTATAAGGTGCATTCAGAAACATGATTTAAATACTGTAATATAGTTTGCAATTTTCATTAATAATACTGTTTTGGGGGGAAAAAGAGGATAAAAAGCCACACAAAAGATATGAAAAGGTCACACTGGGGAATGCATCTCAATAATATTGCTTTATTTTAATGGTAATTAATGATTCGCGATAAGATGATTCACCTTACACTGCAACATTGGAGGACACATTAACATCGTTATTCGAGGCTTTACTGTGTGTGTGTGTGTATATATATATATATATATATATATATATATATATATATATATATATATATATATATATATATATATATATATATATATATATATATATATATATATATATATATATATATATATATACAGTATTTTCTCAATTTAACACACTAATTTGAGCCACCCATTTCGTTAAATTGAAACTCCAGCTTTCTGCCGTTCAGTCTGAGTCCTGTTGCCACCCCGTGTGTTGTTCACTGCTACCTCTCGGTCAACTAAGTAAACACTGCAGCACCTTAGCTTTTGTTTCCCTTTAAGACATCTTCAGGGGCTACTGAATTTACAAGGATGGAAAGTCAGGTTACCCTTTCTTAGGTGGGGGATTAGTGGATCTCATGACCTGAATATGTCTTGAATAAAGACAAAAGCTAAAACATTTTGGGGGAGACCTGACCTGATGCAATGTCAGGTGGAGGTAAGGTGGGGGATTAGTGGTCTCATATTACTGACCTTCTGATGGAATGTCAGGTCACCCTTTCTTGGGTGGGGGAGATTAGTGGGTCTCATGACCTGAAGATGTCTTGAATAAAGACAAAGCTAAAGTATTTTTAGGGAGATTGTGATAAATATAAGTATCCCTTCAACATTACTTTACATAACATTTTAAAATATGGAGTGAGAAAGCAGAAAGGTGTGGGTGATTACAGAGATGGAATGGAAAGGAGTGGTAACATGCACTGGTGTTGCCAAGCGCTCCTCAACAGCTGATGTTTATCTCACCCCAAGGCAGTCACACAAAAAGATCCCTACTGGATGCGTGTTGTTTTAATTCCTGTGTGTGTGTGTGTGAGGAACAAACCTCAACATCACATACACACACCCTCCAACACCTCCAACACACACCCTCCAACACCTCCAACACACACCCTCCAACACCACCAACACACACCCTCCAACACCACCAACACACACCCTACAACACCACCAACACACACCCTCCAACACCACCAACACACACCCCTACAACACCACCAACACACACCTCCAACACCACCACCACACCCTACAACACCACCAACACACACCCTACAACACCACCAACACACACCTCCAACACCACCAACACACACCCTCCAACCCACCAACACACACCCTCCAACTCCACCAACACACACCCAACACCACCAACACACACCCTCCAACACCACCAACACACACCCTCCAACACTACCAACACACACCCTCCAACACCACCAACACACACCACCAACACGCACCCTCCAACACACAACCTCCAACACCACCAACACACACCCTCCAACACCACCAACACACACCACCAACACGCACCCTCCAACACCACCAACACACACCCCGACCACCCCCAACACACCCTCCAACACACACCCTCCAACACTACCAACACACACCCTCCAACATTTATTATTATATATTCTTGTATGATCAGCCTCTTATGGTGTATGTCTTATCATTGATAATATAAAATATTAAATACTACTATAGAAAAAATACAATACTGTATATAATCAATAATTTGCATACAAATTAAGTGACAAGCTAAATAATAAGGTAAAAATAAGTATGTTATTGTATATGAAGGATACTGGTATTTATAAGCTCAAATTATTACAGTAACAACTTAACTAATTAATAAATAACAAATAAACAATATTTTGTCAAGTTACAGTAAGAATGACAGAGGCAGGGGTGAGCAGTGAGTTCCCCCCCACCCCAAGGGTCTCCTCCACCACCAGTCAATGTACAGAACTAAACAAAGATGTTATTTGAAATACTCTGTAACAGTCAATGACATAGTATCCTGACCACTGGGGTCAGTTATTCAGAATTTTCCATGTGAAAAAGCCATAATTTTGAGCAACATATTACTGTACAATACTCACTTTGTACTCAAAAGTACCAAGCTAAAGGACTAAAAATTTTATCTCTTGTGCAAACTATGAGATGTTTATACTCAAATTAATTGCTATCTTGCAAAGATTCCAGACAAGCATGTTATATTCTGCTAAGTCAAGTCTGTGACATTTTATAAAAGAAAAATTTTAAGCCTAAAACCAACTTCATCCCATTAATCTTTATCACCCACTGCCAACAGGATATCATTAAGGTATTGTTTTATCACCACACAACTAGTGAATGTTATTGTCACTAACTGTAACAACATTAAAGCTCTCTCAAAATAAAGTACTGCAATACTAGCTATTCATGAGTAAGGTTGTAATTAAGTTCAAGAAAAAATAAAACAATATAAACTTAACATGAGTACCATATCGATAGTTTATAGAATTTGGAATACAATATATCAGTAATTCATTAATTACAATTTGCCCCCCAAAAAACTAGTAAAATTAAAAAAAAAAACAGACCTGCGGTGCTGCCATAGTTTCATGATGACTGTGTTGAGAAAATGGAAGCGTAGACGGTACGGAATGCAGTGACACAGAAAAATTATCCACGGCCATAGAGAGAAGAGATGTCAACTGTTGGACTGTGTGAGGGAGAACTGGGCCTGATACCTCCATGCTGTTTTGAACATCACCATCCTGACGAACAACACCGCCCTTTGCCTGTTATTAATACACAGTAAATAATAATATGTACTGTTGATGGATTTTGTGTCATGTGACATGGGGTAGACAATATTTGGGACCTTGATTTAGAAAGGGAGGAGCTACTGTTGCAAAGCACAACTTTTAAAGCAGTAAGAATGAACGAAGGGAATTTGTGTACCCTACTGTATATTTGCTCTTGTTAGTCAAGGAACAAAAAATCACTCATAAAGGTTAATAAATTAGTGTGGTTAAAAAATAGGTTGTGCACAATCACACGGTGCCTTGTACCTTTATTCTGCTCCTCATATTAATTAAATAAATATATTTCTGGTGCATAATCTCGCAAGTCATTCTTCCCATATCCTTTTTTTAAATTACTATTATGTCCAAGTATTCTAATGGCCCTTCTTAACTAGTTAATTATGTCACAACTCTACTTACAACACTTTTCTTACTATAATACAGGCTGGCTGGAATCAAGAGCACATAATTTGTACACATTTAATATCATCCACTCACTGCTATAACAGCTTTGCTATGCTATGGTACAGTATCCCCTCACATGCATTTTAGTACATTCACACCCAACCCTTATGAAAGAAATAGAGTTGTACCTTCAGAGTTGTGAGTGTGGCACCCTGGAAGGCCACTGGGGCCAGGAGGGTTGGAGGAACACCAGCCAGAGACCCAGTGGTAGATACACAACTCTTACTATTCAGTAGGAAGTTAATAAGGCCTTGTGTCTCCATGCCTTCAACATAAACAAGAGATGAAGGGGTGTTATCCACATTCTTGTATTTATCACGTTCTCTGAAAAATTTGAGTGGAGGACAATAAGTAAAGTGGTCCAGTTACTACAGAAACAAGTTTGAAAGAAATGGTAGAACCCAGACAAAAAAGTAGCCTACTGTAGTGTAGTACACTATTAGACATTTATCAATGTGCTCGTATTTAATGATGTGTAACATTGTTTTTCTCTGGTATTAGGTAAAAATTCTACAAGTAAGATTACCTTGTGGTTTTCATGTGTTAAATACTGAATATATAAATATGTGTAACCAAATACGAGGTCTGTCCAAAAAGAAATCAAACTTTTTAAAAAACAAATTTATTGCTTTACTTACAACTTAATCAGACTTGTCTCCTTCAAAGTACTCCCCTCCACTGTTGATACACTGCTCCCAATGTTTTATCCATTTCTGGAACGCGTCCTGGAATGCATTTTGAGGGATGGTGCGCAGGTTTCATAGCGAATTTTCTTCTATCGCCTAAAATCGGCGACCTTGCAGGGTGGATTTCATTTAAAAAAAAAAAAAAAAGTCCGTAGGGCCAAATCCGGAAAGTAGGGCGGCTGGGGGACGATAGTCGTCTCGTGCTTCACCAAAAAGTCACGGATAAGGAGCGACACATGAGCAGGTGCATTGTCATGTGCAGCATCTAGGTCTTGTTTGTCCACGCCTCAGGCCTCTTCCTTCGCACTGCCTCCCTCAAAACGCTTCAGGACCTCTAAGTAAAACTCTTTATTGACTATCTGACCACGTGCAACAAACTCATGATAAACGAAGCCCTTCCAATCAAAAAAGACGATCAACATCACCTCCACATTTGGGCGACTGTGACGTCCAGATTTGGGATCGTCTTCGGTGGATGTTCTTCCCCTTTTGAAACGCTGGTACCACACGTGACATTGTGTACGGCTCAAACAATCCTCCCCATGAGTCTGTTGCAACATTTGACAAGTCTCCTTAAAAGTTTTTCCCAATTTGAAACAGAATTTCACGCAAACACGTTGCTCTTCAGGATCCTTCATTGTTCAACTTGCAACAAATCGCCAAGTGCACTAAACACACGTTCCCTCTAGCGCGTGTAGCTTGATGACTAATTGATGTGGCGTGATGCGGCTAGTGTTAGACTAAACGTCAAGGTCACCGCTACACAGCGTTTCCATTTCGAGCACGCTGCGCTGGCTTGTTGGCGCGCTATTTAAAAAGTTTAGTTTCCTTTTGGACAGACCTCGTATGCTTCAACCTACCTTATGCTAAGCTAATTCAACCCAAATTAATCTAACTCAATGCTACCCCACCTAAGATTCTAACCTAACATAATCTATCAGTTCTGAGCATGAATTTTTCCGCTTCCACACATCATGATGTTGGCAGAATCATCTTGAAGTACAGTATTTAAGTAACCTATCTCTACACATATGAGACCCAGCAAGGTCACGAGAAATTGGGTAGTGGAGAGGGCGACGAAAAACATCTCAAGATATTTTGTTCATGTGGTGTAATGGCGAGACAACAACAGTGTGTGGCAATAAACCTCTCCAAGTGCTGACTTAACTGAAGCTACACATTAAATCTTACTTCCATTTTCAGGTGAACTCCATCAAGTCTTCTAAGCACAAAAACTTAGATCAGTGTTGATGCATAAAATAAAATAATTATAGACTGCACTGTACTTTCATAATATACTGTACAGTACTGTACAGTATAAATAATGACACACTCACAATTTAACTCTGTTAGGATTTAAGTTTGGAAACTGCGAGGTTTCTACACCAAGGTTTTCAAGCCATGATGTTGCTTCCTCTCTCTCCTCTTCTTCCTCCTCATCTTCATCTTCCTCCTGTAATCCTTTTTGTCTGTCTTCTACATCTTTATCCATGTCTTCACTATAACTTGCATTTGTCTTCACTGGTCCAGAGTTTTGGAAAGGCATTTCAAATTCAATATCTGAAAAAAGAGTACTGTAAATGTAAAAAAAAAAAAAAATCCTAAAACATTCACAAAACTTGTTGATATGTCTCAAGTGAAGCGTTATTGAGAATATTGTCAAACTAAATAACTACAAAAAAGATCTATAGCTCTTTGTAATTACAGGGGGTCCCCAACATATGAACATCAGACTTACAAACGCCCGCCAAAATGAACAAAGTTAAACTTTAAATTTACAGTACAGTGGTCCCTCGGTTAATGAGCGCCTCGGTTAACGAGATTTCGGTTAACGAGTTACCTTCCATTAGATTCTTAACTTCGGTTAACGAGCAATCCCTCGATTAACGAGTTTCTTACAAGCCGACCTCAACATGTTTTTGCTTGCATTTGGCGGTCCACCAGCTGTAGTATTAGTCCGCCAATACAGTAATCGGTTCTAGGGCTTATATTCCTTACCATTTTAGTAAATATCAAGAAGTTTGTACTATTCACTAATTTTAAAAGCTTAACATTAAATTTTTTAGTCATTTTAACAATTATTGAACATAATTGAAGGTAATGAAAATAGTTTTATGCACGCCATCCAGCCTGGCAACACACCAAACAGGCACAAGTCTCTCTGTCTTTTCAGTGGAGGTAACATCTTGTTTGAGACTCTCTTCAACTAAATGCTTTTTTTTCTGTGTTTGCAAGCAAATTATTGGTCATTTTGAAATTTATTTTACATATTGACAATATATAATGCAGTGCAGTGTTGATTTAAAGAAAATAATCTTGAATTATACCAAGAGAACTAAAATTTTATGGGTGAAATGGCGCCATGGGGTGACTTCTCTTCCACCCCAATGCCTTCTCTTCTCCCTTCTCCTCCACCCCCATTCTAATTCCCATCATCATCATCATCATCATCATCATCATCCAGGAGCCTTCTACATACACACCTCAAAGTAAGTGTACTTTTCTACCTTTTTTGTTGAATTTAGGCAATTTTCGGTGAGCTGGAACCAATTACCCAGAAGACCCATTGAAACAATGGTTTCGGTTAACGAGCAACCTTCTAGAACGGATTGTGCTCGTTAACCGAGGGACCACTGTACATATATATATATATATATAGTAAATATATATATATATATATATATATATATATATATATATATATATATATATATATATATATATATATATATATATATATATATATATATATATATATATATATATATATATATATATATATATCGATAAAATCACACAGGAAAAAGGAAAACAATGGAGCACCTTAGCTTTTGTCTTTCTTCAAGACATCTAAAAAGATGCTGGAAAACCAATTCTTTGAAGTGAGAGATTGTAAGATATGGAAATATTGTACAGAAAAAAGCAGAGCATTTCACAGTTTGGCTGTGTGAGGAAAGAAGGATATACAGGTACTATAATGGGTTATTCTAGTGTGACTGACATCCACACAGAAACTGTGGGTACCGTGGGCAAGACAAGTGTTACGAACCCACGACCTTTCCGGCAGTACAGTGGTCCCTCGGTTAACGAACACAATCCGTTACAGCTGGTTGCTCGTTAACCGAAACCATTGTTTCAATGGGTTTTTGGGTAATTGGTTCCAGCTCACCGAAAATTGCCTAAATTCAACAAAAAAGGTAGAAAAGTACACTTACTTTGAGGTGTGTATGTAGAAGGCTCCTGGATGATGATGATGATGATATAGTGGAATTTTAAACACTGTTCTGTAAGTACAGTACAGCATGCATATAGCATGTGTTTCAACTTGCATACATTTTCGACTTAGGAACATCCTCAGGAACCAGTTCATAACCCAGGGTCCCTCTGAACTACTGTACAATAAAATACTAAAATTAAAGTACAGTATTGCAGTTTCCTCTCTGATTTTTGGGATAATATTATAAACTAATTTCCGAGAAATCATACACTTAATTCTTTCAAGGTTTCTCTCCCCAAAAATTAATATTTATGTTTTCCATCAATTTTCTCATCCACTTCCAGCACGTGGATTGTACCCGTGGTTACCCAGCCTCATTCAATCCAAGGAAGTGTTCTATAGGTAACCACAACTGTTGTATTCTCTGCCATGATACATAAATAATTTGCTTATATACAGATTAAAACTAAACATTAAATCACGAACAAAGAAAATAGAACATCAAAGTTACGGACCTTCTTGCTTCATTGCTTCTCGGAAACCTCTGGTGGTGGGGGTAATTAAAGCATGGGCCTGCGATATCCCCGCTACACCCGCTGCCCTAAATAAACAGGTGAACGTTGGCCCACAAACATAGAAGTAAGGACACTGACGGACTCTTAACAGCTGGTGCAATGAACGAAGACTTTCACTCCTGTTGGAATAAGACATTATATATACAGTATATTATATAATTTGTATTAACTATTCCATTATATTTGGGCCTTATTATAGTAAATGGAAGCCATAGCATAATGCATCTGTTATAGAAATAAGAGACAGTAAATCAAAACAAACGAAGGAGGAAGAGAGTGTGGTGATCCTGCATTACAGGAGGAAAAAGGTGTAGAGTGAAAAATCTTGAGAAACTGAAAAAAAAATTAATTGAGCTAAAAGGGAGATGACCACTTTGTGAGATCCTGTTCAACAACTGGAACTGTTTGGATATCCTTGACAGCAATACAGTATAGTACAGTAGTTTGTATTTACTGTACAGTATGTCAGTTTCTACAGTTTGATCATCACCTAACTCTTAAGATGCTATTGATAAATCGCTGATAATTAAACTCTACCAATATTGTGTCTGGGAAGTTTAGATAATACTTAGGAATTTATAAAATACTATACAGAAATATCAATATGTCAGGTAACCATTAAATGCAAATTTCTGAGACCAATAACTTATATAATGCATAGATGACATTTTATTACCATTATTACAGTACAATACATTTATTACACATTCTAACATGGTCAAGACAAAGCCTTTTACCATTCAGAGTGAAGTGATTCTGCTAATTTTTGGTCTGTACCAAAAAGTCCAGTTTGTGATGTTAGCTTTATGTTGTCGCGGGGGAACAGTTGTAACCAAGGGAGATTAGGATGCTGCCACACAAGACAACACTGATAGAACTGAGCATTGGCTGAAGTGTCTAGAGTGCGGTCATCATTCTCATCTGATACAGAACTTAGACATCTCACAAATCCTGTGGTTCCTGAAGCTTCCTCGGAGGTCTGTATAATAATAATAATAATAATAATAATAATAATAATAATAATAATAATAATAATAATAATAACAATAATAATAATACGAGTCAAATATTCTTGGAGAAAATAATTTCAGAGGTTATCAATTTCTCTGAAATATGCTGTTTCATTATATAGATGGCCTCTATACATACACACTTGTGCTGGCTAACAATAAGCAAAGTTTTTTTAAATGTCAAAGATAAACTACAAATACCTACCTTAAAGTTATGTTTCCACGGCAGAGATTTGTGTGATTTAAATCTGATTCTGGTTTTTAAACTCCAGTCAACTACCAACTTGTCAGTCCAAGTTACCCTTGGTGAATCTTTGTCCTACAAAATACAAAATAATTGAAAATTACAGTACAGTATTAAAAAATTACAATGTTTCCATTTCTCTCTTTACGTCATAATGGTGAGCAGGAACACTTAACGAGTTATAGCTTAAATTACAAGAGATACATACTGTACTGTGCTGTAATGCTCTCTACTGTATATCAAACCATCTAATGGCTTAATCAGGCTCTGATTCACAAGAGTGGCTGATATAGAGAGAAGTATATACCTGTACAGTACAGTACTCTATTTCACTCAACAATTATGAGAGAAATTATCAGTTTTAAAATTATGGAAACTTCTGCAAGATGGAAGAAAATTAGTAATATTAAAGTCTTTTCCTACTTATAGTTTGTCTATCACATCAACACAATAACTACTTAATAAAAACCCAAATAACAAATTCCCTAGAAATATAAAAATACTGTATAAACGATTAATACAGTACACAGTTTTCCTTAAGAATCATGTACCAGAAAAATTATTTAAAAGATCTATGAAGGTGAAAAAAAAAGTAAACTGGTACTGCATATCATTATTACACTTGAAAGCCTCTTATAATAATAGCTGGTCATTTGTTTCTCAAACGCGCCAGTTCATCTAAAGAATCATTAGCACTCGAAACTCAACAAAGTCAAAGGCAGCTTTCTTTTTTCTTTTTTTTTTACTTATCTGAATTATTATTACAGGAGTATTAAATTTTTGCCCCTCAGGCCCCAATGTGGGTCAGTGACCTATGCCTGGGTGGGCTAATCCCCATAAATAAAAACAACAACAAAGCCGCAGGAAATTAAGGTTTGTTTACATCTGGCAGTTCGGCTGCTCTCTCTCTCTCCCCCTCTGCTTGTCTATACAGAGTACAACATTTAACCCTTCAATATATATGAGCAGTAAATAAGTGTTGCTTTCATATTCTTATGTAGAGTAATGACGATATGTTTTCACATGTGCGCACTTACATAGAGCAGTCTCACTTTTTTTTTTACCATTAATGGTTAGCTACTTATATTGTTCCATTTATTAACATTAAATAACATTACAGGTACTTCAAACAACCATATTAATATTTTTACATTAATTTTACAACAGCTACAATCAGGGTCTTATTTTCTTCAGTTTTATATGTAGAACCAATCAGTCACTGGTTTTGTAAGCTTTAACATAAACAATGCCGGCAGCCGTCTCGTCTCATCGTGTGTTTTCATATTCCACGTGTTATTAATAGATTGTAATGTTAATTTTGCACACACAAACATTAATTCAATAAAAACAAATTCAGAAACATGAATTAAAATATATATGAACAGTAAATAAGTGTTGCTTTCATATTCTTATGTACAATAAAGTAATGACGATATGTTTTCACGTGTGCGCACTTACATATGCGATCTCTCTTTTTTCTTTACCATTATCGTTAGCTACTTCTATTGTTCCATTTATTAACATTAAATAACATTACAGTATTACCCCGCTTTACACGGTTTCACTTTCCTCGATTTCTCATTTACGCGGTACCTTGCCAGAACTGGACTTTCACTTTCTGCGGTGCATCTACTCATATACGCGGTGAAGTATAATTTTTTTTTATTTAGCTCATAAAATTCATACAAATTACCCTGCCAGAATATAATCTACATTGCTGGAATTCTTATAATATGATGATCATTTTGAATATAAACATCATGGATTTTGCATTACGGGTAGACATACAAATTTTAGATCTAATGTAATAATTTGGTTTACACAAAGCAAATATTTTATTGTTTGTGCAAAATATATGAAGTTTACATTCAAAATATTCCCTGACCTGCAAGGAATCTAGAAATGTCAATTATATTATCCTAACTTTAGTCTAGGTTATTATTTATTACTAAAAATGTAAATATGCTATTTTCTCCCAATCGCTTCTCTGGTAGGGAGGGAAGGTGGAGGGTGGGGGGAAGGAAGGGAGGGAGGGAGGGCAGAGGTGGGGTACTTTGATTGACAGATAGTGTCCTTGAAGAATATTTCTTTGTTTATTTACTGAAGATATTTGTTTTAGCTCATAAAATTCATACAAATTACCCGGCCAGAATATAATTTACATTGCTGGAATTCTTACAATATGATGATCATTTTGAATATAAACATCATGGATTTTGCATTAGACATACAAATTTTAGATCTAATGTAATAATTTGGTTGACACAAAGCAAATATTTTATCTTTTGTGCAAAATATATGAAGTTTACATTCAAAATATTCCCTGACCTGCAAGGAATCCAGAAATGTCAATTATATTATCCTAACTTTAGTCTGAGTATTATTTATTACTAAACGTTAAAATCTAGTGCTTTCACCCAAACATTTCTCAGAGAGTAGGAGCTAGTGAGCTGGGAAGGGGGAGGGGGGATTTGAGTCCATTATTTGAGTGGACATTAACCTGGCGACTGTATTTCTCTTAAATATTAATTGTGTGAGCATACCATCATAAAATTTAGATGTTATTTTTACTACAACATAGGTATTGTGTCGGAAAAAGTGGAGTTTGGGGGTCGGGCCAGTCTCTATTGGAATTAATCCCATATGTTCTGTTGTTCACTTTACGCGGTTTTCACTTTCCGCGGTACCCTGTGGGTTCAATTGACCGCGTAAATCGGGGTACTACTGTACTTAAAACAACCATATTAATTTTACTACAGCTACAACCAAGGTCTTATTTTCTTCAGTTTTATATGTAGAACCAGTCAGTCACTGGTTTTGTAATCAACGAAAACAATGCTGTGTCATTTCCTCGTGTGTTTTAATATTCTACGTATTATTAATGAATTGTATTGCTCATTTTGCACACATAAACAATAATTCAATAAAAAAGACATTCAGTAATTAACAATAATGAATCTTTTGTACGTAAGAGAAATGACGCTGTTTACACGATTATGCACGTCGTCTGCACGTTGGCGGGCCGTTCAAACCCGTCGAAATTCAAGTTTCCGCAGTCAAAATTTTTATTTATTTTTTTTTGTGTGTGTTCCAATAAAATACATTGAATTAAAAACTCGCGAATTTTGAGAAGCTACTATACGACATTTAACCCTTCAATATGTCTTCAAAGAGACCATGATGCAGAGAAAGTGGTGCTAGTGCTTCCAAGCATAAGCACAAGTCACTATCTATCCAGGAAAAGGGTGAATTTCCATGGTCCGGCACCGGTCAGGTCCCGAGGTTGCCGGACTAGAGAGGTACAACCTGTACTATAAAAGATCACAAAAACTGACAGTTTGACTCCTATCATTCATAAGAACAACATAAGAAGTATATATGTGTGACTATGATGACTTCAACACTAGAATGAAGATTATATTCCCTATTCTGTAAAATCCATCATGAGACATTTTTTAAAGCAAATAAAACATGTATACTGTACTGTATACAGTACTATACAGTATTTGTATCTCTTACTTCACCAGTTGCTTCAGCACCAAATTCTTTACTGAAAAGATTGGAAAAGCTGAATGTCTGTGGGACCCTGTCCTTGGTGTTCACTGCTGCTGGGTTAAGTAACTGAAAGAGCGTTATGTCACTTGTTGCTTCTAAATCATTGTCTTCTCCGTGTACTCTTAATATCTTGTTGGGGGAGCATCTGTTTAGGGAGAGAAACACTTTAACACAACTCAAGCTAAAACTGCACATGTGAAATCATATAAATAATAGATTCATATTTTGATAGTCTTAAGACTGTCACCAAAGAACTATAGTAATATATGTCTTCCATAACATAACAGAAGGCAGGCTATAACTCTGTCAGAACAAATAACCTTGATACTGTATGTGCACATCAACCATCCATGAAAATTATTTGCACTAAGTTTCATGGGACTACATTAAAAATATTGATTTTCCAAATACAGTACCTGTATGTGTTTACAGACAGATGAATGTTACTTTAAGTTACAGACACGTCATGACTACAGAAGCATCTCTAACAATATAAAAATGAATGACCTAAGGCAATGTAGGTGATTTACAACTGTATATTATCTCACCCATTATATTACAAGGTCATCTATTTACTGATAATAAAAGTTCAATATACTTTACTGTTGTGTCTAACACAGGTACTGGAGACCCAACAATTTAAACATACAGTACTGTACAAGATGCTACAGTATATCACATCTTGCCCCAAACACTCCACATACACTACAGTGTCTGTGTTATGGGACCACACCTGTAATTCATACAGAAATGACTTCCAATAGTAATTTATTTTTAAGTGTTCAAGCTTTTCTCACCATAAAGCTGGCTGGCCACAGACAAATATTTTACAAACTTCATTCATATTGTTGTAATAGAAGTGTTCTGCTATGATATTCCCCTTCCACAACAATGCTCCAAATAATGTAGCTGATCGAGTTGTCCACCCACATACTGTACTAAGTATAATACCCTAAATAAACACTGATCCTTAATTACTGGCAAGCAGTTATACTTAGAAACTTTACCTAAATGGATTCCTTCTCTTCAAACTGTGACTGTTGGCAGCACTATATTGACCATTAACAGGAGCCAGTATCTGCAGGGGAGCAGCTGAGCTCTTCATGCGTGCTTGGAGTGCTCGACTCTTGGCCTTCAGTTTCCTCACTCGCATCACGTCCCCCGGCCGTATCCAGCCAGGGGACGCTGCAGGATATGACTCAGCACTCATGGTCAATACTGAAGAAATTAAGGTTTATAAGACAGTAATAATTTATAAGTACAGTAATATAAAAATGCTTCAGTTCAATGTTGTGGAAATAACCCAACTAGTGACTAATGCTAAGACATCAAATGGTCCTTAGTCAAGCCAGGTTTGAACTTACAGGTACTGTAAAGCAGATGACACAAACCAACCACACTTAATCCATCAAGCTTAGGCTGTCTGGGAGTTTATTAATGCTAGTTTTGGTTATATTAAGTTGTTACATTAGTCTAAGTTTGATTTCCTTGGTTCATGTCCTCTGTCTACTGCACTTTGTGAGTGGTTTAACTTCATACAGTACTTTTATGGCTCCTCTTTCATATAACAAGTGTAAGCGAATTTAGTTCTGCTTACAAAATACAAATTTTCTGAATTATAGACAGTGTCAGTGAAACACAAATATTAATGACCTCTGCCATTTAATTAATGTAACACACCTGTTGTATGTTTGAACCAGTAGCCTGAGGACTAACAATGGACATAAAGTTTTACTACATAACAAAGCCAGAAAGTGGACGAAGAAAATATTTTACTTAATACCATACTTATAAGAAAACTGTTGTTCTCAACCAGTTTTTATGGTAGCGGTCCTAATATATATAAAAACACAGTCTTAGGCGATAGGTATAGTCTCCAGCAACCAAAATAAAATGTAACATTGTAAATACCTCATATATTTACTCAGCAATGATAAATTTGGGGTAACATCTCACTCGTTGCCACCCGAAGAATTTAGAGAACTTTATGGTTGCAATCAATAGCTTAGACAATTCTAAGACACCTTTCTTCTACGACATTTCCCTCGCAAATGACCTAACCTAACCTCCTAACATAACCATCGGCATAAAATTAATCGTTTGCGAGAGAAACGTCACATAGGTGTCTTAAAATTGTCTAAACTATTGATTACCGATAGGCAGACCAGGAAAGGAGGCGGAGTAGCAATCTATGTCAGGGATAATCTGAAGTGTGAAATAAATAAAGAAATAAAAACTGAGCGGAATACAGAAACAATTTGGACAGAATTAATCGACGCTAGGGAAAAATTAATCACAGGAGTAATATATAGACCTCCTAATCTTGATAGAGTAAATGAGCGACTTATCTGGGATGAAATGTGCAGGGCTTCCATACACAACAAAGTCTGTATAGTAGGCGACTTTAACCTTGGCCAAATAGATTGGACTGACCTTACGGGTAACTCAGAATCAGAGGATTTTCTCGAAACGATCCAGGACTGTTTCCTAAGTCAACATATAACCGAACCCACCCAGGGTAATAATATACTCGATTTAGTTCTGTCGAACAGAGAAAACCTCATTAGCAATGTCGAGGTAGGGAACGAGCTTGCAAACAGCGATCACAAAGAAATTAGATTCCAGTTAGAATTTCAGGGCAAACGGAAGGAAAATTCCAATAAAGTCCCAGATTTCAGAAGGGCAAACTTTGACAGTTTGAAGAGGCAGCTGAGGGAGGGGGTGTCGCACTTGGGAGTGAGCTACATGACCTCATATGAGGTGACCTCACTCAATGCACCCACAGAGGGCGACCTCACCGTACCAGGAGACCCGACGGTTGAGACTGACTTGATAACGAGATCTGAGATTGCCGAGTTACACGACAATTTAAATAATGAGTTACTTAATGCACAAATGCAGAACATACCATACAAAAAACTCAGATCAGAAAACAATGACCCTAAATGGATTAATAATTATTTAAAGAGCATTATTGGACAAAGGAAGGCTATAGGTAGAAGGATAAATCATGGCGAAATTTACCTCCGGGATTATTATAAGGTATTGGCGAGTAGTGTAAAAACCGAGATAAGGAAAGATAAGAGGAATAATGAGGTAAGGATAGCAAGGGAGGCAAAGACAAACCCCAAAGGACTCTACCAAATGTATCAAACTAAAACACGAGAAAAGATTGGACCAATACGGTCAGATACCGGCGAGCTAACTGATAACGACGGAGAAATGAGCAATAATCTGAATAAATATTTTTCAACAGTTTTCACCACCGAAAATTTAAACATGATACCCGAGGCACCGACTCTATTCAGAGATAGTGAAGAAAACAAATTAAGCGAGATAGTAGTGACTAGTAACGATGTTAGTAAGCAAATAGACACACTAAAGCCTAATAAGTCACCTGGTCCCGATGAGATATTTGCCAGAGTATTAAAGGAATGTAAGGAAAGAGCTTAGTATGCCCTTAGCAAAGTTGTTTAACATGTCCTTAAAAACAGGTGTAGTACCAGAATCCTGGAGGATAGCGAACGTAATACCGATTTTCAAGAAGGGGGATAGATCACTATCCTCTCACTGTCGTCCAATTAGACTAACATCAATAGTAGGCAAATTACTGGAAGCAATCATTTCAAACTCTATTTGAAATCACCTGGAGAAGCACCAAATGATCAACAATTCCCAGCATGGCTTCACAAGTGGGCGTTCATGTCTAACTAACCTATTAACATTCTTTTCACCAGTTGTCAAATTGGTGGACGAGGGGCACAACTATGATGTGGTATATCTCGACTTTAGCAAAGCCTTCAACAGTCCCCCATGAAAGACTAATTAGAAAGGTAGAAGCACATGGCATCAAAGGTAATATCCTTAAATGGATTCGGGCGTGGTTACAGGACAGGAAACAGCTAGTGAGCATTCACGGCACTAAATCCCATTGGAGCAACGTCACTAGTGGAGTTCCCCAAGGCTCAGTACTTGGACCATTATTATTTATTATATACATAAACGAAATAGATATCGGCATTGACAGCAACATAAGTAAATTTGCTGATGACACTAAAATAGGACGTGTTATTAAATCTGATGAGGACTCCGCAAAACTACAGGAGGATCTAAAAAAATTTTTCGAATGGTCTGAAAAATGGCAGATGAAATTCAACATCGACAAATGTAAAGTACTCAGTATAGGAAATGTAAACAGGGAAACCAGATACCAGATGAACAACGATGCCATAGAGAAATCCGACTGCGAGAGAGATTTAGGAGTAATGATAAGTAGGAACCTTAAGCCAAGTAAACAATGTGTTTTTGCTCGTAACAAGGCTAATAAAGTACTTGGGTTCATACAAAGGAGTGTTAGTTACAAGACTAGCGAGGTCATCCTAAAACTGTATCTTGCGCTTGTAAGACCACACCTGGATTACGCAGTTCAGTTCTGGTCACCGTATTACAGGATGGATATAGAATCATTGGAAAGAATTCAGAGGAGAATAACAAGACTAATCCCGGGCATTAGGAACCTTGAGTATAGAGACAGGTTAAAGCATCTAATTTGCACTCCTTTGAGAGACGAGAGCGCAGAGGCGACCTGATAGAGGTGTATAAATGGAAGTCAGGGCTAAACAGTTAAAAACAAAACTGTCCAAATCAGGAGCGAACTCGTGAATAATGGTTTTAAATTAGACAACTTAGATTTAGGCGTGAAATAGGTAAACACTGGTCGGAAACAGAGTAGTGATGAATGAACAGTGTGCCAAAACAATACCATTAACTCCTGAATACGCTGAATAGCTGCTTCAAACATAGTTGGATGCTTATATGCATAATAGTCAAAGTAAAATGACTGTCTTGTACATGTTAAATAGGGCCCGCTGTTTCTCCATTCTTATGTTCTTATGATTGCAACCAAGAAATTCTCAAAATTTTTGAAACAAAAGTTGAAATAATAACGAATTTATTTTTTACACACATTGACTTATAAGTAACTCTGGACTCTGAACAACGACATTACTCACAAATATAACAGAGAAGTTATTCTGAAATAAGTAAATGTTTCCTCAGAAGATTGTTCACATTGTTTACGGCTGTCTACTACACACTGTTGCCACACACCTCACACAAGACACCTAAGTCTATAACTGGTATCGCCTAATTTTCTTAACTTAAGGCCCTTATCATCAATATGATTTTTTTAATAACCTCGGTTAGGGAGATAACAGCAGAGAAACGTTGTGGTGGCCTTTAAGAATTTGTTTTTTAAATAATAGCCTAAACTAGTAACACTGTTGAGACGAGGTACGGCCCCAAGGGAGTTGTAAAATATCAACAAAATTAATATAATATATGATTTAAATAGATATCTTAATACGGTTATTAAGCACAAAATATCTGACAAAAATATCTGAAGATAACATCAATACAATAGATCTTATTGAAGAAAAGGATGAGTCAAATACAAATTAAAGAGCAGTGATGGTGACAACTGTCTGACATAATTTGTTCATTACTCCTACTAGCAGTAAGCATATTCTTAGTGTTTCTCTTTTTTTAATGAGGAAGAGCCCGCCCGGACACAAGGGTGCCTAGAGGGCGAAAAAATAACAGTACTGTACTGTACACGGCGTCTTGTATTACAGTAGGTAATTATCAATGTCTGTGATTGTTTAGTTGAAACTCATGGTCCAAATTATTGTTTCATTTAAGGGTCACCATTTATTACTTGTGATATTTCTTTAGGGCTAATATGGAGGACTTTACAGCCAAAGTGGTATTTGTTTTGATGTTTATATTCTTACTATATTTTCATTAGGGAGTTTGATATAATAGTCATTTGAAATTATTTTACTTTCAGACATAACGCGCCCGAAAGTTATAAACTACTGAAACATTTAGATCTCCCTATTCTGAGCATTTTGAACTCCATATACACCAGGCGGAAATGGATAATAGAGACGCAATTGAATTTAATTGATTTTACGTTGTTTCCAGTGTTCGTCAATGAGATGTTATCACTCATGCACAATACTGACTCATGTGACCCATGGTGTATCGATATCATCACCCGATTTTTTTCGACCAATCACATTTGATTTTTTCAAAGGAAGCAGCCTTAGACCTGGGTAATTTCATTGACCAGTCTCACAATGGCCGTGGTGGAGGCTGGTTGTCATTTGTGCTATGATTATTTTAAGTTTATTGCTGAGTTTTACGAGAAAGATGATCAATCTCCTCCCACTTCTAACTAAGGTATCGTACTTTTGGACATGGCGCACCCCGGTGAGAGTTAGGTTAGACGACTGTTTTCGTTTCCTCCCCCGATTTCCAGGCTCTCCCACATTATTGTTGGGGCAAACGAGCAATTTCCGCCAAAATGAAGATAAGATTCGTTTAAAAACAACAAAATACACTGGAAAAACATATTGGTCAACCCATAGGGTCTCAAGTCCTAAAGTAAAAATTTACCAGTCATTTTTATGGAAATTGCTTCGTCTAGTAGTTGATCAGGCGATTAGGCACACACTTCTTTATCTGGTGCACACTACTTTGTCTTTCTCAGCTTGATGCGGCGGTACACAGCCAATCATCTCCAATTGATGCCAGTGTATGTTTATGAGCCACTCAGATTGGCTCACTGCTCTCATGTCCACAAAAACCCTGAAATTATACCATATAATAGAAAGTGCTTTCTGTTTAATATGCCAGGGGGTTAAGCCTCACGGCTAGCATGTTAGGTAAGATTAGGTTGGTGAGGTCTTCTAACGCTTCTGCCACATGTTTTTTCATATCAACTAATGTTAGGTTAGGTTTAATTTGGAAATTAACACCTTTTACACATTTTCCATAGGTAAGACAATATCCACTATAAAACCTGGTGAAATTGCTGCATTTTTTAAATCGTTTTCTATGAAAAATTTGCGGTGGGTCAGTCATCAATAATTACTGAACAAATACTGTTACATTATACTGTATATAATTTATCGTTTATAGAATGAACCAAACTTACTTACTTTACCTAAATAATTGATAATGTTTATTGGTCAAGTTTAGGAAGGTTAGGTTAGGTTAGGTCAGGTCTTACTAAACACTTATAGGACCCACTTTCACTCACATAAATATTGATATTGTTTAAAATTTTGGTGTTATTGTACTTTGAGTGTCCCGGCCTTAACACCAACCTGACAAATTTCTCCATAGACGATAAAGCTTTCTGTTCATAGAGACAGACTAAAAGTATTAAAAAACATGTTAACCGTTGTTTGATACTGTACAATACAGTATTCAGACTTACCTTCCATTCTTCCCCCCTGGACTGTATTTCATTCATTAGGACATACAGTACAGGTGACTTCCAATGCTCATTTCGCCACCAACCCGTCTCGTCACTACTGCTTTACCCGTTTCGTCACCGTGTTCATTCCCATCAATATATACACGTAAATAACTGTTACTTGGGATAGAAAATAATAAAATACAGTAAGACAATTTATTAAAGATGAAAATTTAATATAAAAACATTGTTATTACACCTGCAACCATCTCACTATAACAATATGAGTGTTATTACACCTGCAATCATCTCACTATAACAATTTGAGAAAAACTAAATTTTGCTCATGCAAGCTTGGCAGAAGACAATGACAATTTTTTAGGAAATTAGAAGTGGTGATATTTTTTTCTTCATATTCATCCCACAGCTTACAGAGATGGACTTGTTTGTCATGATTTGCTTTTCATGTGCATGATTTTAGCTTGAGCTCAGCAACTAGTTGTAATTGCAAATCAACCATTAAGGCTTCTCTTTGAAGAAGAGGGTCAAGGAGGTACAGAGCGAGATTGTTCTTTGCTGCTCTGTGGTTTATCTTGCTGTTGCCATATCACTTTAATTTTTTCTGTATTTTGTTTATTTACCAATGTTAATCGTTTTCATTATTAAACAATTAATATTCATGTGTAATAATAACACAATACTTCTCAAGTCGTCTTCATACGCGTGTAATTTCTATTAGGTGTAAAATAATAACTTGCAATTTGTCACTAATATCAGCGGCTGTTTGTGGTAATGAAAGCAGTTTGATATTGGTGACTGTAATTATTAATTTTAGTAACATTACAAACAAAATTATTTTCAGCATATTAGCTGGTTACAATGACTCGACACTCCAAAAACTGCACTGCCAGTTCAGTCTACTCTTATAATGAGAAGAAGAAGGATGCTAAAGCCTCAGGATACGGATCACTGAAATTATTATGGTAAAGATGGCGTAAAGGATTTTGACTGTTGCAGCCTCTCCCTCCACCCCTGTCGCAACCCAGTAGTAACACCAGGTAAGGTATTATTGTTTTGCTCTCCCTCCACCCCTGTCGCAACCCAGTAGTAACACCAGGTAAGGTATTATGCTACTTGGCCTCTCCTCCACCCCTGCTCATAACCCAATAGTAACTTTCCAGGGAGTAGTATTGTTACAGCCTCTCCCCCACCCGTCTAGCAGTAGTAACACCAGGTGGTATTATTATTTAGCCTCTCCCCCACACGTCACAACCAGTAGTAACTTTCAGAGTAGGTATTATTGTTACAGCCTCTCCCCCACCGTCTAGCCAGTAGTAACACTGGGTAAAGTGTTATTGCACCCCTCTCCTCCACCGTCCTGGCCAGTGGCTTGGGTGGGTGTGTTATTTGGCCTCTCACCCCCACCCCCGTCCTGACCCAGTGTGCTTACCAGGTAAAAAGGTGTGTTATTTGCAGCCTCTCCCCACACCCCGTCACAGCCCAGTAAACAGCACCAGGTGGAATGTGCCTGGCTGGCCTCTCCCCCACCCATGCAACCCCAGTGGTAACACCAGGTGGTGTGTTACAGTACCTTCCCCCCCACCCGTCCTGGCCCGTAGTAACACCAGGTAAAATTATTATTGTTACAGCCTCTCCCCCCACCCGTCTGGCCAGTAGTAACACCAGGTGGCGTGTTACAGCCTCTCCCCCCACCCGTCCACAACCAGTAGTAACACCAGGTAAGGTGTATTAGTACAGCCTCTCCCCCACCGTCTGGCCAGTGGTAACACCAGGTGGAGTATTATTATTTGCAGCCTCTCCCCCCACCCATTTAGCCCAGTAGTAACACTTGGGTAAGATGATATTGTTACAGCCTCTCCCCCCCACCGTCTGGCCCAGTAGTAACACCAGGTGGTATTATTATTTAGCCTCTCCCCCCCCACCCGTCCTGGCCCGTGGCTGCACTTCAGGTAGGGTGTGTTATTTTGGCCTCTCCCCCCACCGTCCTGGCCAATGCGTAACACTGGGTGGAGTCTGGCCTGGCCCCTCCACCCCCCCACCGTCTGGCCCAGTGACTCACGCAGGGTAGGGTGTGTGTTGCAGCCTCTCCCCCCACCGTCCTGTACAGTGGTAACACCAGGTGGGTGTGTGTGCAACTCCCCCCACCGTCACAGCCTATTGTGCTGGGTAAGGTATCATTGTTGCAGCCTCCCTCCCCACCCGTCACAACCCCTAGTAGTAACACCAGGTGGGTATTATTGTTACAGCCTCTCCCCCACACGTCACTTGGCCAGTAGTAACACCAGGTAAGGTATTATTACAGCCTCCTCCCCCCCACCACGTCTGGCCAGTAACACCAGGTAGTTAGTATTGTTACAGCCTCTCCCCCCACCATCTGTATTAGTAACACCAGGTAAGGTAATTATTCTTGCCAGCCTCTCCCCCACCCGTCCTGACATAGTAGTAACACCAGGTAAAGAGTATTAATTATTGTACCTCTCCCCCCACCGTCCTGACAGTGGCGCAACACCAGGTGGGTATTATTATTTACAGCCTCTCCCCCCCACCGTCCCCAGCCCAGTAGTAACACCATTAAAGGTGTTATTTCAGCCTCCCCACCGTCACAATACCCAGTAGCTTACCAGGTAAGGTAGTATTGTTACAGCCTCCCCACCACGTCACAACTTAGTAGTAACTGGGTAAGGTATTATTGTTGCAGCCTCTCCCCCACCGTCACCAACCCAGTAGTAACACCAGGTGAGTGTTCCTTCCAGCCTCTCCCCCACCGTGCATAGTGGTAACACCAGGTAGGTGTTATTGCAGCCTCCCCCCGTCCTGGCCCAAATGCTTGGGTAAGGTATTATTATTTTATCTCCCCCACCGTGTAGCCCAGTAGTAACACCAGGTAAAAGGTATTATTGTTACAACCTCTCCCCCCACCGTCTGCTTTAATGCTGGGTGAGTATTATTATTTATTTCTACCATCACAACCAGTAGTAACACCAGGTAAGGTATTATTGTTGCAGCCTCCCCCACCCGTGCAGTGGTAACACCAGGTGGGTATTATTGTTGGCCTCTCCCCACCGTCACAAGCCCAGTAGTAACTTTCAGGTAGATTATTATTGTTGGCCTCTCACCCCCACCACGTCACAACCAGTATTAACACCTTGGGTGGGTCCTTCTTGAATTTCTGGCCCTCTCCCCACCGTCCCACAACCCAGTAGTAACACCAGGTAAGGTATTATTATTTACAGCCTCCCCCTACGTCGCAACCCAGTAGTAACATAGATTGAGTGTGTTATTACAGCCTCCCCCCGTCTGGCAATTAGTAACACCCGTTGGGTATTGTTGCAACCTCTCCCCCCCACCCGTCCTGACGGTAGTAACACCAGGTGGGTATTATTGTTACAATATCTCCCCCACCGTCTCACAACCCAGTAGTAACACCAGGTAAGGTGTGTTGTTTCAGCCTCTCCCCCCCTACCCGTCTGGCAATTAGTAACACTGGGTGGGTATTATTGTTGCAACCTCTCCCTCCACCCGTCCTATTTAGTAGTAACACCAGGTAAGTGTTATTGTTGGCCTCTCCCCCCACCGATCACAACCTGATGGTAACACCAGGTAAGGTATTATTATTGCAGCCTCTCCTCACCAAAACCTGTTTAACCCAGTAGTAACACAGGTGGTGTTTATTGTTACAGCCTCTCCCCCCACCGTCACAACCCAGTAGTAACACCGGGTAAGGTATTATTGTTTGACCTCCCCCACCGTCACAACCAAATTGTTAACACCAGGTAAGGTATTATTATTTACAACCTCTCCCCCACCACGTCTAGCCGAAGTAGTAACACCGGGTAAGGTATTATTGTTACAGCCTCCCCCACCGTCACAACCCAGTGGTAACACCAGGTGGGTATTATTATTTACAGCCTCTCTCCCCCACCCGTCCACAACCCGGTAACACCAGGTAAAAATTATTATTGTTGCAACCTCTCCCCCCCACCCGTCCCACAACCCATTAGTAACACCAGGTAAAATTATTATTATTTAGCCTCTCCCCCCACCCGTCCTGACCAGTGAAATAACACCAGGTAAGATATTATTGTTGCAGCCTCTCCCCACCGTCGCCCAGTAGTAACACGCAGGTAAGGTATTATTGTTGCAGCCTCTCCCCCACCGTCCTGGCTGGTAGTAACACCAGGTGGAGTATTATTGTTGGCCTCTCCCCCACCCGTCACAACCGTGGTAACTTGGGTAGTGTTCCATTGTTGCAACCTCTTCCTCACCCCTGTATGTAAGCAGTAGTAACACCAGGTAGGTATTATTGTTACTGGCCTCTCCTCCACCGTCACAACCAGTAGTAACACCAGGTGGTGTTATTGTTACTGGCCTCTCCCCCCACCCGTCCACAACCCAGTAACACCAGGTAGTGTTATTTGTTACAACCTCTCCCCCACCCACGTCCACAACTGGTAGTAACACCAGGTAAGGTATTATTGTTGCAGCCTCTCCCCCACCGTCCACAACCCAATGTGCCTGCCGGGTAAGTATTATTGTTACAACCTCTCCCCCCGCCCGTCTTTATTGATAGTAACACTGGGTAAGGTATTATTGTTACAGCCTCCCCCACCGTCACAACCAGTAGTAACACCAGGTAATTATTATTGTTCAGCCTCTCCCCCACCCGTCTGGCAATGTGCTGCCAGGTAAGGTATTATTGTTACAACCTCTTTCCCCCAACCGTCTCTGTGATAGTAACACCAGGTAAGGTATTATTGTTGCAGCCTCTCCCCCACCCCACGTCTAGCCAGTAGTAACACCAGGGTAGGGTATTATTGTTGGCCTCTCCCCCCCACCGTCTAACCTGTGTAACACCAGGTAAGGTATTATTATTTACAGCCTCTCCCCCCCACCGTCCTGGCAAGTAGTAACACTGGTAGGTATTATTGGTACAACCTCTCCCCCACCGTCACAACCCATTAGTAACACCAGAGTAAGTGTGTATTTGCAGCCTCTCCCCCCTACCCGTCTGGCCTAGTAGTAACTTTTAATTAACAAGGGCGACAAGGGCGATTCCAGGGTGTCCGCCGTCCGGACCCCTGTTTTTCATCAGAAAATTCCAATACTTTCTTTTAATGCAGTAGGACAGGTATTGTACTCAGGTATTTTTGTACAGTACAGTATAGTAAAAAGTATTTACTATCGACCTCAGAATACGGTGGTCCCTCTGTTAACGAATGTTCGATTAACGAATTTTGTTAACGAATTACCTCCCATAAGGATCTTCAATTCGGTTAACGAACAAAACTGACAGAAATCCCACGACAAACATGTTTTGTTGTGAGCATCAGCTGATGGGCTAGTCTGTCAATTCAGTAATCTCTTCTATGTTTACATTTGTTTCCAGTGGAGTAAATATCAAGAAAGTTGTGCTCTTTAATATTTTTGCATTTTTTATATTAAAATTATTAGTACGGTAATTTTAAAATTTAGTTAACATATTAATAATATATGCAGTACAGGGAACTAGTTTTTTGTGCGCCCATCAGCTGCTTCACTCACCCACCAGGCTGAGTTTGGCTTTGTTTACAGTGTAGTGAACATCGATTTTGTTGTGTCTTGAATATTTTTGCACTTTTACATTAAAATTATTGGTCATTCAGAAAATTAGTTAACATATTGATAATACTGTATATAGTGCAGTGTGGATTTAAATAAAATAATCTTGAATTACACCTAGTGAACTTAAAATTTTGCATAAAATGACTGCATCAAGCATGGGTCCCCTGAAAGATTATTTCTTCTCCATCCCCACTTCCTTCTCTTCTCCCTTCTCCTCCACCCCCACTTCTAATTCCCATCATCATCGACCAGGAACCTTCTTCATACACACCTTTACTGCATTTTTTTTTTTACTTTGTATGTACTTTTCTGTGAGCTGGAACTAATTACCCAATATCCCATTGAAACAATGGATTCGGTTAACGAAATTTTGTTAACGAACGACTCTGTGGAACGAATTGTGTTCGTTATCCCTGGGACCACTGTATCTCCTATTATCAAGTGCACTTGATTTCAAAATGGCCTTAAAATGCTTATGATATTGTTCAGATTTAAAAAAATTGGGGGGATATAGCACCCCCAAAAAAACCCCATCAGGGTGGGCTCACTTTGCTTACCTTGTTCCCCCACCCAAAACTTCTTGGACCCCCCCTCTTTTGAAATTCCTGGATCTGCCCCTTTGTAAGGTATTATTTTACATTTACTTTTATCCTCTTCACTATTGATCGGCTCATTCGCCGCTTGGGCTGTCTGTCATATTTCTGTTATGCACTGTTGGCAAGTACTGGGCATGCACTGGCTCCTGAATGTATATGAACCTGCTCCAGTGTTGGTCAAGTCTGGTCTTGAAAGAGCTCACACTCAGTGCCGTCACAACACTCTCTGGCAGGTTTTTCCAAGAGTTCACAACTCCCATTCAAAAAAAGTTTGCCCTCACAGTTTTCTGGACTTAAGGCTTCTTCAACATTGAGCTGTGACCCCTTGTGGGGCGGACGTCTGCCAGCTCCAGGTATGGACACTCGACTGAGTAGTGCCCCCTGAGATGTTGCAACCTTGCCCTCCACCCTTGTCACAACCCAGTAGTAACACCAGATAATTGTCCTCCCCAAAGTACCTTTGATATGATATATATTATGATGTACTGTACAATAGAACCACATAACTGGGGCTTGTTAAGTGGGTTTTCAAAATAAGGGAGATTTATTTTGGGTTGTCCCACTACCATTCTTGTCTTAGTACAGTACAGTATACAGTATGGTATAGTACATAGCATACATCTTAAAGTGCTGTTTCAATATTCAAACATTCTGCACTTCTTTGGATTCTACTCAATACATTTTTTTTATAAAAACGCATTTACATTCATAAAAGTGCTCAAAGAGTCCATGTGCGGTTGCATTTTTAACACTGATATTTTCAAATTTCAGATGGTCATTTGTTTGATAAAGAAGCCATATTTGAATACATCATCTCAAAGAAAAATGAAATTAGTCAGAAGATTAAAGAATATGAGAAGCAGTGCAAGAAGGACCAGGTGAGTGATACTGTTTTGTGTATAGTAATTATTATTTTTTTACAGGAGTACTGTACAGTCCAGTACTATAATATCTTATCAGCCCACTAACCTATCAATAAGAGATCTCAAGTACAATTACTTTTACCCCTGGTCATGCGATGGATTTCAAACTGAACACTACCTTTCCTGTCGTCTCAATGGGGGTTGGTAAGTATGAGTGCGACATCAATCCCCCTATCTTTGTTTTTCAAAATATTAAAATCATTTTTGAAACAGGAACATACACTGGAAAAGAAATTGCATTATAACAAGTGACAGGAATAGTGTCACTGGTAGCCAACATATTCCCATATAAGGAAAGCAAGGCTACTACTGTAATGTAAAGTCAGATGCAAGACCTTTGTATGGAATTTTTTGTCAATTTGACATACTGTATTGTTTGACACCAAAGGGGTAAAAGTAATTTAATGTCTGACTACATTTTTTACTTGTGGATGGAAGTCTAAGGAATATCTTTTATTTAATTAATGTTTATCTACCAAACAGTTATTAGGGAAATGGATTTAGATGGATTGTCAGATGGGCATACAGTACAGTAATGCTTAAATGTATGTACTGTACTGTAGTTGATGATATGTTGGGTTTACTTCTTGAGACCAGGTAACACAAGCCACTAACAACTATCACAATGGCCAATACCACAGTTTATTTACCTCAGTACTACTGTATATTTAATTATTTTTAAGGTACAGTAATCCTGTGTTTTTTAGTGGTTTTTATCGATTTTGACCATTATGAAACAAAAATTATATATATATATATATATATATATATATATATATATATATATATATATATATATATATATATATATATATATATATATATATATATATATATATATATATATATATATATATATATATATATACACGCACGCACGCACGCACGCACACACACACACACACACACACACACACACACACACACACCTCAACCCGCCAGGATTCAAAACCTATGAAGCATGAACAGACTGGGAATTTTCTGAACCACCAGATGGAAAGCAGTCCTATTAGTTCAATATATGCTGCGGCTTATCAGGGATAAAACCGCTCAAACATGATTGTATATAGAAGTCCGCATGCTTTATTGGGCTAATGAAATATATATGGATCCTCGTGTTTCGCCGGATTTAAAACGCTACTCTGACCACCCACGTGATACGGGTAGTCCCCATTAGAGGTTCACGGCGCCACAAGCTCGCTGAACAGGCTCTTGTGAAATATAACAGAGTCTAGGACTGTTTTAGTATCCTGGTGGTCCAGCGTACGCTCCCGGTCACAGTCAAGGGTTCGTGGCGGTTGATTAAAACCGATGGTTTTGGCTATATATATATATATATATATATATATATATATATATATATATATATATATATATATATATATATATATATATATATATATATATTGAGTAAATATATATATATATATATATATATATATATATATATATATATATATATATATATATATATATATATATATATATATATATATATATATATATATATATATATATATATATATATATATATATATATATATATATATATATATATATATATATATATATATATATATATATATATATATATATATATATATATATATATATATATATATATATATATATATATATATATATATATATATATATATATATATATACATATATATATATGTCTCCTAAGTTAATCAACTCCGTTCCAGAAGGTGGATTCGTTAACGAGAAACGTTCGTTAAACGAAACCATTGTTTCAATGGGTTTTTTGGTAATTGGTTCCAGCTCACCGAAAATTTCCTAACTTCAACAAAAATGGCGGAAAAATTTACTTACTTTGAGGTGTGTATGTAGAAGGCTCCTGGATGATGGTGATGATGTGCATTTGAAGTGGGAGGTGCAGGAGGAGAAGGGAGAAGAGAAGGAAGTGGAGGTGGAGGAGAAGCATTTTACTGCTTCTTGGAAGGTGAGTCACCTTCCATGAAAATGTCAGGAACCTCTGGACTGACAGATTCTCCACCATGAACATCCTTTCTCCTTCTTGAAGTGGAAGGCTGAGGGATAGCATCTTGTTCCCTGTCTTTTACTGAAGAAAGTGTTAATTGTGGTCTGTGGGGCATCTGTCCTCCTCACCATTAACTTATGTTTAAAGAAGGAGACCACTGAGTCCTCAACATGACACAAAGCTAGTTCAGTTTTTTCCACTTCTGGGTGCTTTGAAGCCAGTTCCCTGAACTTCTCCCAGTGGTAAATCACATCTTTCAACTGTGTAGCTGACATATGGTCATCACTTTCAATTTCCTCCTCACCACTGTCAGCCTCTACCCGTCACATCTCATCCAGTTCCTTCAAGTCATTAGGAGTAAGTTCCTCCTCATGAGACATCACAAGCTCTTCCACATCCTTCTCCTCCACTTCAAGACCCAATGACTGACCAATGGACACAATCTCCTGGTCCAACTCTGTGTCATCCTCAAATCCCTCAAAATCATGGACTACTGATGGCCACAGTGCTTTCCATGAAGAATTGAGGGTTCTATTGGAGACTTCTTGCCATGATGACACAATCAATTTTACAGCCTCCAGGACGTTGAATTGTGTGTTCCAGAACTGTTTCAGTGTTAGTTCAGGATCAATGGAAGTTGCCTGATGACACCTCCTAAACATTTTCTTCATGTACAACTTCTTGAAGTTGCTGATCACATTCTGGTCCATTGGCTGTATGAGTGATGTAGTGTTTGGAGGCAAAAACAACACTTTCACAAAGTCAAATTTATACTCCAAATTTCTGGCAAGGTCAGGGTCATGACCAGGAGCATTATCCATGAGGAGAAGAGCCTTTACAGGAAGTTTATTGGTGGTTAGGTAGCTCTTGACAGAGGGGCAAAACACATCAATAGCCCATTCATTAAAGAACTGTCTTGTCACCCATGCCTTACGGTTGGACTTCCAATACACTCCAAGCATTGTTCTTACCACTTTCTGTTGCTTGAACACCCTGGGGTTTTCAGAGTGGTAGACAAGCATAGGATTCAGTCGGAAATCCCCTGAAGCATTGGCACCAAGCAATAGAGTGAGACGGTCTTTCATGGGTTTATGCCCAGGTAAAGAGGCTTCATCTTTGGTGATGAATGTTCTTTTGGTCATCTTTTTCCAGAACAGCCCAGTTTCGTCCACATTGAACACTTGCTGTGGAAGATAATTTTCTTCTTCCATCAGTTTTTTAAATTCAACTAAAAACTTTGTTGCCCCTTCTTTATCAGCACTAGCAGCTTCACCATGCCTAACAACACTTAAAATGTCACTTCTTTTCTTAAATTTTTCGAACCAGCCTTTGCTGGCCCGAAAATCTTCAAATTCTGTGCCTGAAGAACCAGGTTGATCTGCCTTTAAATGTTCATAAATCTCCCTGGCTCTTTCACAAATGAAATCACCAGAAACTGAATCACCTTTCATCTGTTTTTCCCTAATCCAGATGATAAGTAACCTCTCAGTTTCTACGATTAGGGATCTACTTTTAAACACTCTTGTAGATTTACCTCTCAAGTTCACTTCCTTAAATTTGTCTTTTTGTGCAAGAATTGTCGACACAGTTGATGCCGACATGCCATATTCTTTGCATAGCGCATTTGATTTAATGCCTTGTTCGTGTTTTTTTTATTATTTCCTGCTTTATTTGGATTGAAATTGCTTTTCTTGATCTCTTAGGCCCCATGCTGGATTCAAACAATGGCAACACGTATTTTTCAAAGTTAAACTAGCTGTAAATAAAGAATATTTTCTTTAAAATAACACTGCACTGCACTGCACTATATATTGTAAATATGTAAAATAAATTTCAAAATGACCATTAATTTGCTTGGAAACACAGAAAAAAGCGTTTAGTTGAAGAGAGTCTCAAGCAAGATGTTACCTCCAGTGAAAACAGAGAGAGACTAACGCCTATTTGCTGTGTTAAGAGGCTGGATGCCATTAAACTAGTCACTTTACCTTCAATTTTGTTCAATAATTGCTAAATGACTAAAAAATTTAATATTAAACTTTTAAAATTATTGAATAGTATAAACTTCTTGATATTTACTAAAATAGTAAGGAATTTAAGCCCTAGAACCGATTAATGTATTGGCGGACTGATACTAAAGCTGATTGCCCGATCAGTGCAAGCGAAAACATGTTGAGGTCGGTTCGTAAGAACTTCGTTAACCGAATTTTTTTTCATTAACCGAATTGAAGATCCTTATGGAAGGCAGTTCGTTAATCGAAATTTCGTTAACCGAGGTGTTCGTTAAACGAGGGGTCACTTATATATACATATATATATATATATATATATATATATATATATATATATATATATATATACATATTATATATATATACAGTAGTACCCAGATTTACTTGGTCAATTGAACCCACAGGGTACAGCAGAAAGTGAAATCCGCGTAAATGGAACAACAGAACATATGGGATTAATTCCAATAGAGACTGGCCCGACCCCCAAACTCCACTTTTTCCGATACAATACCTATGTTGTAGTAAAAATAACATCTAAATTTTATGATGGTATGCTCATACAATTAATATTTAAGAGAAATACAGTCGCCAGGTTAATGTCTATTCAAATAATAGACTCAAATCCACCCCCCCTCTTCCCAGCTCACTGGCCCCTACCTCTCTGAGAAATGATTGGGTGAAACACTAGATTTTAACGTTTAGTAATAAATAATACCTCAGACTAAAGTTAGGATAATATAATTGACATTTCTGGACTCCTTGCAGGTCAGGGAATATTTTGAATGTAAACTTCATATATTTTGCACAAACGATAAAATATTTGTACAGTGAGTTCTGCTATAACGCGTGTTTTGATAACGCGAATTTGCTCTAACGCGATTTATGAATTCGGAACAATATTTGTATAACGCGAACGCTTGTTTGCTATAACGCGATTTTTGCTTACTATTTCTCCAATTTTGTGGTATTAACTGTGAATATGGTAAAGAAGAATATCTCCAAAAAGCATTCTGATGATAGAATTCCCGGTGATTATCGTAAAAGAAAGGATATAACACTTGAAGAGAAGCTTGATGTTATCGACCTCAAAATCACCCTTCTCCCCCATCAAGTTACATTCATATTTTTTCAAGGTAAAGTGTTAAATTTACTGTATGATTTCATTATTAGATATGAATGTAACATTTATTTAGACTGTGCTATCCTTTGTGTTAGGCTAACTACTAAATTTTTTCGATTTCGAGTAAACTGCACCTAACCCTATTTTCTCCATAAGCCCTGTTATTTCTATTACGCGATTTTCTATAACACGATATTTTACAAGAACACAATTATCGCGTTATAGCAGAACTACCTGTATTGTGTAAACCAAATTATTACATTAGATCTAAAATTTGTATGTCTAATACAAAATCCATGATGTTTATATTCAAAATGATCATCATATTGTAAGAATTCCAGCAATGTAAATTATATTATGGCCGGGTAATTTGTATGAATTTTATGAGCTAAATAAAAAATAATACTTCACCCGCGTATATGAGTAGATGTACCGCGGAAAGTGAAAGTCCGGTTCTGGCGAGGTACCGCGTAAATGAGAAATCAATGAGAAATCGCGGAAAGTGAAACCGCGAAAGTGAAACCACGTAAAGCGGGGTAATATTGTGTGTATATATATATATATATATATATATATATATATATATATATATATATATATATATATATATATATATATATATATATATATATATATATATATATATATATATATATATATATATATATATATATATATATATATATATATATATATATATATATATATATATATATATATATATATATATATATATATATATATATATTCCCCTGTGCGGTGCGGCAAACAGAAGCCACCCTTTCCCGTCTCAGACACCCGCTGCTCTGTGAAGCCTCAGTCCACACATGCCTACCATACTGTGATTACCTCTTCTGTTTGTCCTCCCACCTGCATTCCACATGGCTCCGGGACGTAAGCCAGCCTCATCAAAGGCAAATATTACTAGCAAAGACTCTAAAGTGACCAAGAGATCAAGAATAGTGATGACCTTAACGGAAAGAAACTGTTTTATTGAACGAGCTCAGAGGTGGTATGAGCTATGGCTCGAGATGTGGTGAAAACTGACAATTCATTTGTGTCTTTTGTCAGAATACAAGTCATCAAGTGGAGGAATGTGGGTGGAAGAGGACTGGCTGGCTGGGGTGAGGGAGGGCAGACGCCGGGACAGCAGGGAGAGGCTGGCAATGCGGGTGTTGCCGACCTCAGCAAAATATAAAAAATGTTATTTACTTGTAAATAATTTTTTTGGTATATAACTGTGTTTACTTTTTTTCCATTATTATACTACAATATGATTAGTTTCAAGTAATGATGTTAGTAAATACTGGTACAGTGCATCAGTGATCAGTGTGATCACTGGGCCGTGAGTGGAGAGCATGGCGTGGTTAAGTGCATGACTTACCTGAGCTGCTTGGTGGACACAGGTACAGTGATTCTTAAAGGAGTATTCGCAGTTTTGGCTTTTTGCGGGGGTTTCAGGAACGTAATTCCCGCGAAAAACACGGGATTACTGTACAGTACAATATGATAGTCTTTTTAAGATTATATTTTTTACTTTCATTTGAAAAGAATTTTTTTTATTAGTTTTGATTTTAAATGTTTACCCATTTAGAGTTTTTCTTCATAAATTTTAATATATACTGTAGTGTTCAGTGAAGGTATTTTTAGTATATGTACTGTTCAATGAAAGTAGTAGTTTTGTCTACACTTGTAGATTGGATGCTCTTGACAGATGCTCTAGATGGTAGTCCTCATATTTGAGAGGAAGACTTGTTGTCATTGTATCTGTGTATCTAATGTCATGACACCTTTCCCGGTGTTGTGTGTGTTGGATCAAGGGTAGAAAGTACTAAGAGAACAAGTAGATATACACTTGCATAGTAGTAGGTTTATATCCTCAACTTGGGTGCTTGACAACATATTTAGATACGGTCCAATACAATGCTATATATTAATGTGCACTTTTCATTGCATGTTTTGCTTACTGATGTTATGTTCCAACATTATCTATTATTATTTTTCTGAAAGTCTAGTAATCATTCTCTCTAACTTTTATCTTTACAGAGGGAACTTGCTGAGCTGGGAGAAGCAGAAAACAGGTCCCGTGTTGAGAACTTCCTTAAGACTGAAGCAGCAGTGTCATCAGCTTCTCAGGCAGCACAAGGAGGTCAGTCTTCCTATTGTTGCTTATTGCAGGATCACCCATAGTTATTTAATTAATAGGAAATGAATGACTCAGTATTTTGAGTCACTTACAGTAGCAAGTATGAAGCTCATCTACCGATATAAAGAGTTTACCTTGGGGTATTCCCAAGATAAAGATGTGATTTTAAAAACTAAGAAGTATGGTTTTAGTTTTTAAAGTTATTTTGATGTGTCATGCAGGACCAAGTACTAGTGCGGGGAAAAGTGGGTCGTCAGTCTCCAACATGGCTTCTGGTCTGGACAAGAAGCTGCCAAGTTTCTGGATCCCATCTCTCACTCCAGGAAATAAGGAAACCAAGTTGCAGAAGCCTGTAAGCATTTTATATTATACTTGTGTTTAATGTTTTATAGTACCATTATATTGTACAAGGAGTAGTTATTTAGCTGTAATACATGTAGCAACATCATCTTGTACAATTACTGGTTGTGTAGCCCAGCTGTCACCTGGTGGGTTAGAGGAAGGGGATCACTCCTTGTACACTGGCTTTGCATACTTAGTAATGAAATGATTTTACTAATGTACTGGGTGTACTTGTGATGATTATACAACCTTGGATGGACCAGCATCCTGCCACAGAGGTGTGGTAACCCACTGCCAGTTGATTGTTAACAATGAGGGAGTCAGCACCTGTGGCCACATGAGGTACACTAAAGGCTCTATGGGAGGGTGGGGGGATGTCTACAAGTACAGTAGATTGGTTTTCCTTGGGTGTTCTTAATAAATATTAAGAGTGTTGTTGCTATGTCTTCAGCACATGAAAAGTAAAGTGAAAATGAGTCCCATATGCATGACTGTCCATTAAGTGCAGTGTGGACACAGCAGCTTTATGTATACAAATAGGTGGTGTGGCCGGAACTGCATTCAGCCACCTTTACTTCTACTTTTACAGCTGGGTGGACTGGGCGTGTCCCAGGATCAAACCAGTGATGCTCATAATAGGAGTCAAGCGCTGTATCCACTAATCCACCTCACTGCTTCAGCACATAGATATATAATAATAAAATAGCTGAACAATTATTCAGTTGTGCACAGTTACTACAGTACTGTACTTATATTTTATAAATATTTGTCATAATTTAATTTTATGTTTTACAGGATAAGACTGTCTTTTGCCCCATCAGTGGTAAGCCGCTGAAAATCAAAGACCTCATTGATGTCAAGTTCACCTTAGCTGTGGATCCTAATGACAAAGGTGCCCTGGATGGCAAAAGAGAGCGATATAAGTGTCCGGTCACGGGCGACATCTTGAGAAACAACGTACCTTGTGCAGTACTCAGACCAACGTAAGGAGATGTTAAGTTTTTGAGGTCCAAGTCATTATTCACTGTCTCAGTTTTTATGAATATATTTGAGAAAAGTTGATAAGTGAGCATGAAAGTCTTACTGATGACTGATGAATGATGCTGACATGTATGATGTTACTGATGAATGATACTGACTTGTATGAAGTTACTGGGATAAACCAATACAGCACTGTAGATATATTGAGGACCATGTTGGGAAAGGGAACACTTGGGCAGACTGCACATGTTACAACAGTAAGGATAAGTGAAGGGCAAGTATGTGTTTGCTCATACAGTACTGTACAGTACTTCCAGCCACCCAACAATTGGATATATAGAAATGTATTTATTCAGTAAAATTATCAAACTAGTTTACAGTTGGTTTAGCTTGTATTTAGACAATGCAGGAAGAGTATACAGTACATCATGCACATAGACAATGCGGGAACAGTAAACAGTTCATCATGCACATAGACAATGCAGGTACAGTATACAGGTCTATCATGCACATAGACAATGCAGGTACAGTATACAGTTCATCATGCACATAGACAATGCAGGTACAGTATACAGTCCATCATACACATAGACAATGCAGGTACAGTATACAGTTCATCATGCACATAGATAATGCAGGTACAGTATACAGGTCTATCATGCACATAGACAATGCAGGTACAGTATACAGTTCATTATGCACATAGACAATGCAGGTACAGTATACAGTTCATTATGTACATAGACAATGCAGGTACAGTAAACACTAAACAGTCCATCATACACATAGACAATGCAGGTACAGTATACAGTTCATTATGTACATAGACAATGCAGGTACAGTATACAGTTCATCATGAACATAGACAATGCAGGTACAGTATACAGTTCATCATGCACATAGACAATGCAGGTATACAATTTCCAATGTACCCAGACATTGTGGGTTTACAAACAATGTAAATAGAAGGGCAATTCAACCAAGGAAAGCCAACAAAGTTACCAGGTGCTTTTTTCCAAGTAGGGTCCTTGTGTGAAGTAACAAGGATAGACTGATGAGATAACTTAAGGCATTGTTGTGGAAGGGAAGACTTGTTACAGCAGTAAGTGTGAGTGTATCATGTATAAAGGGAGAGTGTCTTTCTTTGGCCACCCTGTAATATTGTGTAAAAATGTTTGTAAGATAAACAAAATTATTCACTTTGTTTCCTCAGGGGAGATGTTGTGACAAAAGAGTGTGTGGAAAAGTTGATAAAGAAGGACATGCTACATCCTCTCACTGGGGCCAAATTGTCTGAAAAGGACATAATACCACTACAAAGGGTATGTACTGTACTTCTTTAATAAACTAAACTAAACTATGATAAGTTAGGTAAAGTATAGATAAGTAAGGTTAGGATAGATTTGGTTTGGTTGGGTTAGATTTGGGTAGGTTAAGTTTGTTTAGGTTAAGTTTGGTTAGTTTAAGTTTGGTTATATTAGGTTGCATTTGGTTTGTAAGTTAGTTGATAAAACTGACTTGCATTCAAAATGTTTTGAGGAGACAATATGGAAAAGTGCCTTCTTTTCTGCACAACTTTACAGTAGCCATGTCTGCCGTGACATGGAATTTTGTCCTCAAAACTACACAAATCAATTATCACTTAAGTCACTGGGTAAGTGAGTCTACTGTATTGTCTCTTTAATAGGTACAGTAATGTATACATTATTTCTACTCCCTCACATGGTTGACTCAGGGTTGTTGTTACCTACATGGACCTGAAGCTAAAATGCTGGTCCGTCCTTGACTCAGGTGTACACAATATCCCTTAAAATTGTCTTTTATCATCTTGATTCTGTACATTGTTTATTTTTACATAAGCTCACTTTCTTGTAATATTTTACTCAATAAAATTTTCTCAACTCTTTCCAAATTCCTTGATTACCTTGACAAAACTGTTGCTTCACATGATCATTTATATTTCCTGTACAATATTACTGTACTATCATCACCATTCAATATGTTACCAGTACCTCTTATTTCAAATTATTGTTTCTATTTCAAACTAAATGAACTTATAATTGATTACACAGACTTTCATCCAGAATTTCTGAGTGTTGAAAAAGTACTTCTTAGTTTGCTTGCTATAGTTGTGTTAATGTTTTTTTTATACTGTACAGTATATTGAACTGTAATTCATAACAACCTGCATATTTTTTCACTTGGCAGGGAGGAACTGGTTTCACAACAGCTAATGATCAGCTGATGAGTAAAAAAGCCCGCCCTGTGCTGCAAGCCTGATGTGGACAGTTGGTTTCTCTTTTCATATCCAAGAGGAAGGATCTAGGATATGCAACTACTGTACTGTCTCCTCTTCCAGTTGGGGGTTTAGAAAGGTCAGCTTATTTCACACTGTATTACAGGTACTTGGTTAGATTACCAGAGTGAACTGAACCTCTCTTAGGTATTAACTGTAGATATATACTGTACATTAGTTAATTATTAATATTGTCCTATTATAAATTTTGCCGTACACTTTGCTTTGAATATCTAAATTATGTTTACTATCCGTAAAATGTATTTTTGAATACAGTACTGTAGTTCCTCCAGGCACTTTGGTATATAATTAGTGTAATAAATTGGAATAAAAATTATTTGTATGTGTTAACATACATACCTGTCTGCCACTGTTGTGTGGAGTGGAGCAGAAGACTCCAAGAGGTGGTTGCTATTAGGACAGTGAAGCACATATTGGTTCCAGTGCTTTGCTTTGAGCCTAAATTCTACTTAATAAAATTATTTTTATTTTCACTACTTTTGATTGACTTGTGCGGATGAAAAATTTGTCTCTAAAGGTTTTGAGATAATGTCTACATGTTCCTTTTGGCTTCTCACACATTGAACTATTTTTTTCATGTCCAATTCTTTTAATAAGAGTATACTGTACACTGAATGTTGTAAATGGTAAGTACAAACAAACTAGTACTGCATTTATTATTTTATTTAGTATTTCTGTTCTTTACAATTATGCATTATATCCACCACCAGAGTAAAAAATATGAACCACAAAATTGCAATTCAGTGTTACACCAGCAAAGCTACACCTGTTACCCAAACCTTTGACTTTTTTGTGAGGAGGATTTGCTGCACCAGATCTGAACACTTTAATAATGTTTATTAATATTCAGTAAACACACCACAACTGTAGCACCTTACATAATTGATGAAGTTATCCTAATAATATTACCGGTAATTTATATTGAGGATTAAGGGTCTTTTTTGTAGGTTAGGTGTAATAGATTTCTTGGATGTCAATAACCATTCTGGACATTGATCTTGGGTGCATCTAGCTAATAGCCAGGCCCTAACTTAGTCTCTGTCAGGAGTAGTCTCCATACAAGAGTAATTTAACATATGGTAACCTTGCAGCTGTTTCATAAAATTCTTAAGAGTTGTAGGAAAAAAGGGAAATTTCAAGAGATTGTTGTTCTCAAGATGATGGTCATATTTTGAAAATTCTGGTCCCTAGAAAGGATACTTATACTGTATCTAAATGAATTTAAAACAAAAGACTTCTTGTCATTACATTAACTGAAGTCAAGAGACAATGATGGAAAGGTACATAGTTTTCAGTCTCTCTCATTGTGTCTTGGTGAAGCAATAAACTGATGCAAACTTATACAGAGAACGATATATCCTGGTTCAGGTTTGTCAAGAGTAATAATGGGAATAGAGTTTAAGAATAACTTCTAAATTGGTGACAATTTACTGGAAAACCGAGTTAGTCTTAAAATGGCTGCCCTAAAGAGGGTTTACAATAATGGAATGAAAATATTTTATAAAGATTAGAAAACTGATGGACCGGCCATCAACACTTGGAACTAGGAACCTAAACACACTATCTTGTACATTAAGAGTTGTCCATATAAACAAAAGCCCTGGTAGACTTATTACATGAAGGGAAACACTCGTAAGAACACCACACCATAATGACCATTAGCACAGCAGCTCTGTGTCACTCTTACCAATGAACAAGATTCACAAACTATTTGGATTCTGGTTGTTAAGTGAGTCACCTCACACTTGAAAATTCACTGCCATTTTTTTCCATGTTTAAGACAATACAGTGAATTTCTTTTAGATGAAAAGAACATATTCATCAAAAAAAAAAAAAAAAGCTGGTGATGGTGAAGTCAGTGATGTGGCAACACACCTCACTGACATGATAGCAACCCATCAACTTGTACACAACCTTAATGGTCACTAAAGCCCCGTCCACACGATCGAGCAGTGCCCGGCGGGCTTTGCCCGGTAGCAAAGCCTGTGTTGTTGTACACACGGGTTGTTGGCGGCAGTTATAGTCGGGCACCGGTAGCTAGTAGGTGGTCGACAGTGGCGGGTGCGGTACAATCACCGTGGTGTGTCGCAGGAATAATCGCCGGACAGTTAAAGTGAAGCGCATAGCGTTGTGTACTATAATAATTGCTGCTCTGTGCAAAAAGAAGAACCAAATGTAGAAAAGGGAATGGTGCAAAGAGTGCTTAGGTCGAAGAACAGTATTGGGAAGTCATGCCACGATTTTACATGAACTGCAAGATGGACATGAGCAAGACTTCACCAATTACATGAGAATGGACCCCAACACCTTTTACAAACTTCGAGCGAAAGTGGAACCATATATATAAAAAAACAGGATGCCAATATGAGGGAGAGTATATCTGCAGAGGCTCGTCTAGAGGCAACGCTCATATATCTTTCAACTGGGTGCACCTACACATCACTTCAGTATAGAACGAGGATATCAAAACAAAGTTTGTCTCGCATAATACCTGCAACTTGTCAAGCCATGTATGAAGTACTCAATGAAGATTACTTGCAGGTGAGATTTTTAGTACATAAAAATTCATTGAATAATGTTAGAATTATGATATGCATAGACAGGAAGCTATGGGACTAGAGTGAGGAGAGCGGCAGGAACGAAGAACACACACACGAATGTCCTCATTACATAATACATAAACAATCTCCCGTTTATTGTCACACCAATAATGTACATTGCATAAGCTTATTTGGTTATACACTGGACATCTGGACCGAGCTGGGAACATACACGTATCACATTTGCAGTACTTAAAAGTCGTCGCTCCATATTGGGCAGCAAACCACCAGGCAGGCGGACCATGATTTCGCTCAACGACGGGCACGGGCACGGGCACTCCGCTGGTTTGCCCGATAACGGGCATTTAGCGCGTGCCCGCCGGGCACTGCTCGATCGTGTGGACAGGCCTTAAGGATGCCAAAAGTGGTTGGAACCACATAGATAAGTCAATTGTGGAAAAAAAAAAAATAGCCAACCGGCAGGTGAAATATTGTTTGGAATGAGTATCAGCTGCCCAAGCCATTGAACTAGCTAGGGGAGGTGTATGTTCTGCAGTAGCAAAACAAGCAACTACTGCATTGTTATTAAAAAAAAAAAAAACCCTAAGATAATGGATATGTTATCAACAGGCCTATACTGTAATGGGTGGACCAGCTGCAAGGTTTAGTTAAACTGGCTTGCATACATTCTGATGATCTTACAGTAAATTTTTTTTACTATGATTTTAATTTGCTGTAAATTTTGTTACCCCATGACATATAATAAGCATTTTCTAAGGCGAGTCTGTAACCTCCAAGTTTGAACCTGGTCACATTAACTGTGTGCTGTACAGTACTCATGTCATAGATAAGCATTATCTACATATATTAATGTGACTAATATCCTTGGATCAGGATCACACCCTAGACTAGCAGAAGGTTCAATGTTGGGTCTAGTAGTAAAGTGGTTATTACCCGAGGTCAATATCCTGCCAGTCGAGGGTAGCCTTACAATATTGTAGTCTTTACGTGACCAGTGATAAAACTCCTTTAGAATATTGTAATGTATATACATTTAATTTCTTAAAAGGATAAATATCTAAATAACAAGTTGACAATCATAGTTAGAGGCTACTGTACTGTACTCTATTTTGATGCAATCTTTTTGCAAGCTCAAAATATATTATTGCTAAATATACTTGCTTAAAAAGCAGTAAGACTTATGTATGTACACTTTGTAAGAGAACTCTGTTACTTCACAAAAAAGTGAAAAGATTGTCAAGTGTCAAAGGACTACAAATTACAAAAAATAGAGAGCTCTGAAATAGTCCATCTAAGGAAGCAATAATTACATCCTGATTAATGCTACATTGCTTTCCTATAGTAGCTTTCAACTGAAAGACAAGAGCAGGAAGTGCGCAGTGGAATGCCAGAAGCTTGTAACAAAAATAGCTTTCTTAATAACTGGATTAAAGTACACTACACTAAAACACAAGAAGCATTCAGTAGAAACATTAAATACAGTACAGGCATCAACTTCTGTTCAGTGAAATCAATTACAAAAATTAAATTATCAACCAATCACAACTCAAATGAAATCCTTCAAATCCAAACATTACATTACATTCCATATAACCAAATATTTATACATGTTGCTGAAAAGAAAACGTATGATTATTGAAGGAGAGAGAGAGAGGTGCACTACTGTATGGTGGCGGACTGGTTACCATACTGGGTTGGCTGGCAGTCCACTGGTTGTGGATTCAAATTCCCATTCCGGAGGTAACATGTAATTTATATCCAGTGTAAGCCAATACAGGAGGTCCACAGGTTATGTACAGCCTACTTACGAACAAGGTCCTGTAAAGTTAAAAATAAATAAATAAAATTTTTTGGAGATTAGCCCACCAAGGCACATTAGGCTTCCAATATCTTCCCAGGCAGTCGTACCTGTTTGATAGCTGCCCACTACTTACACCTGAGGCCTTATTTATTACTTTCATTTATTGTATTTTGTCATTCTATTTCTTTTCTCATAAATTAATTGATTTTAGATGTATATAAAGGTTTAGGCTATAATATACAGTAGTGGGATTTTAGACCTTGTTATATAAGTACGGTGTGTGCTTCGACTTAAGAACGTCCGTAGGAACGGAACTCGTACGTAACCCGGGGACTGCCTGCATGAGACCAGTAGGACCATATCCTCACCAGCTTATAGGAAAAACCCAACTGGTTCACATATCCTGTTTCAATCTGTAATATGATGCCAGGCCTAAGAGGCAGGTGTCCTGGGTTGACTCAAATTCCACGGAATATTGGGTAACCCTTACTAGACTACAGGTCACTGTCAGGGCATATCCTCACAATGTGGTGGGGGTGATGTGGGTGGCAATTGTGTACAGTGGTACTAAGACGCTGCCAGCCCTCCCACACTAGATGTAGCCCTCCACACATGCAACATCGGCGGACGGCCCTGCCAATCCCGGATCAGCCTCTCGAGTCCCCTTAGAGCTCGCCAACGAAGGTGACATCCTTAATAACTCATACCATTGTATCATAGCTGGATGATAAGTGGTGTGTGCATGTTACAAAGAATAATGTAAATCCTACAGTCATTGTTTGTAGGCCAAGGAGCAACATTGAAAGTTTAATACAGAAGATAAATAAAGACTACATAGTGATCAACGCCCTACGCCCCAGTTGATGTTCCGGAACGTGTGCCTTTTCGCTGCATTGTTTGAATGCCCAGCGTGGGTTATCATGTTCCAGTGTGACTATTTGCATGTCACACCACACGCTCGGCCACAGTGGAGCTTCCTGAATGTAAGTACCTACTTTTGTTTGTTTCATTTTCATTGTTTGTCCATTTTATTATGTTGTATCAAAGTACTATTGCTAAAAGTAGTGTAGTATTACTGGAAAACAATTCTATGATTATGTTATAAATGTATTTATTTGTAGAATTATTATTCCGATAATCCTTTATATGCATTACTTGCTCTACCAAACACAAATACAACCTGGCGACAGACTGCGTGTGTGTTACCGAGCACTTTTTATAAAAAAAACAACTAAAATATTCAAAATTTATTATCTTTAAGAAATAAGTACTGTATTATGATCAGTAAATATAAGCATTACTGGCCATCCCAGACACAAAGACAAGCAAAAAATGGCCGTTAAGTGCGTAGTGATCACGGGTGCTAGCCGTCAAAAGAACACTGTCCCCTTATCTCCCTCGCCACTGAGGCCCCAGGGAAGTTTCTAGAGGGTCAATATCGAGTTTTTCTTAATTATTTGTTTATTGTTTTATCATTTAAAAAGGTTCAATATTATTTTAGGAAAAGTTATTTTCTCGATTTACCCCGCGTGGATGATACGGCCAAGGGCACCCTAGCCTGGGGCGTAGGGGTTAATAATGAGGGTGTACAGCAAGTAGACAAGTAGAGCATGGAGGAGAGGAAATGTTTATGAGATACAGCTGGTGGAGTGTTTGTTGAAGTACCAGGCAGTGAGGGTTACTTGCACAACAGGATGAGGAAATATTGTGATTAAGAGGAACATCTTGATGGACAGATTCACAGAATTTATCTTGATCAAAGTTAATGGATGATGTTCTGAATAAGCTGTCTTGTTTTAGTGATGGCACAGGATATGCAAGACTGTAATGAAATGGGTGACATTCTTTTCCTCACAGAGCTTGAAGAAGAGCAGTAGTTTGAAGTATCTAAGCTTCCTTAAACCTCATCTTGAAATTACTGTAAATAAACGATAAACTTGGATTAGTTGGAAATTATATATTGAACTTGTACCAAAAAACTGTTACAGCAGGATTCAGACGTCTGGTTATCCATATACAGTATCATTTTATTACCCCAAAAATGACTATAATATGGAAAATACTTAAACTAGATACAATGTACAAACAGCACCTTTCATATCATTTAGTGAAAAGCTTCTACCATCATTCCTTATACTGTACTTCTCTACTAACCAATGGTTAAACAGCTTCAGAGTGAAGTGATGATGAAGTCATGTCTGGAGTCGACATTGAACAACAGTGCACCTGACAGTATGTCATGGTGTTGAATCGCGTTGTTTTATAAATACTGTACTACAACTTTGTAGAAGAAACTAACTACATTTTGTATTCACAACTAGGAAACCTGAGTTTGGTCTTCAGTGATTGGTTAAGCTGACATGTACAGTACTGTATTTGATAAAATGATGAGTCACTTGTTGTCACTTACAAATACGATGAGAAGATAGTCTAAGTGAAGCTCAAGTTTAACCAGCTAACTTTTCTTCATCTTGTTTCAGGTATGGTCAACATAGGGTGATAAAACTACTGTACATTGTTAACTTGGAATATCACTAACAATCTGGACTTTCTTAAGTACCATCAATATAATATTAACCAAGGATGCCACTTGTGACTTAACGTGCAGTAATACATTTTGAAGCCACAAACACTTCTTTTCCGACACATGACAAAAATGTGATCCAGCGTAAAGTCTGCCATCATCAGAAACAGCAGCGGTCGCACATACTACCACAACACTTTTGTTACCGATTCAAACTGAAAATATAAACTGTAAAGTCAATTTGTGACAATAAAATTTTATAACAGCAACACAACCAAAAGAAGGAAGATCAAATTTTTTTAAAATGTACTGTACTCCTGCACATACTTTTTGAGCACATAAAAAGCTGTGCATGAAAAGAAAGGTGTTACCCCACAAGTCACCAAGTTTATGCTGAACACCAACAATAACCACCAGTTTGAAAACAAGACTTGAGTTTTTATTTGGAAGCTAAATTATCGTGCAGCTGAAAGTTTAGTTCTATAAAACACTTATATAGTAAAATAATTACACAATATTACAACCATTTCTATTGCAGATTATAGCCTAAAATGTTCCACGAGGAACTTAATTAAAGCTGTCATAACAACGATGGCAGCAAAGCAAATGAATACTTCTTATATAAAATATAACAAAAGGCTGCAAATCTCCACACCCTGAATGTCTCCATACATACACTAGTTTATATACTGTACCTGGGAACTACTCTCCCAGAATGAAAAATTAAGCAGTTGACAGTAATGCTAAGCTTTATGTGAATTAAATAACTGTATCTACATCGTAAGCAAACTATTGGCACTTATTAAAACTTACATCTAATGCTCAGTAAACTTATGCAAAGTTTTAAAAAGATCTTGGAAGAAAGTTATTCTGTGAGTGCACATCACAGAGGAGAAAACAGTTTTTTCTTGAGATCATGCTATAGCTCTACAGTTACATAAGATCCTTTTTGCTAATTAACTGGCTATATATAAGTAAGTGAGGGAAGGGCTGGAAAAGAATGAATGTGGAAGCATAAGGGCATGTACATATTTTTTGTGAGCAAACAAATGTAAGTTTCTGTGCATGTCTGTTGCATTTATAAATATTAAAAGTAATTTCTTGGTTAACCAGAATTCCGGGGATGGGAGATTTTTCCGGCTTTGAAAGTTCTCTCTTTACCAGGAAATCTCTCATTCCCAGAAGTGCTCTACACCAGCTGTTCTGGCTAATGGAGATATCACTGCATTAGTATTTTAGAATGATTGAAATTAATAATATTGAACCACAATTAAAAATATACTGTACAGTACAACAATATTTTTCTACGTCATAAAAGTTCTTGAAATTATTCTTATTTAAATTCATACATACAAACTAGCACTTTTCGTAGTACAGTACTGCATACTGTACTGTAAAGTTGAGTAGAGCAGAATACAGTACCAAAGAAAACCTTGAAAGTAATGGTTCCTTCATGATGGTAGCTACAGTACAGTATTGAGAGGGAGGGCACTTAAGGGTGAGCTTACTGACCAACGTTGGTCCCATAACAATAAACTTATTCCAGCTTTCCAACAGTTACTGTATCTTATTGCCGTTACTTCCCCAACAGTCAATTATTTCATATTCCAAAACCCTCTTAATGTTTGTTCTTCTCATTAACAATCCTGCCCATCAAAACCCCACACAGTACAGTGCAGCACACCCATACTGTACCTCTTTACTGTTATTTTACTATAAAAATAAACTATCTGATATACCTAAATAATAGTTTTGCTCCCAATGAACTGTATCCAGACAGACACTTGTATTCACACAACATAACCAGATACCATAAACACTTAACATTAACAGCTGTATCATGGGACTGGTTATAAATGATTTATCAAACATTACAGTTTACATGACTTGCATACAATTAACATATAAAGTAAGGGATTCTTGTGAGAAGGTACAGTAACTGTGATTTGATTTTTAACAACTGAATGAGAAAAAACTTAGTATTTGTCTTAACATTTCATCACCTTTCCTTCATTCCTTCTGCTTGTCTTTTAAAAATAAAGAAGAATCCCAATGCACCAAAAATTTCTACTGCAGGTAGCTAATTAGTCTATACACCAATTCCCCCATTAACATCGTTGCTAGGTTCCTGAAAACCACGACTTTAAGTGAAACAGATTTTACCATAGACACAATGATATAAATAGGAGTTATATTCCTTGGGTACATTTCTGATTAAAAATTTTTCACAAAGTTCCTGAATAAAGATAAAAAACAACACTACTATATTCTAAATATAAATAAATGTGGACTACACATACAAATAAGAGTAATAAACACAAATAAGATAATATTTCCTTGATGGCTGATGCAGTAGTGGACATAGTGTTCGTACAGTTGTAGGCTGCAAACCGACAGCTCTTACTATGTCCACAGCTCGCTGTCCTTCAAATCTCTTTACCACATCTAATTTAACACTTTCCTCTTCTTTCTGTGACCACAACCAGTAATGGTGCATAATGCACATTTAGCACTCGCTGTTCTAGGGCTTAAATGAATTTATACAGTGGCCCCTCGGTTAACGAATTACCTTCCATAAGAATATTCAATTCGGTTAACGAAATTCTTATTAAAACGTTTCGACATGCTTTGGTTTGCTCACCAGCTGGAAGATTAGTCCGCCAATACATAAATCGGTTCTAGGGCTTACATTCGTTAAAATTGGAGTAAATATCAAGAAGGTTGTACTATTCAATAATTTTCCAAGTTTTATATTAAAATTTTTAAGTCATTTTAACACTTATTTAACATAATTGCAGTACAGGGAAGTAGTTTTTGGTGCACCCAACAGCCACTTCACTCACTCACCAAGGCCTCAGTTTGTATTTCTGTTCAGTGGAAGGAAACATCTTGCTTGTGGGTCTCTTGAACACAGAGTATTTTTACGTTTTTACAGTACAATTATTGGTCATTCTGAAATTTATTTAACATATTGACAATATATAGTGCAGTGCAGTGTTGATTTAAAGAAAATATTCTTGAATTACACCGAGTGAACTTAAAATTTTATGGGTGAAATGACAGCATGAAGCACAGGGTGATTTCTCTTCCACCCCCACTTCCTTCTCTTCTCCCTTCTCCTCCACTCCCACTTCTAATTCCCATCATCATCAACCAGAAGCCTTCTACATACACACCTCAAAGTAAGTGTACTTTACTGCATTTTCTTTTACTTGGTATGTAATTTTTGGTGAGCTGGAACCAATTGCCCAAAATCCCATTGAAACAATGGTTTCGGTTAACGAACGACCTTCTGGAACGAATTGTGTTCGTTAACCGAGGGACCACTGTAATTGGTTTTTAAGTGAATGTTGGAAGAGCATCAACCAACCACCAAAACAATATCAAACAAATATGGCACCCATGCTGGCCGCTTACATAGCAGGCTGTTATCACAGTCAGGCGCTGAACAACCTTTGTACTAAGTTTTTTAAATTATTGTATATTTATAATTTTCATACATTATTTTTTCAACGACATTGACAAATAATGTTAATGGGGGAATTGGTGTACTCAAGTTTCTTTTCAAAACAAACTTGTATGAACTATTTAAAAATAGCAACATATGTGGTGCTAAGTAATTAGAATACAGGGGTATTTAAAATTACTTTTAAAAATTTGTAGTATCATTACTACCAGTGTTTCTTTAAACAATAATTTTATAAGTGTAAACCTCGAGTTAGATTTATGGAGTGCCAGTTTGGCACAATGTTCATGTTGCAGCAAAACTTTACTTCTATGCTGCTGACAACAAGCTAGAGATGAAAGAATCAGCATTGTCTAAATAAAGGCTAAAAGTACTACCTGAAACCTAAAGTCAACTTCCATCTGCTACACTTAGCTATCCTTAATGATCATCTGTACCAAAATAAAATTATGCTCATTATAATAACTATTTAGACCCTTTGATGAGCGAAGCTTAGAGGAAGACTAGACCATTAAAACATCTACTTAGTCTTGGTACAGTATTGTGATATCACAAAATTCCAGTAATTTACTATAAACTTGTCAACCGAGTATAAACCTTTTTATTGTTAACTTATCTACATTTAAAAGTTTATCCAAGCGTATAAACCCTCCAAAACTACAAAAGATTTTAAATATTCGTGCTATAATGTTTACATTATTTTGCAAAGTATGTACATTATTAACATCCTATGTGTGAGCACTTCTCAGGTCTTGGTGTCCTCTGCAATGGGCTGTTGTGAGGTTCGTGCAACAGGCAGCCTAAGTGTTGGGGTGTCACCTGCAGGCTTCTGAGCAGGTGTTCCAGATTGTTTCACATCTATACTTGTACCTTTTTGGGACTCATTATGTGGCACCTTACTTACCCCATTTTGAGAAGTTTTTCCTGGTGGTCCAGTGCTAGTTACACTAGAATTCCCAGATGTGTTAATGTGTGCTGGTGTTGCTGTGGTAACACTCTCTTTGGCCTCTGCACCTTTATCTGTATTGTCACTAACTACCTTACTCTCAAATGATTGTGTCTTTGATTGCATATTTTCTTTGTTAAAGTTTTTAGTTTTATTAAATTTACCAAATTTCTCCTGTGCTGTAGACATAGTGGAAAGCACTGAGGTAGACATGTTATCCAGCTTACTGTCAGGAGCAACAAAGAAAGGTGTATGAACATTGTGAAGGCTGCCATTTTTTACCGATGAAAACTCATTGACGTCAATCAATGAGTCGTGTCCTTGATTCATGCGGTTGAAAGCATCGCACAGACCAACGACGGATCCAATAGCACCCAGCGTTATCAACAAAATGTCGAAATACCTCTGTCGCCTGGAGAGTCGCCTGTAAATTTGAACATTGCATTAACAATTAATATGCCACTAAAACTAAAAAGATTTGAAAAGTAAGCCGAGACCAAGTAATGAACCTCATGACTGTTTAAACTATGGTGACGTAAATAAGTTGTTCATCATTTCAAACAACTAATTAATCCAACACCCTAAATATATAACTTTAACCAAATTGATTTAATGGTTCAATGCTTTTAACATTTGCCATCAGAAGAATTAAAAAAAAAATGCATATTATTGAGGACATAATAACTACAGTACTGGTTGATGATGACCCTAACAAGGTCACTTGAAAGTGGGTCCTGTAACCTTAACTGCTCATTTGAGGGACTGTGAATGCAACACACCGTGGACTGAGTCTTTTTGGTATACAAGGTGGCAGTAATAATTGTGAGGTGCCTTGGGTATGAGCCAGTGACCCTCAGGACAGAACATGAGAGCTGTAGCCACTCGCCTACATCCTCAGTTTACAGTACAGTATTAAAATAATATTACTGGCTGGTATCAGTGTGATGCTGTAGACAAAATTCTTACAACGCTCATTCTTGTAGCGGAATTTTTTACTAAAATAATTAAAATCTACAAATAAGTTAAAAAGTTCCACACAAGACTGCACAGCAATGCTCTCATATCATTGAGTCATACAAACGAAAAGTGGTATTGTACTACACATTCTCAAGCAACCAATGAAACGGGTACCCCATTGGAGAGTTAACTCAACGACCCAGAAAAGGAATGAGGATGAGAGGGTATGTGTGTGTGTAATAGTGGGAACAAGAACTAACACTTACTGTTTGAATATTGAGAGATGGAAGGCAGCTGGAAGAATGAAGGCCAGGAGAGTGCAACATGTTGCACCAACCAAGCTCATCAGAATAGCAAAGTTGGGTACTGCACTCACCACCAATCCAGTCAGTACAACAAGTATTAACCGCAATATATTCTGTAAGAAGATTTATTACTTACTGCCGTGTGTTAAAATAAAATAACTGCATCATACGTATTCTGTAAATACATAACAAACACAAGAGTGATTTAAAATGAAGATATATACTGTACTGAAGGTTGCTTCCTTACACTAAGATATAGTAGATAAAACTTTTAAACTAAATTTTTCCATTATTTTTGAACCCCTTTATTGCTAAAATGAAGGGTGACTAGAACTGCACACACACAGAGACAAGGAGGATATACTGATATAGATGAAGAGGGTACAGTACATTATATGGATCTACACAGTGAGGAAGTATTCATGAAGTGCTCTAGAAAGATAGAAAATTTTCTTATACTGTCATCATTTTTAAGCCCATCTCACCTTCAAGAATCCTGTTAGAACTTATATTAAAATTATTTTCCTAGGCAAAACAATATTTATTCCTAAATGAAAGATAACTACACAGTACTCATAGTCATAAAATGAACTGACACTTGACTTAATGAAGTCTTAAAATCATGAAACAAGCTGGAAAAATTATCTACTCACTCCTCTGTATGAAATGTTGACAATTCCCAGAGTTTTGTCCATCAGGTGAGTAACCGGGAACATCATCATTGGATATGTGAAGAAGAGGGAGACCCCAAGGCAGATCTTGACCATGGCTGCAAAGTTCACTACTCCAGTTCCATGAGGAAGATTCAGTGTGATGATGTCTTTGGTATCTGGGAGGCAGGAAGGAAGTTGGGTCTGATTAACGGAGACTCGGCCATGTTCACTAAACTTTGACTTTCCATTTTCCACCATTTTATTACAATACATAGACTAAATATTAATTCTTGACTCTGCTTAGTGTGTGCTCCTACACCCACAAGAAACTTTCTTGCAAATGAAATACAGTGGGGTATGCTATAACGAACAGATCCTACTACGAATATTCCTATAACGAACGGTTTTACCTATAAAATTGAGAATGCTATAACGAACGCAACTCCTACAACGAACGCGGATGAATATGGGACTATTTCGCCTGGCGCATGAATATTGTTGTACCACGACCCACAACAAGAGCGTCAGGCGCCATCTTTGTCTCATTGTGTAGCCAGTGCACCACTGTTATTGTTGAAATTTCGTCTTTTGATGTGGAAATTCGCGTTATTTGTATAACTATTTTGTTATACAAATATACAATTGTAAGAATGAGTCGTCCAAAGCGAGTGAGAAAGCTAATAACCCTTGAAACTAAGAAAGAAATTATAAAGAAACGTGAGAATGGAAGAAGCATTGCGAAACTTAGTGATGAATATGGGATGGCTAAATCGACTATATGTACGATTTTGAAGACTAAAGAAGAGTTAAAAACTGTCCAAGTGGCTAAGGGAATCTTTAGACTTAGCAAAGCAAAGTGTAATGTGATTGAAGAGATGGAAAATTTACTCTTAGTGTGGATAAAGGAGAAAGAAATGGCAGGTGGTAACATTAGTGAAGCTATAATTTGTGAGAAGGCCAGACAATTGTTTGAGGACCTTAAAGCCAAGACTCCCAGTGGAAGTGATAGTGATGTGCCAGTGTTTAGGGGTACCTGCATGCTGAATAACACTAAGGTAAGATAAAGTACCGTATTTTTTACATTTTCCACAGAATTTTTTCAGTGTTAAGTGGTTGTATTTGGGGGCCTGGAACGGATTAATCCTATAACGAACGAATGCTATAACGAACGAGGTTCTGGAACCAATTACGTTCGTTATAGCATACCCCACTGTACAGAGAATTGAGATAAAGAATAATCTTTCTGGAAACTAACGCGGGCCAAATGATGCATAGCCAGACACTCCAAAGCAGATATAGAGCATTGTTAGTCCCGACATCGTACAAACAAAGATGGAGCGAAACTTATCACGCTTGTGCTCTGCCATTGACTCTTCAAGTGAGAGGATCATTCCTGCACCCTGGAGGAGAAGAAAAAGCTTAATATAGTTGTTACACATTAAGAATGTTTTCATTTATATTACTGTACTGTATGTTGTTCAGTGAATATTACTGTACAGTACTTAAGAAAAACAATCACAGGAAACAAAATAATTTTAAGATTGAACAATAAAGTAAAGTATTTAGTGTCACAGGAGACAGGTGATAAAACAATGATTAAGTTATCACGGTAAATATTAAATCACGGTACAAATGATTTCAAGGAAATACAGTACAATACTAAAGGGCTAATAACTTACAAACTAGACAATATTGATGAATATGTGGGTTGTTGTTGTGGTTAACATCATTTGAGTTTTCTGCACACACAACTGAGCCTCTAATAACACAACACTAAATCAATGCAAATTGACATAAAGTCACATGATCTGATGACTGATTATACAGTAAAAGGCTGGAAGTACAGGTAGCTAATTGTTTTACTATCATCCATCTTTTTCTTACACATTTTGCTGTTATACGAATTCTTAACAACTAATTTATTGCATTGTCAACATTAGCAACTTGTTGTTGATCTTTTGAGCAACTGATAATGTGTGATTGTACTGTACAGAAAAGTTAGTATTGAGGATAATAGAACAGAACAGTAGTCTTGTTTTAGCTTATTACTGAAGAATTGTATAATGTTATCTAAAACTCTTGAATGAAACACACAGTACATGTATAGTTCTTACCTCATAGCAATAGATAGCTACAGCAAAGAAGAAAGGAAACCCCTTTATGGAAAACTCCTTTGGAGTAAAAGGCACCTCCTCTGAGTGAGAGAAGTCAAACCAGAAGACCACTGTTAGAGCGAGCACATTGGAAACCTGTGCAAATAGGCTGAAAAGGGAATGAAAACCATATCAATAATTATCACACAACAATGAATAATAACCTTCAAGACATGATGTGTACTATATACAGTGGGGTATGCTATAACGAACGGATCCTACTACGAATATTATTTAATAAAATTTTTTTTTTTTTTTTTACTAATTTATTGTTTTTTTATTACAAGTATTAATGATATTCTTTATTTCAGGGGTTTAGAAGCATATTTAGGCACTTTTTTACAATTTTTACAATTTTATATTATATTTTTCAGTGTTGAGTGGTTGTATTTGGGGGCCTGGAACGGATTAATCCTATAACGAATGAATGCTATAACGAACAAGGTTCTAGAACCAATTAGATTCGTTATAGCATACCCCACTGTATAGAGCTGTGAGTGACAGTGTGTGCGCGTGTGGTGATAAAGATGGACCCAGTGAAGGTGTTGTTAGCACACATCACAATACAGCAAATGGTGTTGACAATACAGGAATGATGTTGAATATAGTTTCTAATGAATTATTTATAATACTGTACAGTGTAAAGATATTTCCAAATTGAACATATTCCTCAAAGTTTACACTCCAGTACTGTACTCTTAATTGAAAAGTACAATAATAATAACAAACATTAATACCTTTGTGAAGATGATGTGTCTGTTGGAAAAGTATACAGTACAGTATAATGATCAGAGTTTGTAAATGCTTTACTGTATACTATCATAATAAAATGTAGTTATGCTTGATAGTAAAAAGTTAGTTAAAATGAGTGTCCCCACCATGCCATACAATAGTTTAAGGGCCAACAACCCTGCCTGGCTGTGTGACTCCTAGGTCAAGACATTCAAATACAGGTATGATTTAATGAGTCAGGACCCCATCAAAACATCACATTATTCCTAGGCAGAAAAATTTACCTGAATATGGCCAGTTTGTTGAGGTGCCTCAGTAACGTGAGGCAGTAAAGAGGAGGTAACAGTAGCATCAGCCATAATCGTTGACTGAATCTTGGTATGTATATGTTGAGGTTCTTACATAAATATATCAGGTACCCACAGCAGAACCCTGTTAAAGATGGTAAGTTTATACAGCTGTACTGTATATTGTATTTTCAGACTAATGAAATTATCATCAATGATGAAGATAAAACTGTATGGTATTTTTAATTACACTATTACTTCAGTATACAGCACTGCAATAATAAGTTACTTGTACAGTAGACTCGCAACTTACGCGGGGGTTACCGTATGTTCCTGGGACCCAGCATAAAGCCCAAAAATGCGTACAGTCAGAAACACTCCTAAAAATCTCCTAAATTGCCCTTAAATCACTAAATATATATACATATACACCAGAACTAAAAAATCACTACTGTAATGTAATATCAACATCAGTAACAAGTGCATAGCAGCATTAAGAACACAGACACTACCTGTATGTAACAGACATGTAGACAGACACGTGTTGTTATTTTGAGATTATTCATCCCCTTCCCACGTCACCATGGGGGGATCGTCAAGCTCAGATAACAATGCAGGGGAGGATGTAGGCAGCTCAAGGTCACTGCGAGAAGTTGAGGGCATTGGCTGATCTGCTGACGATGTTGATGCTGAGGTTTTCTTAAAGAACATGGTGATGGGAAGCTGTCGTTGTTGTTTCTTAAGCTGCTGGAACATGATCCTATATTGAGGGATTCATTCGTCCTAACTTGGAGTACTGCTCTCATATCTGGGGTGGCTCTTCTTCTGTTCAACTACTAAATAGGGTGGAATCAAAGGCATTTCGTCTTAATTAACTCTCCTCCTTTAGTCGACAATCTCTCTTCCCTTTCTTTTCGCCGCAATGTTGCTTCACTTTCTCTCTTTTACAGGTACTTTAACGGGCCATGTTCGGTGGATTTGGCATCCTGTGTACCACCAGCAAGGCCGTGGGCTCGTAACACACGTCTTGCCCGCGTTGTCCACTGTTTCTCTGTGGATGTCGGTCACACGAGAATAACCTGTTATAGTACCTCCTTCTTTCCTCACACAGCCAAACTGTGGAATGCTCTGCCTTCTTCTGTGTTTCCATACTCTTACAATGTCTCACTTTAAAAAGCTGGTTTTCCGGCATCTTCGTGGTGTAGATTAACACAGTACTGTATAACCTTTTTCTTCTCTATTTTCAATTTCTTTCCGTTCTTTTTTTTGCCCCCCAGGCTCTGTTGTGGGTCGTTTGACCTGTGCTCGGTGGGCTAATTTCCGTAAAAAAAAAAAAATAAAAAAAAAAATACTCATACACTAAGTTTTTCAAGTGTTTGGCCACCTGAAACACTTCACTAAACTTGTGTATATCCCAATATGCTGGCTCTTTTTGTTCTTCATCATCGTCCCTACAGCCATCGCTGCCTTCTTCGTCTGCTCTCACTATTTCCTCCAACTTACCATCAGTCAGAGTTTCCATGTGCCCTTCAATTAATTCCTCGATTTCCTGGTCGACCATGTCTTCAAACCCAACACCACCTACAGCCCTGGTCACCTTCACGATGTGCCTTACTTCAGAGTCGATCATAGGGAATCCTTTGTAGTCACACACACAATCACTCCACAGTGCCTGCCAACACGAATTAACTGTCTCTGGTTTCAGTGTATCCATGGCCTCCTTCACAAAACTGATGCAATTGGCAATGTTGAAATCCTTCCAGCTTGACATAACACTCTTGTTAGTGCCGTCCTCCATGGCGTTGCGAATGCAGACAAAGGTGAGGCGTGTGTACTCTGCCTTAAAGCACCGAATCACGCCCTGGTCGAGAGGCTGGAGGTGGTGTTGGGTGGAAGGAACACTACCTCGACATCACTGTGTGCGAATTTTATGGCATTCGTGTGGCCTGGTGCGTTGTCAACAACCAGCAACACCTTGAAAAGCAGGCCCAGCTTCTCTAGGTAGCTCTTTACCTTGGGGATAAAACATTTGTGGAACCACTCAAGGAAAAGCATTGCTGTCACCCAAGCTTTCTTGTTTGACTGCCAGAAGACGAAGAGAAGATTCTCATTTTTTCCCTTCAGAGCACGAGGGTTGGCAGACCTATAAACCAAGCCTGGCTTTATCATATGCTCTGCTGCATTGCCACATAGCAGGATGGTGACATGGTCTTTCGCAGCCTTGAACCCAGGGGCCTGCTTCTCAGACTTGGAAATGTAGGTTCTGGTTGTCATTTTCTTCCAAAACAAACCTGTTTCATCAGCGTTGAAGACCTGCTCTGGAAGATATCCATTTTCCTCAATCAATTTCCTGAATTCTTCTGGGAACAGCCGTGCAGCTGCCTCGTCCGCCAATGCCGATTCGTCAGTGAGTAATATTTTTCAAGTTGAAACGCTACCTGAAACTGCTGAGCCAACCTGCACTGGCTTTAAAATTCTTCTCAGAACTGGTGGATGCTTCGTCCTCAGGAACCTCAGATTTAAACCGGTCATAAGGACTCGGTGCCTTCTCCCTGAGCACGTTGCCGTTGATGGGGACACGTTTCTGGTTCATATCCTCCACCTAGATATAATGCCTTCTGCACCTTCACTAGAGTTATGTCTCTAACCTGGCTAGTCACCTCAGCAGTAAATGAGGCACTTGTAGACATAAATTCACGAATTTCCCACTCTGAATCTTAATGGATCTCAAGCTTGATTTGTTCTGCCCGTACCTCCATGCCACAGCAGTGATCGACATGCTGCCTTTTATTAAGTCTAACACGGCCACTTTTTCTTCCAAGGTCATCACAGAGCATTGTTTCTTCACTGGAGGACCAGAGGCAGAGGTTGGCTTGTGTTTGGGCATCATTAACGAGTATGAGAGAGGTTTAAGCGCACTAAATTGACACACACGAGAGGCAGCTGTTACTCGGACAACTACACGCACGGCAACTGAGACAGACAGAGGTGGTGGGGTGGTGCATTTGGTGGGCTTGCGACCCACTTTGAAAGTTTTAACCTTGAAATTGGAAATTGTAACCTAATTTTACTCCGCGTATAGTTGAAATCGCGTAAGAAAAATACGCGCAAGTTGCGAGTCTACTGTACCTTCTTTCACACCAGTGTAAACTTTCTTATTTTTACCAGCGAGTCTTTATCCAAAGAGTACTGTAGTCTAAGTCAATCTTCTCTTATCATACAATAAATGTGTGTGTGTAGTCTACATCATCCTTGACTCCACTACCTTGAGACAGTGCTTTATCTTACCAATCTGAGAGACAACAATTGCAATGTCTACGAGCCTCTTGCCACCTGGCCCCAGAGCATACAGTCCCACATCCCCATAAGTCAGATCTGTTGAGGGAGTGGGAGGATGTCGCTCATCATCGTCCTCGTCGTCTGATGAGTCTGGTGGAATGAGTGGTACCTGTGGGAGTATAATATTATGTACAGTACTTCCCATGTACTGTACTACATTATACAGCAGTCACAATAGTTGTCATCGTACAATCAAATTACAAAATGCCACACTATATAACATGGCACTTATTGTCTAAAATCCATTTCAGTATTTTGCAAAAAATTTTTATATACACTATATATAATGTTAGACAAAAGTAAAAAAGGGCCACATTTTAGTACAGCATGCCCTTCAAATTCGAAGGGGTTAGGTTCTCAAAATTGGCACGAATCGCTAAATCCGCAAATAACATTTGCTTAGCGCTGCTGGGGTCCATTTTTACTCATGTACAAAGAAATGCATATTCCCTTTATGTGTTTGCCCTTAGGACAATTATTTCTTTTACCTGTATTGTACTGTATATATGTGTGTGTGTAGACTGTTACGACTGTGTCGTATTTTTTCTATTATTTTTTATAACATGCTTCCATGTTGTTCCATATTATTCCTGTAATGATGTGTTATATTTACTATTATATAATCTAGCCACTTTACCCTGTGCTGTTAAGGTTTTAACTGTTATTATTTGTTCAAGCCCATCTTATTTCTTCATTTAGTATTGTAACAAGCATTCTTTGTTTCTCTAACGACCATCTGTATCGTTAAACGACCCATGTTTCACCGGCGGGTCGCATTGGCGGGAGCCGACCCTATATATAGTACTCCACGAACAGACGGAGTTCAGTCCAGTCCTCTTGTCATTCAGTTCACGTTCTTTTGAGTGTCACCCATCATCTGTTACTTATACAGTCAACCCTCACATTACGCGGTCCCGCATTCCGCGTTTCACCGTTAACGCGGTGCCCTGCCGGAACCTAACATGCTCACATTCCGCGGTGCGTGTACCCCATTACGCGGAGAGCGGCTGGCAAGCCGCGCCATTTTTGGATCCAAACCTCCCGCCATCCGCCATGTTGTGTAAGAGGCGCGAAAATGGTGCGCACAAGGTCGCCCAGTCATCAAAACATTACCAGTTCTTCACCCGCCACCCACTACAGCCGGCCCAAGTCAGTGATAGTGATAATTATAGTGAGGATATGGACTTATATGAACTTTGGGGGGTTTGACAAAGAGGCCCTGCAAGCCTCTGTGGTGGATAGTGATACAATTGATACAAGTGATACAGGTGAGGGCCAATAATCTGCCCTCTGCCTCGGAACCAACCGCCCATCCCCGTGTGCCCAGCCATCTTTTCTACCAATGTAAGTGTTAAAAAACCTAATATTATTGATATTTCTCTTAATTATTAATTGTGTGTGCATGCCATCATAAAGTTAAGATAATATTTTTACTACAACATAGTTGTGTGTCGTCAAAAAGTGGAGTTTGGGGGTCGGCCTGGACTCTATTTCAATTAATCCCATATGTTATGTTATTCACTTTACGCGTTCCTCACTTTCCGCGGTACCCTCCGGGTTACATTAACCACGTAAAGTGAGGGTTAACTGTACTTAAATTTATTTCTGTGTTGTTCCTGTTGCCACCAATATGGTATATCTATGCGAGTACCTATTCATGTCTCTTATGTGTCCATCAGTGCTTGCTTAGTTACATTTAAGTAATTCAGTGTTGTTTCACAATAGTTAATTTCAGTGTTAGTTTTTATATGTTTATGCAGTGTTAACGTAACCCAATGCTTTATTTTTATTCTTTTGATGTTACGATGTTTTAGTATCATTTGTGTCTTAAAGGTTTCGATAGTGAATTAATTTGTTGTGACAGCCTACGAGGCTCTTTATTGTCTTAGTATTTTATTTAATTAAGTTCTTAAAGGTTTACTTTATTTATTTTTATTCCCTTTTGATTTGCTTCACTTTTCTTTTTGTTTGGTTACGCCTATAACCTGTCTACTCCGTGCTGTATTAATAACAAACCACGGAGTGGACTTGAGGGTAGACTCAACATTATTAATTTACATTTGTTTCTGATTAATCGTGAGAGGATTTTCCCATTATTATTTATTTTTATGTGTTTTGTGTAAATGTCTACACACACACACATTTATATATATGCTGTATATACAATACAGTGATCCCTCGGTTAACGAAATTTCGGTTAACAAATTCCTTACGAATTTTTCCCAACATGTTTTTGCCTGCTCACCAGCTGTAGTATTAGTCCGCCAATACAGTAATCGGTTTTAAGGCTTTAATTTGTTACCATTTGAGTAAACATCAAGAAGGTTGTACTATTCAATAATTTTCAAGTCTTATATTAAAGTCTTTAGTCATTTTAACAATTATTTAACATAATTGAAGTACAGGGAACTAGTTTTTAGCGCACCAAACAGCCACTCAACACACCCAAAATGGCATCAGTGCGTGTCCCTGCTCAGTGGAGGAAGCTTCTTGCTGGAGACTCTCTTGAACATAAACTATTTTTACATTTTTACAGTACAATTATTGGTCATTCTGAAGTTTATTTTACATATTGACAATATATAACGCAGTGCAGTGTTGATTTAAAGAAAATAATCTTGAATTACACCAAGCGAACTAAAATTTTATGGGTGAAATGGCGGCATGGGGTGCCTTCTCTTCCACTCCAATGCCTTCTCTTCTCCCTTCTCCTCCACCCCCATTCTAATTCCCATCATCATCATCAACCAGGAGCCTTCTACATGCACACCTCAAAGTAAGTGTACTTTACTGCATTTATTTTTAGTTTGTATGTAATTTTCGGTGAGCTGGAACCAATTACCCAAAATCCCATTGAAACAATGGTTTTGGTTAACGAAATTTTCGGTTAACGAACGACCTTCTGGAACTAATTGTGTTCATTAACCGAGGGACCACTGTACATGTAAAGGAAATTACTGTCTCTAGAACGAATGTTTCCCTGTCCCGGCCACGATAATGCTGGCAACTTTAAAACTAACCGCAGACATTCTTGGGTACATCCAGGGTGTCATCTGCGAATAATAGAGGACCGCGAAATAAAAATCCATGAATTATCCGGGCGTACTGTACATATTTTAATAATTATAACTTAAACAATAACTAAAAGGTGAGGTGGAAAGATTACCTTTGTGTCCATGACAATAGATCGGCCACCTGCCCTACCACCTGAGGTGAGGATAGCATACTTACAGTCGATAAGCATGAGCATGGCTGACACACTGAGATAGCCAACCAATGCCATGATCAATGCTCCTTCCATAATGCCAGCCTGAAACACAACAGTACAGTACCTACCATTACTACATCCAACAAGAAAATGGACAAGATTATCACTCACCATCACTTTTCATTTAATAACTTGGGAGATACTACCAACACTGAGGCAAATACTGTATTAACTAAATTTCACCTGAAGCTTAGTGCTTATAAAATGAAGGGCCACTTTCAATATTTTTTTTGAGAGAGAGAGAGAGAGAGAGGTGCAGTCACAGGGAGAGAAGATTGAAGATAAATGAGTTACATTACCACAGTTGAAAAGCAAACATGTAACTACTGTATCACTCACTCACCTGCCTCCCTCTCTCACCCACCTGCCTCTCCCCCTCCCTCTACATCTCTCACCCACCTGCCCCCCCCTCCCTCTACTTCTCTCACCCACCTGCCTCTCCCCCTTCCCTCTACATCTCTCACCCACCTGTCTCTCCCCCTCCCTCTACTCTCCCCACCTGCCTTTCCCCTTCTACTCATCTCACCCACCTGCCCCCTCCTCTACTTCTCTCACCTGCCTCTCCCCCTTCCCTCTACATCTCTCACCCACCTGTCTCCCTCCCTACTTCTCTCACCCACCTGCCTCTCCCCCTCCCTCTACATCTCTCACCCACCTGCCCCCCCCTCCCTCTACTTCTCTCACCCACCTGCCTCTCCCCCTTCCCTCTACATCTCTCACCCACCTGCCTCTCCCCCTTCCTCTACATCTCTCACCTACCTGCCTCTCACTCTCCCTCTACATCTTTCCCATCTCTCACCCTCCTTCTATATCTCTTACCTATCCTGTCTCTCATCCTCCCTCTATATCTCTACCCTACATGTCCCTCACCCTCTCTCTCTCTCACCAATAAACATATTATATTAATATACTATAACTGGCCTATCATTAATGAATATTAAATAAAGCAATATTAGTCAAGATTTGCATAAACATTCCTTAGTTATTTAAATAAAACCAATACTGTAATGGGATGTATACAGTACAGACATGGGTAACACAATATGTACCTCAGTGACACAAAATGAACAGAACATGTGTAAACTTGGAGGAGACATTGGAGAACAGCAGGTTTACTGATAAAGAATATGGTGTGATGCAATAGATAAGTCAAGGAGCAATGTAGAGATAAGGAGTGCATGGAGTATACACAGAATGATGTGATGGTACTGTACTAACCAAATATTAGACACTACACTATAGTATACATTCCTGTATATATGAAGCCATTTACAGGAGATGGGAAAAATTATCACATAAGTTGAACAATATAAGACACTTTTCTAAGTTAACATCAAGACAGCCAATACTGTACAAGTCTTCTTCCAGAGGTGCTACATATCAAGGGTTTGTTAAATGTAAAACCTCCATCTAACGAATTATGCAGAGAGGAAAGTCCGTTATATTGAGGGCCCACTAGATGTGACGTCCCCATCTACCGGATTATATGGAGACAGAAGTACATTGGTTTATAGGTATATGGAGGTTTCACCGTACACTAACAGACCAAATTGAGCCATGCCACACCTCAGCTCAGATCATGTGTTTGGCTGTGTATGATAGCATGATGCCTGCCTTTATTTACCAAACTGAAAATATTACTGTACTGTATATTGTGAAAAGGGAATATTTACCAAGTGTGACTGAACAATGCTGATGGCCAACTCGATGTCATTTTCTTTTTCTTTTACACTTAATTAAATTCCCTACAGCTCAGGTAACTGTCCCTCTCTTTTCTTAAAGTTATTAGCTACCTAAGCCATAAATTTTCAGTATGAGCTCTCTCCTCGTTAAAGACCTTTAATTAATATGAGCAGCCATAAGTTAACCAATCTTTTAATTAAGAGGGAACAGATATGAGGGCAAAAAGTTCATTCATAAGGGTAAAAAATGGACTTGTAATATCAAACATTCAGTAATAATGGAAAATTTCAACTTAAATACCATACTGTCCAGTACAGTACTTGTAGTGAAGGTACAGTACAGTACATAGCTATATGTGGTGAAGGTCCAGTACAGTACAGTACACAGCTATATGTGGTGAAGGTCCAGTACAGTACATAGCTATATGTAGTGAAGGTACAGTACAGTACATAGCTATATGTGGTGAAGGTCCAGTACAGTACATGCTATATGTGGTGAAGGTCCAGTACAGTATATAGCTATATGTAGTGAAGGTACAGTGCAGTACATAGCTATATGTGGTGAAGGTACAGTACAGTACATAGCTATATGTAGTGAAGGTACAGTACAGTACATGCTATATGTGGTGAAGGTCCAGTACAGTATATAGCTATATGTAGTGAAGGTACAGTGCAGTACATAGCTATATGTGGTGAAGGTCCAGTACAGTACATATATGTAGTGAAGGTACAGTACAGTACATAGCTATATGTAGTGAAGGTCCAGTACAGTACATATATGTGGTGAAGGTGAAGGTACAGTACAGTACATAGCTATAGTAGTGAAGGTACAGTACAGTACATAGCTATATGTAGTGAAGGTACAGTACAGTACATACTATATGTAGTGAAGGTACAGTGCAGTACATAGCTATATGTGGTGAAGGTCCAGTACAGTACATATATGTAGTGAAGGTCAGTACAGTACATAGCTATATGTAGTGAAGGTCCAGTACAGTACATATATGTAGTGAAGGTCAGTACAGTACATAGCTATAGGTAGTGAAGGTACAGTACAGTACATAGCTATATGTAGTGAAGGTACAGTACAGTACATAGCTATATGTAGTGAAGGTACAGTACAGTACAGTACATAGCTATATGTAGTGAAGGTCCAGTACAGTACATAAATGTAGTGAAGGTCCAGTACAGTACATAGCTATATGTAGTGAAGGTCCAGTACAGTACATATATGTAGTGAAGGTCCAGTACAGTACATAGCTATATGTAGTGAAGGTCCAGTACAGTACATAAATGTAGTGAAGGTCCAGTACAGTACATAGCTATATGTAGTGAAGGTCCAGTACAGTACATATATGTAGTGAAGGTACAGTACATAGCTATATGTAGTGAAGGTCCAGTACAGTACATAGCTATATGTAGTGAAGGTACAGTACAGTACATAGCTATATGTAGTAAAGATACAGTAGAGTACATAGTTATATGTAGTGAAGGTACAGTAGTGTGCATAGCTATATGTAGTAAAGGGGTGATCATGATTCAGGTAATGGTGACTTAAGCAGGACTTGTTATCTTATCAGGTCACAACAGTTATTACACATGAAATAGAATTCCTTCTTCACTAGCAACCATTTTAATAACCAAAATTCTCTTCTAAACATTAAATTTACACACATAAAAAAAGCATTTACTAGTGAACATAAAAAAATTAGAAGTACAGTTTCTTAGAATGGACAAAAATGCTTCATAATGATAGGTACTGTACTGTCATTATCCTTAGCAACACTTTCAAGTTTATATAAACGTTGATTATCTAAGATTGTTTCCTGTTTATTGAGCATGGTACAAAAGTAGTACAGTATGTAGTACTGTACTGTCAACATCATAAACTTAGTGTTCTCCATACAACACTATTGTTTCAAGAAGCAATCTATTTTTTCTTTATAATTACTATATACAGTACAGTACAGCATATGAATTTTTAATTACAGAACTTGAGTAGCCAATCAATATACTAACCAATGACAATTCTCTTTTAAATCTGTGTGTGTGTGTGTGTGTACAAAACTGAGAAGAATGAACACAGATCTAAGAAAACTGCAAAAAGTAAATAAAATAACATACAGTACCTTAATAGTACAGTACTCAGTTTTCTGCCTTATAATGTTCAGTATATACAGTATACACTATATAAAAAATGGTTCATAATAATGGTTGCCACTCGTGTAACGAGGATGGCCAGCCCAAGGGCCACCTAGGGGTGAATCTGTTTAAGGTGTAGACCAGGGGTTCTCAACCAGGGGGGAATTTCCCCCCTCAGGTTTTCAAGGGGGGAAAAACTGATACTAATATAGAAAAAATAAAGGATTTTCAGTATTATATGCATATTATTTGGAATGCACTTTTTGAGGCAGACAATCTTGGAAAGGAGGGGGGAATGACATTCTGACATATGGTGAAAAGGGTGCATGGGGCAAACAAGGTTGAGAACCACTGGTGTAGACGCTGTTGCCAACACAACAACCACACCCTAAGTTTATGAGTTGAATGACCCAGTGTCAAGGAATAGTCAGAGAAGACCGGACACTTGCCAACTGCATTGGCTAACCATTACCCCGGAACACGATCCACAAATTGATTCACGTCTAGGTTCCAAATTACTGCTGGGCAGACAGAGGCAAATGGCTTAAAGTAACTTAACCATAGTTTCACCCTGCCCGGGGATAGAACTTGGATCCACTCGCTTGCGAGGCGAGCATGCTGACCATTATGCCATAGGTTGTCTAGGCGAGCATGCTGACCATTACACCATAGGTCGTCTCTCTCTCTCTCTATTTACAGGTGTGCTGGTGCCACAAGTGTGCTACAGGTGTCCTCATACACTTTAACATTTTTATTACATACAGAATCTCTAACAGATGTGGTAAGGATGTAAATGACCTTACTGACACTTGCAAAATGAAGCTTCTTTAGAAATAAGAGGAATCTACCAATAGTGTGCTATTTCCAGCCAGGTTCTGTGTACCAAGCTTAACCATGTCGGCGGCTGTTGTGTATGTGTGTGAGTGTGTGTGTATGTGTGTGTATAAAAACTAATTGTAACCTAACCAAGCTATCAGTCTTTGGTCATGGATTCCTTGGACCAGCTCTGAAAACAAGACTGGTGCTTTGATTGGATATTTAAAAAATTAAATTGTAAGATTCCACTTGCCTTTCTTTCCTTGTCACTAGATTTACATTCAATGCAGAAAAACTAACAAACAGCTCTGGATTAGTTAAGGTTCTGTCCCCAAATTAGAGGTAAATCATCACTAAAACTCCATTCCCTTATTTCTTGACATATTTTGGCAGATCTTCTCTGATACCTTTGTTTTATGCAGAGAAAAGACTGTACAGTACCTGGTGGCAGAACATGACCCAAGGTGATTTTAAATAACCACAGCTATTACATACATGAAATAATGAGCAGATAAAATGTACCATATAAAAAATTAATATTGTATAAGCCTCTGAAAACCTCAATTGAAAAGTGGATGAAGTGTAAATCATTTAAAATGGCCTACAACATGAATCAACCAAACCTAACCCAACCTGATCTAACCTTGTGGGTTAGGTGTGGTGTTGAGGCACTTCATCTCAAATCCATAAAGAAAAAAACATCAAAACAATCAGTAACAGGAACATTATAGCAGTACTATATAGAGTACTAGGAAATTTTCAACATCGCACATTTACAGGATAATTTCTACAAATAATTTCACAGTTCGTGTTTTGACGAGTTACACTCAATAGTGCCACCACCACCTACCCTTCATTGGCCTATTTGGGCATCTGGGAGAACCCACAATTTTTCTACTGAAATTCTAATAAACACATTCTCTGTCTCCTAAAACTTACTTATATTAACACTGAGAAAATCCCTACCTAAGAGTATTTTGTCTGTGCCATACAAGGTCTATCAGTTCATATGAGGCATTGTGGATATAAGTGAACAACCTAGCAAAAATCATGGTTTGAGAAAATTTGCCCTTTTTTTTTTATTTACACAAAAATTACAATAATTCAGCCAAATGAGTCATTGTCATGGGTTGAGTAAACATGATATTTAGAAAGGTGTCTACCTTATTATGAGAATACAGCTCCTCCCCGACTTACGACAGGGTTAGGGACCCAAATCCAGGTCGTAAGTCGAAATGGTCGTAAGTCGAAAATGCTTAAATAATACAGTACATAGAAAATCTAAAGCGGGTGTCTCTTTTTCTTCTCAGCACCACAAAACTCTCACTTTTAAGCTTGCCAGCAATTTTAAAGTGAATTACAAATAAAAATTTTGTCTGTGTACTGACGTTGGGACTCGAAAATACGTAATTTGACCAAATTTTTGTATGACTGAGGCAGGTCGTAAGTGCGGGTGGTCGTAAGTGGCGTAGGTCGTAAGTCAGGGAGGAGCTGTACATCAACATGTTTGGGGAGGTGGAAGGCCCAACCATCTCCCCAGGTCGTCGCTGGTGTCAGCGAGCCTAACACTGACATAATGCGCATTTGCCCAACATACACCCCTTGAAATGAATGTAAGTTTCTTGATACCGATGACGACCTTGTACCTTGGGACAGTGCCCATTTTCTTCTACGTATTCAGGTGAATTTATATTAATAAAAAAAATGGACTTTGCATCCATGTCGAGGTCATCACTAATATCCACAATGCTTTAACTTGCTTTTAATAACTTCAGTTTATAGCAAGAGGATGCCTTGATGAATAGATCTAATACTGTCACTTGTCTGATCTCTCCTTGCATAAATGTGCTCTAAACTGATCAGATTGTACAACACAGCCCATCCTTTTTATTTTATGTCATATTTATGTAATAAATAAAACCAAGACCAAAATAGGTGGTCAATTTAGGATAGTAGCCAGGTTTCGGTTAGGCTAGGTTAGGTTAGGTTAGGGCAGTCAGCACCAGAAACGAAGGTCAGATTCATTCTAATCACAACAAGAACCATAAGAAACAAAATTACGGAAAAATCAAAACCTGGCTGCTATCATAAACTGACCAAATAGGTATATTTTAGTTTCGACCATCTTAGGAATTTAACCCCCACCAGAATGGGGGGTCAAGTCTCTCCGATTATGTTAAATATAGTTCCTGGGTTTTGTGGCTAGGTTAGGTTGGTTAGGTTACATTAGGTTAGATTGGATATCTAAATACAAGGAAGACAAACTAAAATTGGTCATGACCGTCTGCTGCTTTTCATTGAAAATGGGTTTAAAAATACCCAGTTTTCACTGATTTTATTAGAGGATACTGTATTATGTTGGGAAACATATAAAAAATGACTGAAATCATGTGCTAACCTATATCTTAACTTGTCTATATCTATAAAACTAAGCATTTACACAAGAAAATGAATAGAACTGAAAGAAATCAGCATACAACACTGTCTAAAAGCACCCCCATAATTACTGAACCACTGACGATCATGACAGGCATATTAGCCATAAAATTTTACTGCAAAATATCTCAACTTTACATTGTAAAACAAGTAGGTCAGCTGTGCATATAAAACATTAATACTGTAAAGAATTAGCGTCCTCACTTCGTTTATTGTTTATACTGTAATTATTGATGACTGACCCGCCGTTGATTGTTCAAAGAAAACGAATTAAAAAAATGCTGCAATTTCATTGTTTTATAGTGGACACTGTCATAGTTTTAAAAAATATGTTAAAAAGTGGATATTTCTAAATTAAACTTACCGGTAACCTAACCTTGGTTGATAAGAAAAAATAAGTGGCAGAAGTATTGTTAGAAGACCTCACCAAAGTAACCCACCTAACGTTACCTAACTTGCTAGCCATGAAGCTCAATCCTCCGGACCCCCCGGCATATTAAACAGAAAAAATACTACTACTAAATGATTTAATTTTTATTTTTTTCGTGGACGTGAGAGCATAAACATATACTGGCGACTAGCATCGATCGGATACGATTGGCTGTGTACCACAGCATATCACTGCTGAGAAAGACAAAGTAGTGCACACATAGTTGCCTTATTTTCTACCAAAGGAAGCAATTTCCCCAAAAATAATTATTATTTAAGACCTCACTGATGAAAATATAGTAAGAATATAAACCTTAAAACATATAATGCGTATGTGGGTTCGTTGTCAATATTAGCCAAGATGAGTCATCTGGTCTGACAACCTACACTCACCTCTCTATAGGCATATGGCAGCCCCAACATCCCAGCACCAATGAAGGACACAAAGATGTTGGCTGTCACCTTAACGGGGCTGGTGATACCCATAGTTGGCCTGCCGACCCCCATAATGTTGGTGATGTAGAGTAGTGAGTGGCTGTGGCTCACATCACACCGTGTTACTCCTCAAACTAACAGGTGACACAACACACACAGCCATACTACCAACACTACCACTGCATCTCACCATTATTCATTATTACACCGTATTTATCAAACTTCCTATAATAACAATAGATTTTTTATTGTTATAATTTTCTATATTTTTAGTGCTTTAGTGGCGATGGTGATAGTGTAATGTTTAATTGTATGTGTTATTGAGGTTAGAGGTGGTAGTTGTGAGAGGCGTGACAAGGTAGCAGAGGAAGGCGTCACCACATATAAACAACACCTGTGGTAGTAGTGGCTCTTAACACCTGGACTTTAGAGGCAACTATTGGTGTGGGGGAGAAGAGGCGGAGTATGAGCCAGTAGGAGGTAGTATTAGTCACTGTCATGGTAGAGGAGAGGGACAACATCATACACGTGTTGAGAACCACCTTGTGTCAAGCTGTCTTGTCCTCACCTCAAAACACGTATCTATTGGTTCTTATTAATACTGACCCCTTCAAATGTGCCAATGGATATACATATATAATATAATTCTCACAAAAAACAACAGTGACAGCGTACCGTACTTCAGAGTAATAGAAAGCTGTGTCAGGCATCACCTCCACTTTGGACATGTTATACATATATACGGTACCTTAACCACCAACGACTTTTTGGACGATATTTTGTATTTAGGTATACAGTATTTCAATGTGCTTTGAATGAATTTCACATTAATTTTTTGGTTAATATTGAGGACTAGCCTGCCGACGTGTTATTTGTTCGTAGTGAATATTTTGTTGTGACCGGCTAAGTTCGTACTAACGTTATTTTACCGTGAGTGCACTCTAATTGGCTAAGTACTTTCTGTGTAATATGACAGGAGGTCTGTCTCCAGGCTAAGAAATTAAGTAAGGTTAGGTACATTTCTTTGGTTAGTTAGGTCAGGTTCTGTTAGGTTCAAACTCTATTCGAAATCACCTGGAGACTCACAAGTTGATCAATGATTCCCAGCATTGCTTCACAAGCAGGCCTTCATATCTAACTAATCTATTAACATTCTTTTCATCAGTTATCGAATTGGACGAGGGGCACAATTACGATGTGGTATATCTCGACTTTAGCAAAGCCTTCGACAGAGTCCCCCACGAAAGACTAATAAGAAAAGAGGAGGCTCATGACATTAAAGGAGATATTCTAAAGTGGATTCGGGCGTGGTTACAGGACAGGAAACAGCGAGTGAGCATTAACGGCACTAAATCCCATTGGAGCAATGTCACTAGTGGTGTTCCCCAAGGCTCTGTACTTGGACCATTATTATTTATTATTAGGGCCCGGGTGTTTAGGCACTAAAAAACTTCAAAATAGGCAGGCAAAAAGGCAAAATAAAGAGGCAAAATAGGCATTAAAAAGGTATTTATTCCCACAGCAATTATAGAAATAAAACTAGAAATATAACTTAAGTACATAAGTTCCATAACTAATTCTTCCATAAAGTAGACTCGCTCGGAATTTGCTGTTTTGTGTATTTTTCCAAGAATAACTTCAGAGACTTGTTCTCCAGCTTCCACAACAGAATACCAGCATCAACAAAAGCTTTACACAGATCTAATGAAAAGGTAGACTTGCGGCTGGAGGAGGCACTGAATGTAGTCAGCAGACTCGTTTGTTGGCTTCCTGGTTTCTTTTTCTGAGCAGCAGTTTGAACTTTAGCAGTCTGCACATGCTGCGAAACAAAGTACTTTTTCTCGAAATTCACTGCTTTTTCAGAGACTTTGCAAAATTGCACTGATCCATCAGTTGAAAAAATATCACATCCAAATTCCCGAACATGATCATTCAGCTTCTTGCCAGATGGTGCACTAACTTTGGGCATTTTTATTTTTTTTTGGAGCACTGCCCTCAGCACTCAGGTCTGCTGTTAGCCTAGTACTGTACTGAGGCAGTGCGTCGACTCATATACTTCTCGTGCTGACAAAAGCAGTGTTGCCATGTTTTATGGGTATGGTTTGCTAAGTTTTATGGTGTTCCGAAACATTAATTTCGTGTTTGGAGTGTTTCTTTGTGGAAATATGTGCAAAAAAGCACAATAGGCTATTATTTAGTAGAATAGGCATTATCACTCGCAATTCCCTAAAATAGGTAAAAAAGGCATTTTAAGGCATTTTGCCTAAACATCCGGGCTCTATTTATTATACAGTGGTCCCTCGGTTAACGAGCACAATTCATTCCAGAAGGTTGCTCGTTAACCGAATATTTCGTAAACCGAAACCATTGTTTCAATGGGTTTTTGGGTAATTAGTTCCAGCTCACCGAAAATTACATACAAACTAAAAATAAATGCAGTAAAGTACACTTACTTTGAGGTGTGCATGTAGAAGGCTCCTGGTTGATGATGATGATGATGGGAATTAGAATGGGGGTGGAGGAGAAGGGAGAAGAGAAGGCATTGGGGTGGAAGAGAATTCACCCCATGCCGCCATTTCACCCATAAAATTTTAGTTCACTTGGTGTAATTCAAGATTATTTTCTTTAAATCAACACTGCACTGCGCTATGTATTATCAATATGTAAAATATATTTCAAAATGACCAATAATTTGACTGGAAACACACAAAAAAGCGTTTATGTTGAAGAGTCTCAAACAAGATGTTCCTTCCTCTGAACCGGTAAATAAACTGACGCCAAGCTTGGTGTGTTGAGTGGCTGTTTGGCACGCAAAAAACTAGTTTCCTGTACTTCAATTATGTTCAATAATTGTAAGGAATTCGTTAACCGAGGGTTTGCTCGTTAACTGAAGTGAAGAATCTTTTGGAAGGTAATTCATTAACCTAGGCGCTCGTTGACCAAGGGATCACTGTATACATAAACGACATTGATATTGGCATAGACAGCAACTCCGCAAAACTACAGGATGATCTAAACAAATTTTTCGAATGGTCTGAAAAATGGCAGACGAAATTCAATGTGGAGAAATGCAAAGTACTCAGTACAGGAGATGTAAACAGGGAAACCAGATACCAGATGAACAACGATGCCATTGAGAAATCCGACTGCGAGAGAGATTTAGGAGTAATGATAAGTAGGAATCTTAAGCCAAGTAAACAATATATTTTTGCTCGAAACAAGGCTAATAGAGTACTTGGGTTCATACAAAGGAGTGTTAGTTACAAGACTAGCGAGGTCATCTTAAAACTATATCTTGCGCTTGTGAGACCTCACTTGGACTACGCAGTTCAATCCTGGTCACCATATTACAGAATGGATACAGAATCCTTGGAAAGAATTCAGAGGAGAATGACAAGACTAATCCCGGGCATTAGGAACCTTGAGTATAGAGACAGGTTAAAGCATCTTAATTTGCACTCCCTCGAGAGATGTAGAGCGAGGGGCGACATGATAGAGGTGTATATAAATGGAAGTCAGGGCTAAACAAAGGGGACATTACGAAGGTGCTCAATCTATCCAACCAGGAGCGAACTCGTAACAATGGTTTTAAATTAGACAAATTTAGATTTAGGCGCGAAATAGGTAAACATTGGTTTGGAAACAGAGTAGTGGATGAATGGAACACGTTACCAAATATCATCATTAACTAGAATACGCTGGATAGCTTCAAACATAGGTTGGATGCTTATATGAGCAATAGGGGTTAGGTGTAAATGGGACTGCCCAGTATGGGCCAATAGGCCCGCTGCAGTTTCCTCCATTCTTATGTTCTTATGTTCTAGTAAATGTTACTTTTACTTTTATCCTCTTCTCCACTGATCGGCTTGTTAGCCGCTTGGGCGATCGGTCACGTCTCTGTCACACACTGTTGGCAAATACTGGGCTTGCACCGGCTCCTAAATGTAACTGAACCCACTCCAGTGCTGGTCAAGTCTTGTCTTGAAAGAGCTCACACTCGGTGCCGTCACAACACACTCCGGTAGGTTGTTCCAAGAGTTTACAACCCTCACTCCGAAAAAGTTTGCCCTCACGGTTTTCTGGACTTGCGGCTTCTTCAATCTTGAGCTGTGACCCCTTGTGGGGTGAGCGTCCGCCAGCTCCAAGGAAGGACACTCAACTGAGTAGTGCCCCCTTAGATGCTTATACACCTCAACTAGGTCCCCCCTTGCCCGTCTGTAATATAAGCTAGGCAAGTTCAGGCGCTCCAATCTCTCTGGGTAGCTGAGGTGCCGAAGTGCAGGCACCAGTCTGGTGGCCCTCCTTTGAACATTTTCAACCAGCTGACAGTCCCTAGCATATCTCGGGGACCAGATGGGGTGACAGTACCCCAGATGGGGAAGCACTTCACTCCTGAAGATCGTTACGAGGAACGGACCGTCTAGATATCTGAACGACCTTCTTATAAGACCCAATAATTTATTTGCCTGGTTTACCTTCTTCTCGCAATGGCCCGAGAACTCAGCATACACACCTAGGTCCTTCTCACACACAGTCTCAAATAGTGCAGTTTCTTCATCCCGTTGGGACATCTGATTTGCCTCCTTACCGTTGGTATGCCCCAGGTGCATCCTCTTACACTTCGTGACATTGAATCTCAGCAGCCATTTCTTCGACCATTCCTGGAGCCCACAGAGGTCCTTCTGCAGTTCTCTTTTCTAATGATAAGAACATCTGTGGAAAAAATTAAACAAAATTTAACAACTCCTTCTGGTTAGGTATGTTTATAGCTACACAGTGATCGACTAACACCGAAATAGATGTCAAATTCCACCAGAGTCACGATCACATATCGTTCTCGCTTTGTGTGCCGGTAATGGACGATTAGCCACTCGGTGCACTCATGGTAAAATAGTGTTAGTAGGAACTTAGCTGGTCATAGCAAAATATCCACTGCGTATTTGTTTTGATGTTCATATTTTTATTATATTTTCATCGGTGGTCTGCGTCTCGAGGTGGGCTGAGGGGAGAAGGGGTCAAGTGCCTGTGGCCCCCAATCGTAGTCTCTATTGCTCATACCAACTCATTATTTTCTGGTTTATTAGCTAATGGGAGTCCATGTTTCTCCAAAAATGTCATAGGAATGCTATGTAATAACACTTGAACCTTTTTTTTTTTACTTTCCAATTGGCTGAAAGGATGGAGTGAGGGCCATTGATAGAAAAATAAATAATACAGAAAGAAGGGAGGGCAAGGAGGGTGGGAGTGAGGACTGGTGGCACGTGACGGTTGTGGCGTGTCACGTTCTGGCCTGTCCGAGTGACGAGTTATCGCACCAAAGGGGAGAAACAGAGGGAGGAGGAGGCGGCTGGGAGCGAGGGTGGATGGTAATATTGGTAATACAAGTCATTGTTTACTGTAATTTTTCTAATAACATCTAAGACTTGAGTACCCACATTTTTTTTATTATACTTTTTGGCACTTGGCCCCCGGTCAAAATATTGATAATACTATACCTTGTAGAGTATTGTTTGCCTTTATGCAAACAATACAATGACCTTTAACTTTCTGGTGTGGTCTTAATACATTATTGCTTCCATATAATGAAAATTATACCTCAACAATGTACAGTACTGTATATTAATGAAATTGCAAACACTACCCATCAAAAACAATGAATTATTACATTATACAATCTTTTCAATTAATATGACTCTAGTATCAGCGAAACCAGCTTTAAGAGCTCTGCACACTGCCTCTTGAATGAACTCAATATCTTTATTGGTTCAAAAGTTACGTAATTTTGAATTTTTACAAACTTTAAGAGTGTTTTTCTCGATTGTGATTTTGACGCTTGGTACCTTGTCACACTTGGTGCCTCATATCCTTTCTTACCTTACAACCCTCCCCTTCCCAAATGGGAAGGACGCCATATCCACTGTTTACATCCGGGATGTTTTGTTTGATGCAAAGGATATAACTAAGAAACATTTTTCTGTAAAGTTTCCTCAATACAGGGTTTAGGAATTGAACAGTTGATGACAGTTCTGTTAATATATCCACCACGGATGGATGCATTAAACATTGTTAATTTCTCTTTCTCTTTCCAGAGGGAGAAGTTTACTGTAGACTCAAGACAGATACAGTAGTGCCTTTTACAGTTGACTGTTCCAACACTGACCAAGATGTTCTGGCCTGTGGTGTTGGGAATTTCTTGTGTCAAGCTTCTTCTTATTCCAGCATAGTGAGTTTTATTTTTTTTTCACCACATATCAGCTTATGGTAGTACATGTACCGTACTGTAATGTACTGTACTGTATAGGAGAAATAAAAGACGAAATCTTGAAGTTGGTATACTAGGACCCTCTTCAGCCAACTAACAGAACAAAGCAAGGGAGAAACACATAGAACAAGGAATTGGGTCACATGACCTATCTCCTGAGTTGAGGTAGGGTGGGGATTAGGGATAATATTCTTGATGACAATATTCACGATCAAGTCAGGGGTCTACAAATGTATTATGATGACTGCCTGGTGCCAAAGATTGTATGACACTTGCTGGTAGAGTGTCCCAGTCAAGGGGACTTGAGGAGTCATTTTCTGGTCTAGTGTCGGTAGGAGGATGGCTCCTCCATCTCAAAAGTGCTCAGGGAGAGAAGTTCAGCACATGATGGTGGGCTTTTTAATTTTTTTATTACAATAGAGATACTTAAGCGCATATGCTATTTAAATAAATACCCGTACAGGATTTTATATTCTTGTAAATTTTATATTTAAACTAAATAGGGTTTTATTTTATTTATATCATAGGTTTAAATTATGAGTTTCATTTTTGGCATCAAAATGCCACAGGCTGTGATGCCAGATATTTTACCCAATCAATCATTTGGTAATTTTGTAAAGCACAAAAATAAACCAAAAGCTGTAAGCTTCTCTAACATATATATACTGTACTGTACAGGTATATATTTTTTCTTTTTGATTAGAAACCAAACCTTGTTTTTCCTATTTATTATATTATTCGCTATCTGAATACTCTACCGTATTCAGCATTTGAATGGCTTTCAAGGAACATAACTCATTTGGATAATGAGGGATACCTGTACCTGTCTTTCATTTATTATCATTTCACCACTTATCAGTTAAAAGCCATTCTGTTGGTTGATCTGTTCTTTATTACTGTATTATGACCTTTATAGTCTAGTGTTAGAAATACTGTAATCTGTTTTGGTATTCTTTTTTATTCAGTACAATAAGGGAATCCCACATTATCCAAATATTCTCTCTGAAAATTTGCTGAACCAAAATTTTTATTTTTACACCTCTTTTTCACTATCTGAAAGCGATCCTCACTTATCCGAAAGATGATTCACATGAAAAGTCAATCACATCCTGTGGGTGATCCCTGACTGGCCTCTGTACAAGATATTTTATTTAGTTTAGCAATTAGGTACTAAATTACAGTAGTTAGGTAGATTTTTTGTTGTTCATGAACTGATTTCATTATTTGTAGGTACAAAGCAATACAGTATTGTGGTGAGGTACTAAATTACAGACTGGTTAGGTAGCTTTTTGTTGTTTGTGAACTTTTTTTTTTAGGTACAATGTTATTGTATTTTGAGGCATTGGGGAACTGAATCCTATTTTTCCCATTTGATCTATTATTCACTTACTGAAAATTTGTCATCCGAATGGTTTTCAAGGAACCTTACCCATTGAATAATGAGAGATACTGTACCTGTAATAAGTTTAATCTGTTCTTATTAACTGTCTTCTACTAATGAGAAACTGGTGGTTGTCATGGCCCTAGAACTTTTTGTTCAGTAATTGGGAAAATTTTAGGCTGATCTGTAAATAGTTTCAACACCTGGGTTTAAAAACAATATTAGAATTGGCTTTGTCATTTTGTACTGGCCAAAATATCCACTTGAGTTGCTGAAAAAAAAAACTCAATAAAATGATGGAATTAGAAAAAAATGGACTTTGGATTACTGTATTTAGATCCTTCTGGTAATTTGACGAGGGTTGTTGTTGAATTTGGGAGATGCAAGTGCTATCCCAAATGTGGCAACAAGACTTGGTGTACTGTACAGGCAAGTCAAGGAAATTACCTGTACTGTGCTGTATGTAGTGAGGTAAAAAGTACACAAGATATAAGTGATCTTTAGCTTAAGTAAATTTATCTTTAAATGAATGAAACAAATGACAATAAATGAATAATGGAATCATCATCTACATGTTTAGAAATTAATTAAGGTTGGGTTAATGATTTTTATATACAGGTTGACAATCCCTTATCCAAAATCCTTGGGACCAGATGCACTTCGGTTTTTGGAATTTTTCGGATTTCAGAATTTTTTTTTTTTTTTTTCCCCCAAAGGGATCAGCCCACCCAGGCACAGCAGGTCACTGACTCACATTGGGGCCTGGGGGCTAAAATATAATAATAATAATAATAATAATAATAATAATAATAATTCATACTAAGGGTCTAGGTCATGTTTCTCACTTTTGATTTTTTTTTTCATTCTTGTATTTCTTTATTATTATTATTATTTCATTATTACTTTATTATTGTTATTTTTATTATTATTTCATTATTACTGTATTATTGTTATTATTATTATTATTATTATTATTATTATTATTATTATTTTATTTTTGTGTATTTTTTATTAAAAATTTTATTTATTATGAATAATTATTATTATTACAATATTGTATTATCATTATTATTACCTGTATTATTATAATTATTATTACTATTACATTTTCACTCCCCAGGCCCCGATGTGGGTCAGTGACATGTGCCTGGGTGGGCTAATACCAATACAAAAAAAAATGCTCCAAAATTTTTTTCGGTTTTCAGAGCTTTTCGGTTTTCGGAATTTTGGATGAAGGGTTGTCAACCTGTAATATGGTAAATATTTTGTTCTGGGCACAAGATGAAGTGGACCAGATGCAACAGTCTAGGTGTTTATTGAATCTGTCAGTTAGGTTAATAATTTATAATTGGTTCAAAATAAATGTCCTGCTTGGGAAGTTAAGACTAGTTGTATCCTTACAGCCGCTCTACGGACTTCGAGGTTCACCGTAATTGGCTCGCCATTACTCACAGTCTTCCGGTTGATCAGTGGTATTTTGAGAAGACGTCACAATGGACTCTTGACTATCCTCCTCTGTTTGCCTGGTTTGAGTGGCTTCTGGCAAAGGTAAGGAACCATTGGGATTTTTTTTATTGATAAGTAGTCCATTGTTTCCTTATACTGTATACAGGTATCCCTCACTACTCGAATGGATAAGTTCCTGAAAACTATTCGTTAAGTGAATTTTTGTTTATTGAATAAAGGGACATATATGGCAAAATTTTGTTTCAGTTCCCCAATGACAAGAAAACCTCAACATGATGCCCCAAAAAACATGAAATCAGTTCCTTAACAACAACAACAACAACAAAAAAACTACCTAAATAATGGTACATAGTACACAGTACTGTAACTTACTACCAAACATTAAAAAAATAATGAAATACTATCTATATGAAAATATGCAGCTAAAACCATTAAGGAAAAGATAAACTGTATCAAAGTTTAACACAGCTGCTATTTGTATAGACGCTGGCTGCGTCATACATGACCGCCCTCAAGCCTTGCCATAGCAATCCAGCCCAGCTGGGGCTGCTCCCCCTTCTGACCCTTAGTAACACTCCCCCTCCTGAACCCTTAGTAACACTCCCCCTCCTGACCCTTAGCAACACTCCCCTTCCTGACCCTTAGCAACATTATCCCTCCTGACCCTTAGCAACACTCCCCCTCCTGACCCTTAGTAACACTCCCCCTTCTGACCCTTAGCAACACTCCCCCTTTTGACCCTAAGCAACATGATCCCTCCTGACCCTTAGTAACACTCCCCCTCCTGACCCTTAGTGACACTCCCACTCCTGACCCTTAGTAACACTCCCACTCCTGACCCTTGGTAACACTCCCACTCCTGACCCTTAGCAACACTCCCCCTCCTGACCCTTAGCAACATTATCCCTTCCCAAAATTATGAGTTGAAAAATAACCATAACATAACTCCTAACTCAGCCTGGTAGGAAGAGCACTAGGGGGATATGGCCACTCCAGCATGCGGTTTGAATTTTTGCCGGGAAGTTTTCGTAACACGAAAAAGAGATGGTAATTAGGAAATTCACATAGGTAAGCAAATTTTTGTTTCTGGAACGTTCATATAGCAAGGGATACCTGTACAGGGATTCATATGTTGAGTGAATAAACGTCAAATAATGGGACCCATGTATTAATTGGGTTTTGTTCCAGGGAGGGAAAATGTTGGTCAACTTGGGGATTTTCCCACACAAAGTTCACCACTAAGTGTCCTGTAAAGATAATGATAATAAGGGCAATAGCAAATAAAAAAAAATAATTGACAAGAAATCTGATTTTTATATACTATATATTAATTACTAAAGGTGAAGATGATGACAAAAGCTGACAGTAGATGCTGATAGATAAAGAGTTTGCCTTATTCTTGTCAGCCCTTACCAGCTTTAAATGAGATGCTTGATCAGCTCTAACTTAATTATAAGGGTTAATTATCTTGTGTTGCTTCCTGGCATGGGTGGGAGGAGTGCTGGAATGTTCTGCCTTGCGTTGGCCAGACATCTTGGTACAGTATATGGGGCCTGTGTTATAATAAGACAGGGACACATTGATGCAGTGTTACTGGTGTGAGTGTGGTAGACACAGGTGCACACCCTGGGTTGTGATTGTGACTGTATGACACAGGTGCACACCCTGGGTTGTGATTGTGACTGTATGACACAGGTGCACACCCTGGGTTGTGATTGTGACTGTATGACACAGGTGCACACCCTGGGTTGTGATTGTGACTGTATGACACAGGTGCACACCCTGGGTTGTGATTGTGACTGTATGACACAGTGCACACCCTGGGTTGTGATTGTGACTGTATGACACAGGTGCACACCCTGGGTTGTGATTGTGACTGTATGACAGTGAAAGTTATGCAGGTAATATGAATTTTTTCTTTTGCAGAATATCCTTAAAAGTGAAAATTGCAGTTTCTAAAGAAAAAATTATATCAAATTGTGTTGTGTTATTCATTAAAGCAAATGTTTCCTTAGTATAGAGATAAATGGTGTCAAATTGTGATTTTGGTTAAAATTAATTTTCTTATATTGAACATTTGTATATCAAGGTTACCTGTGCAGTAATGTAATGAAACAAGAGCCTTGTGTTGAATGGTTCATAATGGTGGACAAGCTGCTGATTGCTGATGTGTGACCGGGATAACATGTCATCAGGTAATAACGGCTAATATTCACATGTGGATAATGGCTGTAAGTCAGTATGTATGCATTAGTATATACTGTACATGTACTGTACTTGTCAACACAAATAATGCACAATATACTATACAGTACTGTAGTTTCAAAAATTCAATGTAGCCATTTTATTTCAGGTAGCTTGGTACTTTGACCCCAAGATGCTGGATGTAAGGAATCTAAACTATGCTTCAGACATGACAGTCCTCTTCCAGCGTCTGTCGGTGGTAGTTACAGACTTTGTGTTTGCATACGGTTGTAAAATGTAAGTTATTGTGTCTGCCTGGGTTATGTGTTTCAGTTTTAGGTGTGTTCATTAACTCTCTTAATCTCTTGACTGATTGACCCATTGAGTCATTTTATCTCCTGCCCAGTCTACCATATATATGTGTGTGCATTCATACATGCTCTTGTTCATAATAGGTAGTAGGTAGTAAGCAGCTATCAAACAGGGAGATACTACTGCCTGGTAAGATGTTGGAAGCATAATGTGTCGTCTAATGGTAAACCCTGCTTCCATATGTGACCAAGTCCCAGGTTGCTGATCTGACTTTCTGCCTCATGTACACACAATTGCAGGGTCTCAATTATTTCTCTTACTATATATATATATATATATATATATATATATATATATATATATCATTGACTGTAATTTTGGAAATTTTGTTTGTCATGGATTCACTGACTAAAATATGAAGTTCGTTGTATCAAGCTCTGTATGAAAGACCAAAAATACAATAAGTTTCATACTGGAGGTTACTTGTACTGTATAATTTTTCATATTGTATTAATTTTCTCTTAATTAGTAAGTGGCTTCTTTTATAGATATAAGTAACAATAGATACAGGTACAGTACCAGGTATTTCAAAATGTGAGGCTGATTGATGGTGAAGTATGAAAGAAACTAAGATTGTGTTGATCCTGATCACACTGACATGCAGGAAAGATATATATTAATAAAAATATAAATTATATATACAGTTGGGTCTTCATTTACGCGGTCAATTGAACCCGCAGAGTACCGCGTAAAACAAGAAACGCATAAATGAAATATCAGAACATAAGGGATTAATTGAAATAGAGTCTGGGCCGACCCCCAAACTCCACTTTTTCCGACACAATACGTACGTTGTAGTAAAAATAACATCTTAATTTTATGATGGTATGCACACACAATTAATAATTAAGAGAAATATCAATATTAGGTTTTTTAACACTTACATTAGTAGAAAAGATGGCTGGGCACACGGGGATGGGGGGTTGGTTCCAAGACAGAGGGCAGATTATTGGCCCTTACCTGTATCACTTGTATCAATTGTATCACTATCCACCACTGAGGCTTGCAGGGCCTCTTTGTCAAACCCCTCAAAGTCCATTTAAGTCCATATCCTCACTATCACTGACTTGGGCCGGCTGTGGTGGGTGGCGGGTGAAGAACTCGGTAATGTTTTGATGACTGGGCGACCTTGTGCGCACCCTGCCCACGCTGCTTCCCGCGTAAATGACCAAATTTACCGCGTAATTTAAGCATTTCATTCTGGCAAGGCACAGCGTAAATGACCAAATGCGTTAACCAAAACCGCGTAAATCCAGACTCAACTGTAGTTGAAGGTCACCCTCCCTGTCATCCCACAATGTGTCTGCAGATGTTGTGAGCAGGTTGGCCGGTCTTGTGGTAGACGAGAGGATGTGGTGTATCCACTCTTCCTCGTTCTGTTTGGTAATGCCGGACTCATTCTGGTGGACCATATTCACTTCCAGTATAATGGCTTCCTGTATGGCATCATGTTCCTCTCTGTGGCAAGATTACTACAGGTAGGGAGTTTGATCATTACTGTTGCTTCTAACATATTTAGTAATTATTTCCATCACCATAAACGTGAAACTACCGTACTGTACTGTATATGCATGTCAGTTATCCTTGGATGTTAGTTTAAAAAAAAGAAATGTAGATACTGTTCTATGACTTAAATGAAAAGGTACAAATGAAACAATACTGTATATAGTGACCATGAAAAAGAGCACTAACATGTCACAGTAACAGTTTACATGAGGAGTACAGCACAGAGTTCTTCACTTGTGTGTGTAGGATACCTCTTCCTGAGGTAATACCCTGCCAGGACACAGTGGTGAGAGATATTGTAAATACATTATCGCTGTGCCGTCATAATCTGTTTCAAAATTTTTTTTGTTATTGTTGTCTTACTTCACTTGTACAACATTACTTGGAGAAAGATAATGTTCAGTTCACAGTTTTATTAATATACCTGTATTGAACTCATATGTCTAGAGTGATAAGTTAATTACTTAAGGACATTTTCTCTCCTTTTTTTTCAGAGAAGAGAAATTGAGGCAGCATTTTGGTTTTCTGTGCTATTAAACCTGAAGCACATTTACCTGTACATTGCTCCAGCGTATTTCATATATTATTTACGCTCCTACTGCCTCTCGTCCACTCCTGAAGGCCACATAAGATGGCAGTCTTTCTCCTTGTTTCGTTTTGTGAAGCTTGGAGTAACAGTGGTGACAGTGTTTGGCCTTTCATTTGGACCATTTATCATGAAAGGACAACTCAATCAGGTAAGATTTTATTGTTAAACATAAATTATATTTTTTAATAATTGAAAACTTCATCAAATATTTCTAATTTTCAGCAACCTGTACAGTACATCGTGTGTTGCTGATGATGAGTGTGTGTGTGTGTCCTACACCTAAAACTGACTAGGTACATAAAGTATTTTTTTAATTTGTTTGTTAATATAAGTATGTTCTCAGGCAAGTTTCATTATCATTAATGTTTTATGGCTATCTTACATACAGTACTTGTGTGGGATAGCCGTGTTTACCTGATGGTAACTCTCCATGCTGCACAGTCTCTTGCATTCTCTCTTGTCAGGTCCCTAAGTCTTTATGTCATCTCTTACAACCTCTCCTCATGTTGTTCGTGGCCTACCACCCCTGACTCTCCTCCCTCTCCACATTTTGGCTCATGCACTTCTTGACCCAATTGGTCTCATCCATTCTCTCCACATGCCCAAACCATCTCAATGTGCCTCTATACAGAACTTTGCTAATACAGGGTACTCTCGACACCCAGCTGCACTCTTGGCTCTGAGCAAGGCCTCCTGTCACATTACACATCCACCTCATCACTCTCATTTTGGCTTGCTCAAGTCTACTTGTATCATCCTCTTCAACTACCCATGCTTCACTGCCAACATCACTTCTCACACCAGCCATATACATTCTTCCTTACACTTGGAGGGAAGGTTTTTTTTTACTGTCTATAAAGTCAGCAGCTCCCTAAACTCCAACTAGCCCCTTCTGACTCTTACAACTGAGCAGGCTTCAGTCCCGTGCCGCCACTGATCATGCCACCCAGGTAATAGAACTCATTGATACAGTCCAGGGATATATTCCCAATGTTGAGTTTCTCCAGCCTTGCTGTGGGTACATGGTTACCTGCACATACACAACACTTACAGTCAGCAACATCCCACAGTCTACCATCTATTTCACTGCACCTTTTGTGTATTCACCTTCCTCACTCGTTGCACATTGAGTTGCTGCCAACATCTTTCTTACAGATAGCACGTGGCTATATTTTACTTTCCACCACTCGTCCCTTACCCATACCACAAATCAATATTTTGTTTTTACTATTTTCACTATCATGTCCTTTGCTTGTTTCATCTTTCCATTTCTTAAATTTTTTTAGTGCCTCTTCATCACTAAGTCATCAGCATACAACAACTCCCAGAACAGGACAGTCCTAAACTCCTATGATATTGCCTCCAGTACCATAATAAATAAAAGGGGGTTCAAGATAGTCCCCCGAAAGATTCCTATTATTAGCTCAAATTCCTGACTTTCCTCACCATTTACTGTCTCAGAGGTTTTTGAGCCCTCATAACCATTTTAACAAGGTACTCCTTAAAGCATAGCTTTCTTATTGCCCACTTTACTACTTTATGTGGTACCCTGTCAAATGCCTTCTCCAAGTCTACAAATATGTAGTAAAATTTTCTCTCTCTTGTAGCTGTGTGGTAATAAATATTACCTCTATAGTCCCCCTGCCTGGCATAAACCCAAACTGCATTTCAATTTATGTCTTTCTCTCTGTTATTAATTTCTCAATTATTCAGTAAAAACCCTTGTATTTCCCACATTCAACTGTATCACCTTTACCCTTGTAAGTATTCAAGATCATACTCTGTATTATCGCCACTGGCTTCAGCTACAGTGCTGGCGTGTGATGCCATTAAATCTTTCGACCTGTGACCTCGCCAGGTGTAGAAGTGTTTACAGACAAGTCCTGGTTCTGCTGAGTGGACTGTCTTAGACTGGTGGCGGTGGCTGCCCGCCCCTCCATGAGACAGATCGCCCTCTCTCGTGATGCTGTGAAGACCAGCCTTCTCCTGTCTGAGAAAAGTACACTTTGAGGTGTGTATGTAGAAGGCTCCTCGATGATGATGATGATAGAAATTAGAATGGGGGTGGAGGAGAAAGGAGAAGAGAAGGCATTGGGGTGGAAGAGAAGTCACCCCATGGCACTATTTCACCCATAAAATTTTAGTTCTGTTTAATTTTTTAACAACACTGCATTCAGATGTTACTCCACTGAAATAAAGATTGACCCCCTGTTTGGTTGTTGACAGGCTGGATGTGCGTAAAACTAGTTTTTACTTTCAATTATGTTCAATAATAAAATGACTAAAAAATTTTGATTAAAGAAATCTTGATATTTACTAAAATGGTAAGGAATGTAAGCCCTAGAACCGATTACTGTATTGGCGGACTAATACAGTGACCCCTCGTTTAACGAACGCCTCGGTTAACGAAATTTTGGTTAACGAACTGCCTTCCATAAGGATCTTTAATTCGGTTAACGAACAAAAATTCGGTTAACGAATTTCTTCTGAACCGACCTCAACATGTTTTCGCTTGCACTGACCGGGCAACCAGCTTTAGTATCAGTCCGCCAATACATTAATCGGTTCTAGGGCAAATTCTTTACTATTTTAGTAAATATCAAAGTTTATATATTCAATAATTTTAAAAGTTTAATATTCAATTTTTAGTCATTTTAACAATTAATTGAAGTAAAAGTGACTAGTTTAATCGCGGCATCCAGCCTCTTAACACAGCAGTGTGTCTTTCTGCACTGGGGTAACATCTTGGAGAGCTGTTCAACTAGCTTTTTTCTTGTTACAGCTGGTGACATATTGACTGTAGTGCAGTGTTGATTTAAAGAAAACAATCTTGAATTACACCTATTGAACTTAAAATTTTATGGGTGAAATGACAGCATGAAGCATGGGGTGATTTCTCTTCCACCCCCACTTCCTTCTCTTCTCCCTTCTCCTCCACCCCCACTTCTAATTCCCATCATCATCAACCAGGAGCCTTCTACATGCACACCTCAAAGTAAGTGTACTTTACTGGATTTATTTTTACTTTGTATGTAATTTTCAGTGAGCTGGAACCAATTACCCAAAATCCCATTGAAACATTGGTTTTGGTTAACGAACAACCTTCTGGAACGAATTGTGTTCGTTAACCGAGGGACCACTGTATTTGAAAACTCAATCTCCACCGATTTGGAGGTATAGCCCAGGTCAAGAGGCTTACAACCACAAAATCATTGCCATATGACAAGACTTTTATTTTACATTATTTTTTACTAAGTTGTGGTCACGGCTGTGATTGACCACCCAAAGGCCAACCAGGGAGTGTAGTACTGTGCCTTTAGTTAAATCAGTTTATAGTGTCATCAGTGGCACCACTGCCAGCAGTAACCAAGTCATATTATTGGTGACACAAAGACTTTTATTTTTATTTTGTTTGTGTGCTTTCTCAAGGACTGAAATTGTGCCTACAATCCACCATTCATAGGGAGATACAGTGTACACAGTGAAAGCACAAAGAGATACAGTCGTTGATCAGAACTGGAAAAGAATGTATAAGGAAATAATATTTAAAATAAAAAAAATCAAGCTTGGCTATCCTGAAAGGCATTCTATTACCGCCTCAAAGAAAGTTTTCTTTTTTTTTGGGGTTTCAAAAGGACTGAGTGGGCGTATAATCCGTCATTCATAGCAAGATGCGGTGTACATAGAGATAGCACATGGATACCGACAACTTGCCGAGGTACCTGAAAAAAAAAGAAGAAAAACAGAAGACAACTCAAAAGGCAACACTGGACGCACAGAGTACCGAGGAGGTTAAAAGACCAACACAAGGCAGTTAGGTTATTTATTTGTTTCTTTTCTTCTTCCTTATTAAATAACATTGAATTGCCATAAGGGCACGATCACCTTCATATCTCACTTTACTTAGACTTCAGTTAGTAGATGTGATTATTAAGGAAGTCATCCCACTGAGGTGTATATCTCTTGGTCAGATGAAATACATTGTGCTTGCCCGGTGGATGACCCTAGCCATAACGGCCTATACCCAGGCAAGGGAACGGGGCTTTTAAAGGGACCTTGACGCTAAGGCCCTGCTACCAGGACACAGATTAAAAAAAAATTACAACAGAAATAATAAGGATCAATATTATTATTATTATTAAGCTGACAATTAGAAGTCCATTGCTTGGTAAACTGGTGGGCTTAAGGCTGAGTAGACCTGTACGGAGTCTACTCCGAAACAGCAACAACCATGGGGGGGTCCAAAACCAGGGGCTAAAGCGGTACCAGGAAATCTGTTGACATGTGATTACTGCGGGGTGAAGACGGAGGTAGATACAACGTTTAGGACGGTACAACGTGCTGTAAAAAATGAAGGCTGTTGTTGGTATTGCCCTGGCTGCATAGTAAAGGTGAGATTCAATTGCAAGCCATAGGGAAATGAGTTTCCTAATGATGAAAATAGATGAAGCTGGATTTTTGCTGGTTGCCAAACAAGAACAAGTTGAGAAAGAGATCCTTGCTAAGATCGAGGAAGTAGCTCATAGAATGGAGGTGGTAGCGAAGAGGAGTTATGCTCAGGCCTTAGCAGGGCCACGGGAAGTAGCATGGAGTAATGCAGGATCAAAACAGGCTCTACAGCAGCTAGGGACTCCGAAGAAGGGTTTCAAAGATAGGACAGTTAGCAGACCTACTGTTAGGGGAGAGGAGGAGCAACGGGGACGTCTCAAGCGCAGAAACACCATAATTTCCTATGGAGTTCGTGAGAGCCAGGCGGATGAAGCGGAGAATAGGAAAACACACGATAAGATGCAGTTTGTGAATATTTGTACAGGGGGGATGGCATAGTCAGAACCTCTGTACAAATATTCACAAGGGTACAAGCTTTGCACCCTCAAGATCACACTAGTGAGTGAAGAGGAGAATTGGGGACTATCCGGCATGCAAAAAATTAGCAAAGAGCGAGACGTTTCAGAATGTATTCATTCACCCAGATCGCACGGTATTGCAGAGGGAACAGCGCAAGAAGCTCCTGCAGGACTTGAAGCAGAGGAGGGAGGAGTCGAGGAAGAACTGGGATGGGTGTAGTACATGGGTTATATCCAGCGGGAGGGTAGTGGAAACAAGTGTGCCGGCACAGAGCCACGGGGCAGCAGCTCACCCTCCACCCGCTCTAACCCCCACCTGGGAGTAAGCACCGGCTCCGCCTACCAGCGCCGTGTAAATAATGGCACTTCTAAGCAAACCCTGCAAAATACGGTGTACTTAGCAAATGCTGCAGCTTTTAAGAATAGAGGGGGGCCGGAGTTACTACTAAGAGCAAAGACGTTACCGAGAACAAATTCTGGCTCAAATGTCATGTACATTAATACTGACACGTTCCTTGATAAGAAAGAGGAGTTTAAAACACTATTGAAGATACACCAACCAGATAATGTAGGAGTCGTAGAACTGTTGTACTCCACGACCCCCTGACGGAGACACGATGATCCTCCCCATTCTGGCCAGATTTTATGTAAATAACATTGATTATGTGTTAAAGGAATATCCTTCCTTCCTTAGGCTTTAGTAAGCCCCTTTATAATATTTATACTGTATATACTTGTCACACTTGCCAGATGCTTCTGGTGTTATTGTACAGGGGTACCTAGTGACAGCACTAGGATCCCGCTTCCTCTATCAAGGAATAAACAATTGAAATTTAAATTGAAAATTGAATTGTTGTACAAGAACAGGAGAATCGACCCAGAGGAATGTGGGTTCAGTATTGCTGGATATGACTCATTTACGAACCTTTCTCAAGAAACTTGCAAGAGGGGTGTGGTTATCTATGCTATGCAAGACCTTGGAGTCAGCCAGGTGAGGGTACAGGGGGAGGATGTTTTTGAAGAGTCCAAGTGGTGTAAAGTTAAATTAAAGGGAGGGGACTTACTTATTGTCGAGTGTATCTACAGATCCCCAAACTGTAGCCTACTAAATCAAAGCAACTTAGAGCCTTAATAGACAATGCAGCAATGCTCAACCCTAGCCACCTCCTTATCATGGGGGACTTTAACTATGGCGACATTGACTGGAGAAACGAGTTCACCCCAACTGACTTGAATAACCCTGCTACTCTTTTTGTAGAAACTCTGAGAGATAATTTTCTGTTCCAACATGTTAAGGACCCGACACATTACAGAGGGGAGCAAACACTCAAGTCACTAGAACTCTTCATAACAAACGAAGAGGGTATGGTGGCCAAACTGGAACATCTAGCCCCAATTGGCACCAGTCACCATGTAGTGTTGTCATTCAGATTTAACTGTAACCTAGTTCATGATAAAGCCAGGCCAAGGTGCAAATATTACAAGGGAAATTACGACGGGATGAGGGAAGAGATGAGGGGTATTCACTGGCATGACTCACTAAGGCATAAGAACGCAGACACCATGCTGAATATCATAACTATTAAAGTGACCCATTTGAACGATAAATATATACTCAAGACCAAACCCAGTGCCTCTAGGAATACGAGGGGACCCCTACACATGAACCATGCGGCGGTTGACGAAGTTAAGAAGAAAACCCAAAAATTCAAGATGTGGGTTAGATCAAACGATGAGCAGGACAGGAGGATGTATGCAAGAGCCAGAAACCAAGCAAAGGCAGAGTGTAGAAGGGCTGAAAAGGAGTTCCAGAGGCTGGTTGCAAGGAAGGTCAAGTCACACCCAAAGGCGTTTTACCGCTATGCAAAATTAAAATTAAAAATGCGAGTAGGAATATCAGATCTGAGGCTTGAAGACGGTAGTTATGCAGATTCTGACCAGGCTAAAGCTGAGGCATTGAACAGCTTCTTTTCCTCGGTGTTCACAAGAGAGGATGCGTTTAACCAAAGAGCGTTTGAGGACAGGCAGTTCGACAGCACTGACCCACATTGTGTTCACAGAAGAGGGTATAAGAAATAAACTGTCAAAGCTAAAGGTCCATAAGAGTCCCTGCCCTGACATGGTGCATCCCAGTGCTAAGAGAGTTGTGCAACGAGCTTGTGAGCCCCAGAAGATCCTGTTCTGTAAATGCCTGGATGAACAAAAGGTCCCCAGTGATTGGAAAATGGCTTATGTGAGTCCTATCCTCAAGAAAGGAGATCGTCACTCCACGAACAACTATAGACCGGTGAGCCTGACCAGCCTAGTATGTAAAGTACTTGAGAGCGTTATCAGAGATGGCACAATGGAACATCTACTATGAAACAACCTTGTAATGTAAAGGATTGCCAACGCGGTTTAATGCCGGGGCGCTGCTGCTTAACACAATTGCTCAAGGTATATTGGATATTTTAACCCATATTCTGGATCGGGATGGTAATATCGACAATATATACCTAGATTGTGCAAGGCTTTCGACAGTACCCCATGAAAGGCTGAAAATCAAACTAGAAGGGTATGGAATTCGGGGAAATGTCCGAGAGTGGACAGAAGACTTTCTATATGACCGCAACCAGTGTGTGTGGTGATTAATGGCACGAAATCATCATCTGTACCTGTCACAAGCGGGGTACCACAGGGCAGTGTATTGAGCCCGCTGTTGTTTGTTTGTTTCATAAATGACATGCCTGATGCTGTACACTCCTCCATACAAATGTTTGCAGATGACGCCAAGTTATTTCGGGAAATCAAGAACCAAGCAGATTGTGAAAAGATGCAGAAGGATCTCTGTGAGCTCTAAGAATGGTTGAAGAAATGGCTGCTGAGATTCAATGTCACAAAGTGTAATTGGCTGTATCTGGAACATACCAATGGTAAGGAGGCGCATCATATGTCCCAACGGGACAAAGAAACTGCACTAGTATTTGAGACCAAATGTGAGAAGGACCTAGGTGTCTATGTTGACAATGAGCTGAAGTTCTTGGGCCATTGCGAGAGGAAGGTAAATCAGGCAAATAAATTATTAGGTCTTATAAGAAGGTCGTTCAGATATCTAAGACGGTCCGTTCCTCGTAACGATCTTCAAGAGTGAAGTACTTCCCCATCTGGAGTTCTGTCACTGTCTGGTCCTCGAGATATGCTAGGGACTGTCAATTGATTGAAAATTTTCGAAGGAGAGCCACCAGACTGGTGCCTGCACTTCAGCACCTCAACTACCCTGAGAGATTGGAGCCCCTGAACTTGCCTAGCTTATAATACAGACGGGCAAGGGGCGACCTAATTGAGGTGTATAAGCATCTCAAGGGGCGCTACTCAGTCGAGTGACCTTACCTGGAGCTGGCGGACGCTCGCCCCATAAGGGGTAACTGCTCAAGGTTAAAGAAGCCGCAGGTCCAGAAAACTGCGAGGACAATCTTTTTCGGAGTGAGAGTTGTGAACTCTTGGAACAATCTGCCAGAGTGTTGTGACGGCACCGAGTGTGAGCTCTTTCAAGACAAAACTTGACCAACACTGGAGCAGGTTCAGATACATTTAGGAGCCGGTGCATGCCCAGTATTGCCAACATTGTGTAACAGAGACGTGACCAATTGCCCAAGCGGCTAACGAGCCAATCAGTGGTGAAGAGGATGAAAAAAAAAAAGTATTTTATTCAACAATTCTGTTCACTACTGAAAAGTTTAATTTGTATTTGGTGAATTGGTGGATGGTAGTTTAAACATAGGAGTAATAATGAAGGGAACTGTTGATTAAAGTATAAAGTACTGAATTCTCTTAACACCTAGAGAATGGGTATAGAAAGTGCAGTTTGAGGAATGTCTGTGTGAAGGTGTGACAGAATAAATATATTTTGTTTCTCAAGAACACTGGTAAATATTGTTTCTTTGTCCAAGAATAAATATTGTATCTTTGTCCAAGAATAATTATTGTTTGTTTTTCCAAGAATTAATATTGTTTGTTTATCCAAGGATGAAAATTGTGTGATTGTCTAAGAGTTTAATTTAAAATGGAATGTGTAGAGACTTATAGAGGAAGGAAACTGTTTATCAGGAGGGAAAGTTTTATGTGGTGTGAAGAGATGATAACCTAACCTAACTAAACAAAAATGTCTTGGGGTAAATAGCTTTTAGTTAAGTCTTTTGTGTTAATAATGTACAGAACATCATCATCTCACAGGGGTTGTTTTCTTGCAGGTGTTGTTCCGGCTGTTCCCATTCAAACGTGGTCTGAGTCATGCCTACTGGGCACCAAACTTCTGGGCGCTATATAACTTTGCTGATAAAGTCTTAGAGTTTGTTGGTAAGTTTGGTTGTGTCTGTGACGGATTTTTTTTATCTATGGAGAGCAAGGTATGTAGGGCATTTATTAATATGCTTCATGAAGATGTAATCCAATAATATACGTACTATTTTTCCTGGCCTGCCACAACGTGTAAATAAAGTTGCACCGTAAACAAATTCATGCTTAAGTGGCATTAAGGTTGGCTATCCTTGAATATGATGGCTGGACAACCATTGTATGTGTATATATTAGTTTATCTTGGAAATAACTGCGTGAATAAATATTGGAGGAAATAATAGACAATGAATGAACAGTATCATTGATAGGTAAGATGGTACAAACCCCGAGAGATTTATTAGTTAACATCTTCCAGTCCTGTTACCAACAATGGCAGTTGATTAATTATCACACCAGACACATGTCTATTTACCTTATGAAAATTATATTATAAAATTTATTCTTCAAGGCTAATCAAGATTAATAAAAAGAAAAATACTATGACAGCATTTTGAATGTTACCACAGGTGGCAGAATGGGATGGCTGACAACATCTGGGAGAGCTGCCATGACAGGGGGACTTGTTCAGGAGTTTGATCATGCTGTTCTCCCATCCATATCACCACAAATCACCCTTATAGCTACATTGATTTCAATTGTGGTAAGGTATACTTATAAATACTACCCCTGTACTCCCATTAGCCATATTGAAGAAACAAAACTAAACAATACCAGTACAATAGGTAGTGATGAATAATAATGATTATCAAATTCACCAAAGGTCTTATTGTGTTATACAGTAGCTACTTTCAATCTAAGGAAGAATTATTTTATCTACAAAAAATGTCCTACATTTTAGGATTTTTAACACCTATTTTAAAATTTATGAATTATATTTCAACTTTCAGCCATGCTTGGTAAATCTGTGGAGGACCCCACACAACCCTTGGCAGTTTGTGCGTGCCCTGGTGCTGTGTGGATTTGGTTCATATATGTTTGGCTGGCATGTTCATGAGAAGGCCATTTTTCTTGTAATTTTGCCACTTGGGTAAGTAACCTTGATCATACTGGAGAAATATTTATTTCATAGACATCTCCTCTTGAATTTACTTGCTAAATCACATTAATTTTTCTTATATACAAGCAAGAATTGTCTAATTCATAGTCAAACCAGCAAATGGAATTCTAAATTTTTTTCAGATTACCTATAAAAGTCTTTTGACAGGAAGTATGGTGATGGTCAGCGGCAGAAATGTTTGAATGAAACTTATCATGTATCACTGTTGCAAAGCAGGAGAGTTGCCAACCATCAGAGATATAGAAATAAATAGTGGTTAAACTGTACATAAGAAGCACTGTAGGGTACAGACTTATTTTTTAAGTACAGTGCATGCTGGTGAAATGTCAACAACTTTAAAGTCTTGGATGATATGAACTGTACTACAGTATTTGATAAAAGTATAAATGTGTAATATATTTCATGATGATTATCTTTGTTATTGTATAGTAATCTGTTATTAAGATTGTATGACTCACATTGAATGAAGGGAGAATGTGTGTGTATGCGTGTGTTTGTGTCCTGCAAATAAGTAGGAAAACTCTTGAAAGCATAGAATATAAGCCATATATTTTTAACTGCGGAGATAAAAGGAGGAAGTGAAGGACACACCAAAAATTATGGTGTATTGACATGTAGGAAGCATCCAGCCCTTACTATAGGAAGAGAGAACCAGCAGTTGTGAAAAAAATCGTGTGGGCGTCATAAGAAACTATCTGTTATTTTACAGGTTGTTGTGTATGCAGCGTAAGGTTGAGGCTCAGGTGTTTGTTATCATGAGCATAGTTGGCCACTTTTCTCTCTTTCCTCTGTTCTACACCTCCCATGAGACACCTATTAAGGTTAGTAATATCTTTGTGATCCAGTAATATGTGTGCATAATATTTAAACTTACTTTTTTTAAGTTTGTATGTTTTCAAACAGAGTGACATAATAGGTTTACTGCTGTCCACCCAGGAGAGATATACAGTTTGTTGATTAATGGGTAATGTTAAGACAGTGCTGTTGGTTATCTGTCCAGCCTTGCTTTGCTCTTCCTTACACTTGAGGTTACACGACTTGTAAGTGTGGGTGTAGTTGTCGAGATGGTGGCTTCTTTTACACTTCTTCACTCTGTAGGGATGCGTCACTTGTATGAGTTTTCACAACTAGGCCACATCTTATTTAGCTAACAATACTAGGTGTTTATTATATGTATCAAAGTGATTATGAGCCAATACAGTGCTATTTTAAAGTAATGTTTGCTGTTAACACTTAAATAAGGGCCTACAACCCCATATAAACCAGGGAGCCTTGCTACTGAACTCATCTGTGCAGTACTTCCATGTTACCCATGATATCATGCATACTGCTTAATAATTTCTAGTTCAGTACTAGCATGGTGTATTTTTCTACGTGTACAGAGTGTTTTCCCCATGTAGATATATGTTACCTTGAATGAAGTAATTGTTTACTAAGAAGGCTTTGGAAATAATAGAATACAGTCGTACCCCGATTTACGCGGTCAATTGAACCCACAGGGTACCGCGTTAAGTGAAATCCGCGTAAATGGAACAACAGAACATATGGGATTAATTCCAATAGAGACTGGCCCGACCCCCAAACTCCACTTTTTCCGACACAATACCTATGTTGTAGTAAAAATAACATCTAAATTTTATGATGGTATGCTCACACAATTAATATTTAAGAGAAATACAGTCGCCAGGTTAATGTCCATTCAAATAATAGACTCAAATCCCCCCTCCACCTCTTCCCAGCTCACTGGCCCCTACCTCTCTGAGAAATGATTGGGTGAAAGCACTAGATTTTAACGTTTAGTAATAAATAATACCTCAGACTAAAGTTAGGATAATATAATTGACATTGCTGGATTCCTTGTAAGACCAGGAACATTTTGAATATAAATGTTACATATTTTGCACAAAAGATAACATATTTACTCAGAGTAAACATTACATCTAAAATTTGTATGTCTAATGCAAAATCTATGATGTTTATATTCAAAATGATCATCAAATTGTAATAATTCCAGCAATGTAAATTATATTCTGGCCGGGTAATTTGTATGAATTTTATGAGTTAAATAAAAAAAAAAAAATTATACTTCATGCGTATATGGGTAGATGAACCGCGTAAAGTGAAAGTTCGGTTCTGGCGAGGCACCACGTATATGAGAAATCGCGTAAAGTGAAACCGCGTAAAGCGGGGTACAACTGTATGTATATTTTTGTGCCATCATCATTGTGAATTTTCCCAAATTTTGTATTCTGAATTACATAATACTTATTTTAATGTACTACTATATGATATATTGCACAGTACTGTATATCGTTATCTTTTATTTTTCAGGTTTTTGCCTTCTTGTTACATGCTGTATATACCACTACTGTCCTGTACAACCACTGGATGGAAGGTAGAATAAGTCCTCTCATTCCACGGATTCCTCTCTGTAGTTTGGCAGAAACTGTGTATTTAATTGGCCTCATACCAGTATTCCTTTATGAGCAGTTAGGTCACAGTATGTTTGGTCTGGAAGAAAAGATGCCATTCTTACCCCTGATGCTCATATCTGTGTACTGTGGTCTGGGAGTGATGTATGCTTGGCTGAAATATTATAATTTTGTTTTATTAAATACAAGAAAGGGGAAGAAGAAAAATCATTGAGAACTTCAGTGTTAGGTCTGATAATGTTTTGGGATTATAATGAAAAATAGATATTTTATTTTAGAAAACTTAAAGTAAATAATTATTTGAGAGAGAAGTCATTTATGTTCCTGTGATCTCTGTGTGGTCTCAGTCACTTTAAAACCATAGACATTTGAGTACAAACTGTATTATCAGGAGTTCTCCTGCATTACCAATAACTTTTTTCCTGCCATGAGAGTATGGCTGAACAAATGTTAATTCCATGATTCTTAACACTCTGCTACGTGTGGGTTACCTCATCCATGTTGGCAGGCTACCGTTCCACTGAAGGGTTGTTTCTCTAATAGAAAGCATACCTGAGAGTGCACTCATTTTATTACTTTTATATTAAGTGTTGATATAAATGGAGGGAACCAAGTCCTTTATTTCAATCAGTAACTGAACCTGGAACCACTTGGCAAGTTGGGGGCTCTGCCACTCACCTGTTAGTTATCATAGATACTCCTCAATTTACACCAGCCGTGATATCTCTTTAGCTAATGTTTCATCATTTATTGAGATTACCACACAGTTACTGAGCAGTATTTAACACTTGCCTCCTCTAGTGCAGAAAACAGAATGTTAGTGAGTACGTACACTCATTTATGTTTGTTTACTAATACAGTGACCCCTCGTTTAACGAACGCCTCGGTTAACGAAATTTCGGTTAACAAACTGCCTTCCATAAGGATCTTCAATTCGGTTAACGAACAAAAATTCGGTTTACAAATTTCTTACGAACCGACCTCAACATGTTTTCGCTTGCACTGACCGGGCAACCAGCTTTAGTATCAGTCCGCCAATACATTAATCGGTTCTAGGGCTTAAATTCCTTACTATTTTAGTAAATATCAAGAAGTTTATACTATTCAATAATTTTAAAAGTTTAATATTCAATTTTTTAGTCATTTTAACAATTATTGAACATAATTGAAGGTAAAGTGACTAGTTTAATGCGCAGCATCCAGCCTCTTAACACAGCAAACAGGCGTTAGTCTCTCTCTGTTTTCACTGGAGGTAACATCTTGCTTGAGACTCTCTTCAACTAAACGCTTTTTTTCTGTTTCCAAGCAAATTATTGGTCATTTTGAAATATATTTTACATATTGACAATATATATACGCAGTGCAGTGTTGATTTAAAGAAAATAATCTTGAAATACACCAAGAGAACTAAAATTTTATGGGTGAAATGGTGCCATGGGGTGACTTCTCTTCCACCCCAATGCCTTCTCTTCTTCCTTCTCCTCCACCCCCATTCTAATTCCCATCATCATCATCATACAGGAGCCTTCTACATACACACCTCAAAGTAAGTGAACTTTTCTACCATTTTTGTTGAATTTAGGCAATTTTCGGTGAGCTGGAACCAATTACCCAAAAACCCATTGAAACAATGGTTTCGGTTAACGAACTTTTCGGTTAACGAACGACCTTCTGGAACGGATTGAGTTCGTTAACCGAGGGGTCACTGTACACCATTTTTCGGCCCGAATCGAGTTTTTCTGTTGTTGGTGACAATCAAAAGCCAATAAATGGCATTTTGCAATCTGAATTGACAGTTGTACAACATGAACTGACAAATATAGCAACAAATGACATAGGAGGCATATACTTGAGTGTGAGTATTCACTGTGTTGAGTGTCCATGTGAATGCTCAAACTCAAAGTACTATATGCCTCCTCTGTCATTTGTTGCTATACTTGTCAGTTCATGCTGTACAACTGTCAGTTTAGATTGAAAAATGCCATTTATTAGCCTATATATGTCACCAACAACAGAAAAACTGTCAATTCAGGCCAAAAACTGATGTATTTTTTAATATATACAGTGCTGAACATTGTTCATAGTGGGCAGATGGTAGTAAAGGAAACATGACAAAGAGATGGAGCATTTTCAAAGAAATGAACACACACAATACGGGTTACCGGTATTAATACAAAGAATCAGGATTGCGTTGGTGGGCTTTGGCTATCTTGAGGGCAGAATGCTGTAGATAGTCTGTAATGAGAGTAGCAATGGGTGAGTTTGGTATTACAGGTTGTACCTCTCTAGTCCGGCATTCTGTGGTCCGGAAACTTCCGTGGTCCGGAACGATTTTAGTTTGTCCAATAGGTAGATAGGCAGCTTTTTTTTTTTTTTACTTATCTTAATTATTATTATTATTATTACAGGAGTATTAAATTTTTGCCCCTCAGGCCCCAATGTGGGTCAGTGACCTATGCCCGGGTGGGCTAATCCCCTTAAAAAAAAAAAAAGCCGCGGGAAATTAAGGTTTGTTTACATCCGGCAGTTCGGCTGCTCTCTCTCTCTCTCTGCTTGTCTATACAGAGTACAACATTTAACCCTTCAATATATATGAGCAGTAAATAAGTGTTGCTTTCATATTCTTATGTAGAGTAATGAAGATATGTTTTCACATGTGCGCACTTACATACGAGCAGTCTCACTTTTTTTTTTACCATTAATGGTTAGCTACTTATATTGTTCCATTTATTAACATTAAATAACATTACAGGTACTTCAAGCAACCATATTCATTTTTTACATTAATTTTACTACAGCTAAACTCAGGGTCTTATTTTCTTCAGTTTTATATGTAGAACCAATCAGTCACTGGTTTCGTAAGCTTTAACATAAACAATGCCGGCAGCGGTCTCGTCTCCTCTAATATTCCACGTATTATTAATAAATTGTATTGTTAATTTTGCACACACGTACATTAATTCAATAAAAACAAATTCAGAAACATTAATTAAAATATATATGAACAGTAAATAAGTGTTGCTTTCATATTCTTATGTAAAGTAATGACGATATGTTTTCACATGCGCATGCGCACATATGCGATCTCTCTTTTTCTTTACCATTATCGTTAGCTACTTCTATTGTTCCATTTATTAACATTAAATAACATTACTTAAAACAACCATATTAATTTTACTACAGCTACAACCAAGGTCTTATTTTCTTCAGTTTTATATGTAGAACCAGTCAGTCACTGGTTTTGTAATCAACGAAAACAATGCTGTGTCATTTCCTCATGTGTTTTAATTTTCTACGTATTATTAATGAATTGTATTGCTCATTTTGCACATATAAACATTAATTCAATAAAAAAGACATTCAGTAATAAACAATAATGAATCTTTTGTACATAAGAGAAATGACGCTGTTTACACGATTATGCACATCGTCTGCACGTTGGCGGGCCGTTCAAACCCGTCGAAATTCAAGTTTCCGCCGTCAAAATTTTATTTATTTATTTTATGTGTGTTCCAATAAAATACGTTAAGAATTAAAAACTCGCGAAATTTGAGAAGCTACTATACGACATTTAACCCTTCAATATGTCTTCAAAGAGACCATGACGCAGAGAAAGTGGTGCTAGTGCTTCCAGGCATAAGCACAAGTCACTATTTATCCAGGAAAAGGGTGAATTTCCATGGTCCGGCACCGGTCAGGTCCCGAGGTTGCCGGACTAGAGAGGTACAACCTGTACCATGTATCTACTTTGTGTTGCATAATACCAAACTCTTCCTTTGCTACTCATTACAGACTACCTACAGCATTCCACTTTCAAGATAACAATTACAGTACATCGGGAACCAAAATTTGAGACAGTCGGAAATAGACAGAAAGACCAGACAAACATCGACAGCGTTTTGTACCGTAAACCCTGCGGCTTCTGCGATAATTCAAACAACCGAAAGACAAACAGAGATCTACAGACGAGAGTATGAGAACACCGAGTGGACGTCAGACACCACAGGACAACCAGTGCCTTTGTCAGTCAAATAGATGCCGCTGGATATTTGTCTAGATGGGAAGGCACCCATGTCTTACACAAGGGCACAAAAAAAAAAAAAAACCAGGAAAGCCTTTGAAGCATATTACACATGCCACCTCCTAGCATCAATGCCAAAACAGGTTGGGTGACCTTGGTCGCACACCGTGGCTCAGATGGCGGCACGTGATTGATGGAGAAGAGACAATGACGCCAAATGACGTACCATAGCTCCGCCCACCATGGCAATCCTAATTCTTTGTATAAATAGCAGTAATCCGTATTGTGTAATCATTCCTTCTAAAAGTCTTGTGATGAAATGTCAGGAATAAAGCTCCATCTCTTAGTTATGAGTCATGTTTCCTCCACTACGATATATAGTACAGTACTGTATTGTATTGTATACTGTTTTAAGTGTTATGTTGAAATTAAAAATCAATTTTAATATTTAAAAGATTATCATTTAAAGCATAATACTGGTACAGTATTGACTTCTGACAGGAAGTGTTTTTATTTAAGTATTACTTATAAAACCACCAGTAATGAGGCTAATCTTACATTAGACATTTTTTTGTTAAACCTTGGATGAATTAATTTGGAAATAAATACAGACCATGTAACTGATATCCATATTTTTTTAATTCCACACAAACAAACAATTCAGCTCAATGTTGATCTTGTATATTTTACAGCTCGATAAAGACATAACTTCTTTCTGTGCAGTCTTGTACAGTTCTGACTTTAATAAGTACTATTTCTCACCAGTGAACAAGATATTAAATAAGGTTTTGGTGCTGTACTTTTGCAATGGTTTTATGAGACATGTCCGTGTCTTCCACACCAAGCCAAGTAATAACTGTAAACATTTGGGTGCATGTCTAGAATGACTGCAGACGTAACAGTGGTTTGAACTCTTTAGTGTTTCTCATTAAGACATTTGTTCCAACACATAAAATATATATCTAATGCAAAATCATAACATTCAGCAATTTCATAAAATGACAAGAACAATTCAATGAAAACTGAATAATTTTAACAAGAATATTCCACCAAGAACTGTACTGCCAAGCTCGAGCAGTAAACCCTTGCTATTCACAGGGGTTAGATTCCAAGGAATGGTGCGAATTGGCATAACTGAGAATAGCAACTTATGCTACCTTAGTGCACTACAGCATATACATATACTGTGTATGGGAAACTTAAGTCACCAATACAACTCTCCTTCATATGTGGAAGTTTGGAGCTTGATGAAGTGTACTGTACAGTAGGATGAAATCTGGTTACAGGAGATCATCAGGATAACTGTTGGAAGAGGGTAATGCAGTGGTGATTGGTGGAGAGGCGGGTGGCACATGGTGGAGGGGTGGCAGCAGCTGACCGAGTAGGTGAGGGAGACGAATTAGCTGGGCAAGCGGTTGGTTCTTTCTTGAAAAACATTGTGATTGGTAGTTGTTTCCTCTTGGCTTTGAGGTCTCTAAACATTTCACTCCACTAGCATCACTAGCACTGACACTAGGCAGTCTTTTAGGGGCCATTTCACACAGAAACACTAAAGTTTTGAGTACAACACAAGAGATGCTGCGTCACAGGCAATGGTTGAGCACAAACAAAGGGAGAGACTGCGGGCTCGTTGCAATGTGGGAGAGGCTCGTAAGCTAGCCACCTTTTGCTTACCGCGAATAGTTGAAATCTCGAATCGCAAACTCGTGAATAGCAAGGGTTTACTGTATACAGGTCTCCCTTGATATATGAATGGGTTAGGTTAAAATTATTTGTTAAGTGAATTTTTGTATCTCGGATAACAGAACAAATGGGAAAAATAGGGTCTGGTTCCCCAATGACAAAAATAACCCCAAAACAAAATCAGTTCACAAACAAGAAAAACCTACAGGTATTTTACAAAAGATAAATAGTACACAACTACTGTAATTTTTGTGTCGATAAACTAAC